TATTGAACACTACATCCCAAACACAGACATGGCATCCCTCTCAGTCCATATATTGAACACTACATCCCAGACACAGACATGGCATCCCTCTCAGTCCATATATTGAACACTACATCCCAGACACAGACATGGCACCCCTCTCGTTTCATATATTGAACACTACATCCCAGATACAGACATGGCATCCCTCTCAGTCCATATATTGAACACTACATCCCAGATACAGACATGGCATCCCTCTCAGTCCATATATTGAACACTACATCCCAGACACAGACATGGCATCCCTTTCAGTCCATATATTGAACACTACATCCCAGACACAGACATGGCATCCCTCTCTGTCCATATATTGAACACTTCATCCCAGACACAGACATGGCATCCCTCTCAGTCCATATATTGAACACTACATCCCTGACACAGACGTGGCACCCCTCTTAGACGATATATTGAACACTACATCCCTGACACAGACGTGGCACCCCTCTTAGACGATATATTGAACACTAGATAAAATAGCCTTGGGACTACCTATAGAACATTTGGTCACAGACACTCACATGGCACCCCTCTCAGTTCTTATATTGAACACTAGATAAAATAGCCTTGGGACTATCTATAGAACAGAATTCACTTTGATTAGCATCATAGATCTACAGCTTCTTAAATAAAGGAAAAATCTTTCAAGCTTATAAATGACACAACAATTTTATATCAATGAACAGCAAAACAAAAAATTATAATCGTATATCATACCAGGGACGTGATATATACGTCCCTGATCATACATAGTTGAACTTGGAAGCACATTTTTGCTGTTACAGTTCCAAGTCGTTGAGCTGTAGTTCATTGTTGTCATTTTGTACAGTTGTCAAAAGCTTCTCCGCCACAAAATCCTGTTCTGTTTCATTCAGTGCATTCACGAAAATTTTAAATGCCTCAGGCCCTCGTCTCACAAGAATGTCTAGCAGTTTCACAACTCGATCTCTTCTTGTTTTACAAACTTCTATATCCTCCTTCATATACATGCTGAGCACTTCCTTCTCAACAAGACAGTCCACTAGTGCTTCTGGTGTCAAGTTTTGTATGAGGAAGGTATAATTCTTCCTGATGGCGTCTCTGTGTTTCTGTTCCATTTTCAAAACACCTTTAATACCGCTTCAAAATACTTAAATCGCACAAACAGCTGTGAACACGAGAAGCATGGCACGTGCGACTGGTGTGCCGTCGTTTATCGATCCTATTTTCACCGCAGGGATCTGAAATTGAAAAAACACATGCTAATACATAGATATCAGAATTATTTCACTTTCAAATTGTTGCTTTTATACTTGGTGAAGCGAAAAGTGTTGCAGCGAAAATAGAGTAATGGACAAAGCTCTCAAAAATGTAAATTTCATTGCCGTTGTTAGCCTACTTCTATTTCGACAGATCACTGATCAACTAATCTACGTCTAGTTGAAGGAAATGTCAGAGTTATACACAAGAAAGTGTTGTGAATTGGTATATTACAGAGAAGGTTTAATTTTTAAAGAAAGATGACAACAATGTGAATGCCGGAAAAAGTGGGGGTGGGGTAATAAAACCTGTATATCTGATATGATTTAGCACGGACTTAGATGGAATTAGTCATTACAACAAGCCTATTAGTGGATTTAGTTAACATTACCAAATTGGATCACAAAGGATTTGTTTTGTTAAATAAGACCTAACAATTATACTTACTGCTTTTACTTCAAAGTAACTGTCATCCAATCATCTTCTGTGAAGGATTCCCCAATATTACTACCGGAAGTCACCGAACCGAAAGTACATTACTTGAGGAAGTATCTTTTATAACATTGTTTTGCATACAATTTAGCATGGTGGCTTGTTGGTCTAGGGGTATGATTCTCGCTTTGGGTGCGAGAGGTCCCGGGTTCGAATCCCGGACAAGCCCAGTCCTATTTTTTTTCTCTCTCTGTGCATTTAAAACAAATCTCTCGTGATAAAACTAGTAAAATATAAATATTTATATCAGTGTAATATTCATGTTTAATGCATTGACAGACTGTTTCTTAACATTTACTCTTGACAATGTCAAAAAATGTTGACAGCTGATCATGCAGAATTCGTTCAAATTTTTTTTTAAATACTAGGAAGTATACAGACCAGTCAGAAAAAATTCTAGTATTTCAAAAAAATTTAAAAGAATTCTACATGATCAGCTTTCAACATTTTTTAACAATATATTTCATCCCTTTTTAGCGGCCTATAGGACCGGTTTCGGGTGCCAGACCGCCCTGCTGCGCATGATGGAGGACTGGCGACAGGCCTTGGACGGTCACAACTATGTTGGGGCCATTCTTATGGATCTTTCCAAGGCCTTCGACTGTCTTCCTCATGACCTGTTCCTCAGGAAACTCTCATCTTATGGGGTATCGACTGAGGCTGTTAGTCTCATGAGTAGCTACCTAGGAAACAGGATGCAGCGGGTGAGGATGGGAGGCAACACCAGCGAGTGGTTGGCTCTCATCAAAGGGGTACCCTAGGGATCGATCCTTGGGCCACTTATTTTCAATATTTTTATTAATGATATCTTTTACTGTATTAAGGAGGCTACTTTGTACAATTATGCTGATGGTAACACTCTGGGTTATTTTAACAAAAGTATTGAAAGTCTGAAAGAGAAGTTAAAGAGGCAGCATTACTGATAGAATGGTTTGAAATGAATGGCATGAAAGCGAACCCAGATAAATTTCAGTCAATATGTTTAGGAAAGAAAGCCATTCTACACTTCACAATAGGCAATTCCACCATAGTTTGTGACGATAGTGTTAAACTTTTAGGTGTTGAGATAGATTTTTTTTTATTGAAGTTTGATAAACATATCTCTTTTATTTGTAGACAAGCCTCCAAACAGTTAGCAGTTTTGAAGAGGATTGGACATTTCTTATCAAAATCTGTTAAAATGTTAATTTACAAGAGTTTGGTACCATAAAATTTTAATTACTGTCCCCTTCTTTGGCATTTCTGCAACGTCTCGGCAACCAGGAAAAGGTGCCAGAAAGGGGCTTGCACTTTGTTTTTACTGATTTTACCTCTGACCTCAAAAAACGGCTAACATATGCTGATACTTCTTTCCTGCATATTAATAGGATAAAGTTGATGGTTTGTGAAGTTTTAAAAATTTTTAACAAGATTTCTCCTGACTACATTTGTAGTCTGACATCTAAACAAGAAACTTTGTATACTTTCTGAGCAGAGGGTAAGGCACACATCCCACGGGTAAACACCACCAGGTATGGAAAGAATTCTATCAGGTACCAGGCGTCCCACATATGGAACAGTCTCTGGAATGACATGCGTAAGGTAGAGAATTACAAAGAATTCAGGAGACTGCTCAGTATGTGGGATGGCCCGGACTGTAAGTGTTCTAGGCGTGCTCATAAGTGAGTTACCTCCCTTTGTTCAGTGGTGTTGCTACCTATGTGCTTTTATCTTCTATTTTCATTTTAGTGTTTTATTATAAGTGCTTATGCTTATTTTGTTTGTCTTCTTGCTTTGGTTTATAATCTGCTGTCTTATTTATTTACTATTTATAATCTTGACATTGCCACAATGTTCTCTTTAATTTGCACCATATTAGTAGCATAGTCTGTCAATTTTTATTTTTGCTATATTAGCGTATAGGTATATTACACTTTCATTAAAGTGTTTGACATCTTTTGAATCTAGAAATACCTGTGTTTATCAGATATGCAGGTGTTCAATCTTAGCCTATTAAGTCTTATCTGATTACTTGATTTTTGTGATATATAAAATGTGATAACTAGTTTTTGTTTATAATCTGTGTATAAATTGCTATTGACCGTGATACATATCCTCTGCTGTTTGTTGCTAATATTATGTTGCATGTTATTTTGTTTCGTATTATGTTATGTCGAAGTACAAGCTCACCCAAGCTTGTTTACTGTTTTTAATATTCGACGTAAAGTTTCTTGTATCTTGTAATGTTGTTCATGAAAAAATATACACTAATGGAAAAACAAAACAAAAAAATGTTGAGGTTGCAGTTAATCCAGACTTGCTGATGTTTTTAGCTTTCCAGACCAACCAGCTACTTTGGTCTCTTCCAAGAGTAACCAACTCAACTGATTTTGTCGGGTCAAAAATGATATAGATGATATGCTCAATTGTGAAACATTCAAATTTAAAAATCAACAATAGTGATCAGTTAAAATGGTGCTCTAAACAAATAGACGACAATGTCTTTTACCTGATGAACATTAAAAAAATCCTTTCATCCTGGAATTTGAAGGACATATAATGACCTGGTTTTGGATAATCTTGACAAGACTGTTACCTTATCATGATCCCTCTTCATACACTGAAGTTCCACCCAAGTCAAAAACATTAATATACAAATGATTAAATTAAAATTACAAACCAAACTTTGGCAGAATTAATACAAATCATACAAGTTACAAAACGCAGGAACTTATATATAGTAGTTGTTTTACACATTATGACCATCTAACACTTGTTAATTACATTTTTTCATAGATATAGGTCTCTGATCTTTTGTGATATGCTAGAGGGACAATTGTATCAACTAGGGGACTTGAAGTCAGGCTAGAATTGAAAACAAGTGCAACCTATATATGACATATGAGTAAAATTCATAAAGTACTTTTCAAGCAATAGCAATTTAAGGATGGACAACTACAGACTCACGGCAAGTTGAGCAGTGGATCTATAAAACATCAATCCTAGAGAAAAATTTTCACTGTAAACATATCAATATATATATGTAGAAATATGTCCTTGAGGCTTGATATCTGACCAATTATGCAAACCAGAGTTCCAGTGACAACACTGCCTTAGTCTCCATTGGCTCCTACAGTGGCCAGGTTGTTACCCCTATCAAAATCTTTAATCCCAATATCAGAAAAATCCCTTCATTTTTTTGTTCTGATAACATTTTCATAAAATGACAAGCTTTTGAACAACACAAGATCAGTATAAAAGTACTTTTTTAATTGCAGTTCATCTCCAATTCATTGTAACAAACACAACTCAGATAATAACAAAACAAGCATTGGCAAGATAGTTAAAAGCGAAAGTTAATTTTTGAAAGCAATTGTTTCATATGAAATATACAATCATTAGAATGTTTATATAAGTAGTCATATACACTATCACACATAGACATTATCGCCCTACTACAACTTTCCGTCAATACCTGTGTAATTTACATGTGAATAAAAAAGTACAAATTATAAGATCAATATTTTGTGATGTAATTAAGATATTTAATTGTGTGATGGATCCTTAATTGTTTATTTTACACTATATATATGTATACATATCCAGTGTGACACATTATCATTTACTGAAAACAATTAAAAATTGAATGACATGAATGATCTAACACTTTGATTGAAATGAACCAATTTTCCTGATTATGACACGAATTAACATGTCAGCTACAAGTGAATACTATAGCTAACATTCACAGATGATTGGATAATTCATTCAAAGAAAAATCAGTATGATAATATGAAAACACAAAAACAAATTCTTATTTTATTCATATGATTTATAGTATATAATGTATAGTACATGACGTATATTATGCTTGATAAAATATGTTGTATAAGTTGTAAAACCTTGCAACCATTGTACAGGTATGGTACTTTCTAAACCAACCATATGAACAAATGAAATCTCTGTAAAACCTTTTACAGAGAACTCTTTCAACCAAAGAAATTTTTCAGAGTTTGTACAAATTAATCTGTAAAAGATATCAATGAAATCCCTGTAAAACATCATACTGATAACTCATTCATCCTTTGAAATTTTCCTTCCCTTAACACCTGATTGGTTACAAGGTTTTTCTCACTCGCTAGTGATGTGGCCTGAACAATGACAGTCATTTGTGAATATAGGAAATGGTAATTACGGGTTATCATTTAACATATATCTCACAGACGTATACAAAGTTCGGTAGCACTTTCAAGCATCCACTGACCTTCAAGCATTTCATGACTTTTAAGGATGTAAGAATCAAGAAATCCAATCCAAGAAGTTAATTTATCCTGTATTATTTACCAAAATCACAAAATACCAGTATCATTTACAATATTATTTACCAAATTAACAGTATCATTTACCCAAACTACCATATCATTTACCAAAATACCAGTATCATTTATCATATCATTTACCAAAATACCATATCATTTACCAAAATACCAGTATCGTTTATCATATCATTTACCAAAATACCATATCATTTACCAAAATATCAATATCGTTTATCATATTATTTACCAAAATACCAGTATCATTTACCCAAATAACCGGTATCATTTACCAAAAATACCAGTTTTAATTATAAAACTATCAGTATTATTTACCAACTAACAAGCAACAAGTCTGATTCTCTGATTACTTTGGAATGTGTGTTATCATATCATAAATTCATGTTTAATAGCAGAATTAAGTCGTTTACCAATTAGGGCCTAAATGCTTCCACAGGTTGATACAACCAAATATAACACCATATACTCTATTTCCCTAATAAAATAGTACTGACCAAGAAACCAGCCAAACCTTGAAACACTCTGGAATGACTGGTTAAAATGTGTATGGATAGCCATTTTCTGACATTTCAATGCACACGACACTAAAATAATTCTGTAATTTCTAAAACCATTGTAAGCCATAACAAGCCAACATATTTTCTTTATAAAAGTGAAGTCACAATAGCAGGTTACCTAAGACAGAGTAATTTTACTAAAACAAACAAGTTGTTGTCGTAAAACTAATGCTGTCAACATAAACGAGCTGAAGCACCGTTACGAAGTCCTGTTTGTACCAGGTGAATACAAGGTCTACAAATCTGTCATCTAAATAATGCACATCAGTGAAATGACCGTACTAATACAGAATACTTCAATAATATGAAAAGTTAACACCCAGTGGTCACAGTGATTATCTTTTTATACCCATTCATGAAGAACATTATAGCATTCATAATACTGCAGTTCTGAAAATATAAAGTATAAACTAGTCACATGATGTGAGAGACATTATGGATGATGTTATGTCTCAATGAGATTTTTTTCTTATCCTCACACATTCAGTACAACAATTTTTAAGAAAAAATGATGTATTTTGGAAATCAATAAAAAATTAAATTCTGTTTAACTAAATGTCTTGAAAACAACTATGTTATGCCATGGTTATCCCTCTTCAGTCAGGGCAATGATGGTGACTCTAACTTTGTCATACACGCCAAGAAATACAGCGCCACCTATGGAAATCCATGTCACTCTCGGCACCAGCCCAGCAAATAGACTACAAAAGATTAAACCCACAGCAATTTTATGATAATTCTAATGGATGTAGAATTTGTATGATAGATATTAAGTCTGAGGAACATGTAAGTATATATATGTGGTTACTGGTAATGTTAACTTGAACCACACAACCAGCACTCCCAGATTATCTCCATTTAGCTGCACAACTTCGGGGAATAGTTACAAAAGTTATTTAAGGCAACACTTTATAAAACACCTTGGATATGTATAAATGGATTCCATTTTTTTGAAGGTATAATCCTTTTTCAATAGAAAATTCAATAACCTATCCCAGTGTAGAAAATGGAATTCACCTTTTTGGCATTTTCTATTAAACAAAAACTGATTATTCTAGGAATTATGACTTACAGTTGAAAAACATTGGATTCCATTTCACTTTCAAAATTTTTTTCTATTCTTTACTGCAACAAAATTCCAAAGTGTTTAACTTACCCTTGAACACCTTTTTCTGCATAAACTGTTTTAAGAGCAAAATTTATACTTCCTGTGGCAAGTGGGGTTCCCATCTGAAACACAGTACATGCCACACAATTAATTAATAAAATACATACAATTATTTTCAAGTCACATATCAGACAAAGTTTGACTCCAAAAAACAATATGGCCATAGTTTGACTCCAGAAACAATTAGCCATAGTTTGACTCCAGAAACAATACAGCCATAGTTTGACTACAGAAACAATACAGCCATAGTTTGACTCCAGAAACAATTAGCCATAGTTTGACTCCAGAAACAATACAGCCATAGTTTGACTACAGAAACAATACAGCCATAGTTTGACTCCAGAAAACAATACAGCCATGGTTTGACTCCAGGAACAATTAGCAATAGTTTGACTCCAGAAACAACACAGCCATAGTTGGACTCAGAAACAATAGCACAATTGTTTGACTCCAGAATTGATATAGCCACAGTTGACTCCAGTAACAATAGTCCCATTTTGTCTACAGAAACAATATAACCTAGTCTGATTCCATACCATCAGTGGTAGATACAAATCATCGATGATCTTTGTTTGATTCCATACCATCAGTGGTAGATACAAATCATCGATGATCTTTGTTTGATTCCATACCATCAGTGGTAGATACAAATCATCGATGATCTTTGTCTGATTCCATACCATCAGTGGTAGATACAAATCATCGATGATCTTTGTTTGATTACATACCATCAGTGGTAGATACAAATCATCGATGATCTTTGTCTGATTACATACCATCAGTGGTAGATACAAATCATCGATGATCTTTGTCTGATTCCATACCATCAGTGGTAGATACAAATCATCGATGATCTTTGTTTGATTCCATACCATCAGTGGTAGATACAAATCATCGATGATCTTTGTCTGATTACATACCATCAGTGGTAGATACAAATCATCGATGATCTTTGTCTGATTCCATACCATCAGTGGTAGATACAAATCATCGATGATCTTTGTCTGATTCCATACCATCAGTGGTAGATACAAATCATCGATGATCTTTGTCTGATTACATACCATCAGTGGTAGATACAAATCATCGATGATCTTTGTTTGATTCCATACCATCAGTGGTAGATACAAATCATTGATGATCTTTGTTTGTTCAAAACAAAATTGTTATCTCTCTAGATGAGTTGAAAAAATCTTCAGAGCCTAGTTTTGATAACATATCTTTTATCTTAAATGCCCAGAAAACCTTTATTGTAAAGAGAAGATGAAGAGCTGACAATACCTTTGCCAACATGATCCTCGTCTTAGCCACGTCCAGGGGTGTAGTCACTCCCGCTCCTATACAACCTTTTAAGATAGAAAGGTCACTACCAGTAAGTGATGGTGTCTTCTACCAATCAAGATATATCAACTTGGTTTATAGGTATCTGATATATTTCAACATCTTGGAAAAGACAAAAGTATTTTCATATAAATTTGTTCCCATTTCTAACTAATGAAATGACACAACACTATATTAAAATAATGTTATTAATAGGATCAAAGCAGTCCTTTTAAATGATACAAAACATGGTAAAGTGTGATCCATGAAAATATATCACTGACAAAAAAATTCAGTTTACAATGAATAGTATTGGCAATGGTTGTGGGGATAGTATTACTATACTGTTTATACATAGGTTTGTATCATTTTTACGAAGTGGTACAATGTTTACCTGCCACAGCTCCACACACTGCAGATTGCCATGGGTCTACAATTTTACCCTGGTAAGACGACCATCGCAACTGCACATGAGAAGGTAAAATGTAGGAATCATAAAACATCCTGAACAAGTACAGAAAATTTCAGTAAATGATAACTAATTCAAAGTCTTTTCTTCCTGTATTTTGGTGACAAACTCACCAATTAAGATTCTATGGACTTTCTTTCTAGATAACTCACAAGCCCCCACCCTCATTTTATATGTAACTGAAAAAAAAGGTAATCATTGAAGTTCTACACAATTAACTTACATATATGTTATCTAGACAATGAACATACTACTTTGTGTAAGTTTTGTTGATCAAATATTATTAAATTACAGGTAATCTATCTCTAAAGGTAAAACAAAAATTAAAAATAATAAATAACTGGAGAAGTCCCATCAGTTTACATGACACATTTGACACCAAAATTTCTGACTTTAGCTATCTGTTAAACAAATGAGTGTTTTGTGGCTCAAACATGTTTTAAACAGCACACTTTGGCTGAAGTTTTTTCTCCAAACTCTTAATTACATATCCCATTTCCATGTATCAATCGACAGTTCTAAGCAAAATACTCTCAAAAATATTACAAGGTAATAAGAATATTACAAGTTCTAAGGGAGAGATGAGATTACTCACCTTTAGGTATTCCCATATTGGAAACTGTATAAAGGAGAATGGCATCTCCCTGATTACTGTACTGAAGTAGCCACGGAACAAACCAGGGAATCCCTGTAACAACAATCAAGCAAACAAACCATAACATACATCAAACTAAAGATAAAAGGGTGATGTGTAGGGTCTATTGGCTTGTGATATTTTAACAATGTTGTTTTAAAAAAATTTTTTCAAAAACATCTTTAATCAATCACAGGATATCTTGAACATTCTTCCTCTTTATTCTTAATTTCATTCTAAGGTTACATGTTTGAGTAGTTAACTAGCTGACAGCCCTTCTTAAATTGATCTTAATTTTTTTATTTCTCTTGACTTGTAATCCTACCTGTCTGACATCGAAGATTTATTGGAAATCCATCTAAGTGAGGGCTAAAATGACCGTCAAGAACTCACCTCTTGTTTGAGTGTGGTTAAAAGTATAGACTTGGATGTCAGGTGTGGGTTGGCTTGAGCTCTTTGTTTTACAACTTCTACTGGAACTCTGATAAGGCAAGCTGACTAACAAAAATTTATACATCATAATACATAAATTCTAAATTAAGAAATTACATCAGTTACTTAAATATCACATAGCATTGGTTCAGAACTTAAGCTGTATTTCATTGTTAATAGAGATCACATTAGCCATCTTGAATACTACATTAGATGTAAATGGCAAACACCATTCGTCAATATCAATACCTCATCCCGGGAATCTAAATAGAACCAATCATTTGACCAACCACAGGTATTTCCTACATAATGTAGAATAAGCCCCTCAGTTTTACTTCCTACTTCTCTCGTTTTGTCACTGTAACAACCCTTTTCACTAATGATGCTTTGTCATACATGGTACAACTCTATACTTACCATTTCCCCTAATGATGCCCCATCATGTGTAAAGCTGTTTCTGTATTGACTATTTTCCTTATGAGGCCCCCATCATATCTGTTATATTTCTGTACTTACTATTTCTCCTAATATATCTATGTACTTACCACTTCCCCTAATGAGGCCCCAATCATATCTGTTATATTTCTGTATTTGCTATTTCTCCTAATATATCTATGTATTTACCACTTCCCCTAATGAGGCCCCCATCATATCTGTTATATTTCTGTACTTACTATTTCTCCTAATATATCTATGTACTTACCACTTCCCCTAATGAGGCCCCCATCATATCTGTTATATTTCTGTATTTGCTATTTCTCCTAATATATCTATGTACTTGCCACTTCCCCTAATGAGGCCCCCATCATATCTGTTATATTTCTGTATTTGCTATTTCTCCTAATATATCTATGTACTTACCACTTCCCCTAATGAGGCCCCCATCATATCTGTTATATTTCTGTATTTGCTATTTTTCCTAATATATCTATGTACTTACCACTTCCCCTAATGAGGCCCCAATCATATGTGATGCTGTTGACCATTTCTCACCCAAGGTATTCCTCATCACAGTCTTTGTCAGCTCATAGGTACAGAAAAACAAAGCAGCTACAAAATGCAATAAAGATTAATAACAAACAGGTGAAGAATCATATTATAAATTGTGTTTTGTTATAGACAAATTTGACATTCAAGAAATTAACCCATCTGTGCAGACTTGAGGACATAAGATCTCACTCTATGATTAGATGCTGAAACTTAAGTATTACAGCCTCCATAAAGAACTTTATTTTGAAAGATTAATTTAACTCCACTGAAAGTATAAAGATTTCTATTTTTTAAGTGCTATACCAAGGGACACTGTGATGATAGACCTTAGGTACAATGTGTTTCAGTTTGTGACAACACTGTTAGCCATCTTGTTTAATACATTCTTCTTATCCATTCATTTTTTTTATCTAAAGGACAAACAAGGATGATTAAAGACAAAACAGAGTTAATCAGTCCATCCTCCAATAATCTGGGTCTAAAAACTGATACATTTCAGGACTACTGCAACGCTGACATCCAACAGTACAATCATAATATACCTTCACTGTTAAAAAATAGAAGTGTTATCCATATTCTCAAACACACCAGCTTAAACCAGCAAAAAATAAACTGGTTTTCTGTTTTATCTAGATACCAGTAATGTTTGAAGAGAACAAAATTTAGTTGACATTTGGGGTGTCATTATTGGTTTTTGTGTCATTTTCATGATATGTCCAACTCTCTCTATAACATCAAAGACATCTTATGGCTACTGATGAGAAAGTCGATACTGAGATGTTACATTGTGGAAAGACATTTACGTAACCTGACAACTATTCTATACCTTTATGATGTGGTATCTAAGAACAACTTGTCAAAATATGATTTAAATACTTCTACTGTAACTTTATGTCACAAATCTTTATTATAGAAATAAAAATATTCATACAAACAGGAGTGTTTGACATCGTATCTAGAGGATTTTACTGATTCATACCTGTGGGTGCTGATCCGACCACTACTGGCAGCAGACCTGAGTATATTCCTCGAAATCCACCAGCTTTCAAGAAACCTTGCTGACTTTGTAGGCGGGTCTTGATGGTATCCAATGGAAACAGTGACAAATCTACAGAAATACCGGCGGCTGCTCCTGCCTATAACAAAAAAAGGGTGAAAACTCAGGAACCAAAATCTAAAATACAATTTCCTGACAGCAGCTTTAGCCTAAACTACAGATAGAACAAAACCCCTGAACAACGATCTACAACCGAATAGAACTGATTAGTTTTATTTCATAACAGGATATGTGTATGAGTTTAAACTGGAATAGGTATCCTTTAAGGCACCCCTGTGTTGAAGTGTGCTGTTGACAAATATCAGCAGGGAGAAGGGGGTCTTTTTCTACTTTGAATGAAATCTTACTTAGAAGCTGTTTTCCATGATGCAGATGGTAGTTTTGGTGAAGAGTAGGTAACTGTAACAAGTGTTACCTATTTTTTTAATAGTAAAGTTGGAGCTCAATCCAACTGGTGAAACTTGAGAAGTTTGAAATAGGTGTTGCACAAGAAAAACCATGACTGCACAATCGTGCTACGAAATGGCCTCCATGGCTGCTGTATCAAAGTTTTGAAAAGGTTGAAAAATAACAACACTTTGTTGGTTACCTTTCCTTAACATTCCTACCTATTTTTAGCTCAATGGAACCAGTGGAACTGGAGAAGAAGTTTAAAACATGTTTTTCAAGATGGCAACCATCTTGAAATTCAGACATACCCAAAAAATAACAACACTTGGTCAGGACCACCTCAGGATCACTTCATGCTAGTTTGAGCTCAATCCCACTAGTGGAACTTGGTAAGAAGTTTGAAACGTCAAAAGTTTATGCACGGTGGATGGCAGACAACAACGGACGAATCACAATGGCTTTATGTACCAACAAAATAATTAACGATTTCTCCACAATGAAGTGCATCCTATTATAAAACCAATGCAACGCTTTAGGTTTTTTTTTATATGTTTTGTCTTCCTTTTCTTTGAAATTGATTAAATGGTAATAGAAATTTTTTCCATTAATCAGAAAGACTGAGTATAATTGATCCACTTGATAATGTAGAATATACTAAGATACTGACCAGCAGGGCAACCTTGAAGTTAGTTTCTGTCATATCTGATGTAAGGCAGACCAACCATTCCTATACACAGCTTACATCTCTCACTGTCTGTAAACCAACAATACACAGATGATGTTACATTCAATCGTCAAGCACTGGAGGCAGACAGATACAACAAATTGTAAATTGTAAACAGGTACATATACATACATATACTAAAATGTCAATCAAACTCAAGAGTACGCGTCTTATATGGAAGTACTATATCATGTTGCTATAAGTTCACGCCTAGTAATAAGCTCGTCAATTAACATTGGTGTTCTGTATATTTTACCAGCAAATTCAAGATCATAATGTTGTCCTGAAAAGACCACATTCCCTGATTTTGTTTAGTTTATTTGTTGACCTTACTTTCCCTACAACAGTCAGGGTTTTTTTAAGACAAGGTCTCCTTGAATACATTTGCGGTTACTAGCCTCACTGAATATCATGCTAGAGGCCCATCACATGTCATTTGGCTAAAGAGATAGCCACTACAGGAACCAAAAAATTATGTAAACTGGGTTCATTTTTGTTTGGCAATATATAGTATATTAACAGATTTTCTCGTTACACCATGTTTATTATAAATCATTTTTGAAACCATAAGAATTTAATAAAACCTGCAAAACAACGAAAGGGTATTGTTCTATATCATAAGGTCTTATCAAGGCTGACTGTATCTTAAAATTCACCTGTTCAAGCAATTACATATGATCAATTACTGCCATTTTTGATAGATAAAAGATGGGCAATCTTTATCTTTAATAACACATCATATATTAAAAAAATTTAATCTGAATAGCTACAACAAGTTAAATCGCAGGATGTTTAACTTACTCTACCACTTTATAAGTGTATTTACAGGCAGATGTACACTTCCTGTGATGTTTCCTATTTACACATTGTAATATATAGTCATAAATAAGGAAGTGATTGATGTGTACTTTATTTTACAGTTACAACTCATAATTTAGTAACTTAATCAATCCACCATGGAAAAAAAATTAAAAAATCATGATGAAAAAAAAATGACAAAAAAAATTTGATTTGCACAAATAAGACCAGAATTTCACACTACATATGTGCAGTAAATCATTTTAAGATATCAGGGAGATGTCTTAAGTGGTGTACTACAGCCTTTGTAGAGAGAACATGAAACTCCTGAATCAAGTATCCAACTGATAGGCATTATAGCCCGAGCACATGGGCTGCCAGGAAATGCATTTTTGCCAAGCATATGCTGAAACATGTTGTCAAACCACTGAAGGTAACAGGATACACTTTACAAATCTGTTAAAGGAGTTAAAACTACTACAGGTTTTATTAGTAATACATTGTATTTTTTCATGAAGGCATTTAATTATCTTCAATGGCCTTCACCACAGACTTAGAATAAATCATCTGTTCTTTGATAATAATATTCAAATTCCACATGAAGAAGATAAGGTCAGACAGTAACAATATAATCCAAGTCACTTGTTGCCTGTATTCGAGTCATACATTGTATATTGGAATATATCATTGCAATGTCAAAAGGCCTCTTACTGATTCTATTCACCAAATACATCTAATATGAGGTTAACAGAAAAACTGTGTAGTCATGAGATAATCATGAGTATGTTGAGTTATATATCAGCCAATGAGATTTAATAACCTTATCTTCGGAGACCTTGACCTTTTATTTTTTATAAGGACAACTTATAAACTACACATATGTTTGATGCAAGATTGAATAATTAGCATAATGTAATTACACATTTTTTCCAACGAAAACATAAATTTTATGACATAATCATTATTTCATACATCTAGTTTCTACCCTACATTTGTTCCTGAGTTGACCTTTGACCTAAAAATCATAATACTTATGGTAACATGCTAATATTCGAAGTAAACGCTTACCAATCGGACAGTGATAACTTGCAGTTTTAAAAGGTCTAGTCAGGAAATATCTATCGATTTCCAGCAATATTTCTTCCTTTGGCTGATGAAACACCAAAATATCACTTCGACTATAGACACGTACCCACGTGAGATCTTACATGCTTGGTGACTTGAAAATAGGAAGTAGCTTTGAGCAGTAAATGCTTTTCTGCGGGGTCTTTTCTGCGCAGGCTCCGGAAGTAATTGCAACGTGCGAATGTTGTCAACATGGAACTCGAAGTGGACGAAGCATCAAAATCACTTGTAGCGTCGTGGTTTTCTGATGAAAGCTTCGATACAGAGCCAGAAGACAACCCATCTAAAAAGTATAATCATATATTCTCATCTGCATTTACTAACGAATTCAGTGAATGTCATTGACGTAAAGATTAAATATGCAAAGCGAGTGCACATGTGCCATGTGGTACAGTGGCATGCAGCTGGTCGTATGAAATGGTCATGCTGTACTAATGGTTTAATTATTGAAAATGCTTTTCAAATCCTTACGCCTGATATCTAAAAGTGAAAAGAAATTTAAATTATTAGCAGACACCTTCATTCTGTACTATTTCTTCATTTCAAACCTACTAGAAGTCAAAGAGTCCTCTCCATTCATATATATAACCAGCACTTAATACGTTTCAGGAAATTTCATTAACACCATGCTTAATGGCTTCACTTTCTTCAAAGATAGACCCATTTATAAAGTCACTCTGAGCAAACTCGCTCCGTTTGTGTTATTCATATTTCCAGTGTTTACAATTTTTTCCAGCTAATATTTTTATTAAAATGTCACACTGCCTTACTGAGACATACTAAAGTGTATAAAAATTGGTAGTTATTGCTCCCGGTTTTATCTTCTCCATTATGGCAATTTTATGATGCAAACATTTTTATCTGTTGTGTATCATAGTATGTAGAGTTTATGTAAAATTACACAAAATTTACATCATCTGTTACTCTGACTCAACACAGATGACAAAGTTTTACATCCAACCACACACTTACACTTCAGGTTGTGCAGTGGTAACACACTCGCCTTTCACCAAGTCGTCAAGGGTTTGATTTTTGTACAAACGTGATAAAAATAGAGGGTCACCTGTTTTACTGTTGGTTATCACCAAGTACCCTGGTTTCCTTCCACAATAAGACCCCTTGCACACTTACATCCAGGCCAATGAGGGTGATTAGTATAATTTGCAATAACTTGTTTCGCAATTGTTGTAAGATAAAGTTCATATTAAAACTTACACATGGATTAAATGGAGCAGATATTACAATACATTAAAATGATACCCTCACTGCATTCTGATGTCTTACACTTTGCAGTTATTTTGTGTGTTAATCTGTATAAACTTATGAAAGCTCTTTTTATGGCTTGCTTATTCTCAATTGTGTCTGAACTGGGAAATTTTGTATCCATCTAAGTTGTTAGGAAGTGTTGGAGTATGATATAATTTCCCTACTGATTTTAATTTTTTTTTTTTTTTTTTTACATTTTAGATATATGTAGACCAACATGTTTTAAATCATTAGCTACTCTAGTAGAGATAGATGACTGCTGTTATCTCATTCTAAATTTGCTGTTTTGTACGGCACAACTAACACGTTTAAGAAATATGGATTTGGTTTATTTATATTGAGAAACTTCCAAGGTTGTATCCGATGGATTCACAATATTTTAAATTACATGACTCTAAAAGAATAAATAAATAACAAACAAAAAATGGAAAATAAGTTAAAAAAACAAATTTGTTTATTGTGCCGCATACCCTTGCAGGTATTTTGCAATGGATAGTGTCTCTGGAAAAATCAGTAAGGTGGTTGTTCTCAAGTATTTGAAGACTAAGGGTTATGATCACATAATGGCTTGCATCTTTAATATTTCAAAACATGTATAATATTTGAAAATATTTATCCAGGAAGAAGAACAAGAAAAAGGAAAAAGTTGAGAAAACAGAGCCGCCAATTACAAAGCAGAAGTTAAGCAATGGAATAAAAAAATCACCATCATCAAGCCAATCATCAAACAACATCAGCAGCACGTCATCATTTGTGGAAGAAAAACTCAAGAAAAAACTGAAAAAGTCAAAACACATGAAGGATAAGGAGAAAAAAGGTATGATTTATCATTATACAGATTTAGCCAATAAACATGCGTTATCTGTTTAGCAAACCATTTGCATTGATCCAGTAACTTGTTTTCATTTTAATGTAGTGAGTATAGTCCCAAGTCCTCGTGGGATTGTTTTTATATATATTACTTACTTATGATTATATGATAATGATAAGGTCTAGTGTGATGACCTTATATGGCTGGATGCATCATCTCATTCATCTGTCCAACAGCTTGAAGGCCATAGTGAAACCAAAATACTGAAATACAACTTTTATCATTGGAGAGTGAACTTTAATGTTTTTTGTTAGTTCAGCCATCTGAAAAAACTGTAACCTTGACAACAAACACTTCTTTCATACTTTATCATGAAGATTATTCCTGTGTTAAAGAAGTTCATTATTTCACAAATACACAAGAAAAGATTAACAAGTCTAACATTTTTTGGAAAATGAAGAAAAAATATCCTGAACATTTCTTAGATTTTGTTAGTGTATTTGCCTGTTATAAGTCCTTGGTCAAGGGCCCAACCTCGACTCAAATAAGGAGCTTGTTACAGGACCAGGATGTAACATTTCTTGGTAATGCAACTGGAATGACATTGTGGATGGGTTTATTATCAGGCATGGACTTAATGATGGATATACAGGATGATTTCTTGTCACTGAATTTCCTCTCAGGAATTAAGCTTAAATGTTTGCACAGTAATCAATGTTGTGACAAGTTTTAATCATCAGCACAATTTAACTTCAGTCTTCAGTTTCAGGAGTTTTATAATTTAACATGTCAATAGACATAAATTCAGAGGTAAAATGTCACACCACCTCTTTGTACAGCATTATATGTACCACAGGCCGACTTAACAGTACTTGACTGATTTCAGAAACAGAGAAGAAGTTTACAGGGATGAAGAAGTTGTCTACAGCTGACAGTAGTGATGATGAGGAAGAGAGTAAAACTTCACTGGTGGGCCAGAAATCTCCCAACAAAATTCTTGTACAAAGACACACAGTGGAAAGTCTACAACAAAAGCTTGAGGACAATGCATTGTCAAAAACTGCAAAGAAGAAACTCAAGAAAAAACTTAATGCTCTCCTAAGCAATCAGTTAGTATTGGACTTTTTTTGAAAATGTGTTGATTCTTTCTTATTAAATGATTTATGTAACCATATTATGAATGTAATTAGGTCTCCAGTTTCAGTTTTTGTTAAGGCACTTAGCAGGAATGTGCTTTTATTTTAACATAAATCTGCAAACCTACACAAAGATAACCATACCCAGTTCAGTTAATTTGTATACCAATAATAATACTAGATTTGTATTTAAAAAATAGTTAATCCAATAAACATTAATGAATGTGACGTGAATTACATTGTAGATAGAAATAAACCTGCAGGAAAAAAATCTGTAGTCTACTGCTGGGAAATATTGAACTTAGATTCGATTACAGATTTAATAAACTAGTACTTGAAATTCTACAGTTAAGAAAAATGCAGATAGAAATCTGTAATCTTTAGTAAGAAGAATCCAACTGGTTAAGGTGTGTAATGTTGTTTTCATAATTAACTTCTTTTATGTTGTTTTAGAGAAGAGGATAGCAAAGCTGTAAAGCATAGTGAAAATATCAACAGTGAAACAAAAAAAGTTGAAAAGAAAAAGAAGGTAAAAGTAGAAGAAAGTAAAACAGAATCCAAGATTGCGAATGGAGATGACATTGAAAGAAACAGTATTAAAGGTGAAGAGGGCAAAGGAGACAAAGACAAGAAAAAAACAAAGAAAGGTATAGTCTACACTACTGTAAATTACCTCAATTATTTTGCCTATTATTCATTTTCATGATCAAAGCAAATCTGTGAAAGTCAATATTGTCGTTAATAAGGGCGGATTGTAAGAATAGTGTAGCCAGTTCCACAACAGTTTGTCTCTGTGTAAATATTGTGCTGGTAATTTATCCAAACTAATGATGACATTGCTGGTTGGTTTATAGATTATGAGAAGTGTAAACCATGAACTGGTATATAAATTGTAAGGAAATATGAACATTTTACATGAATATTTCATTCAGAGAAAAAATTGATGAAAAAACAGAAGGCAGAGCTTATATCTGATGAAGCACAGGACTCTGGAGAAAATAAGAAATTAAAGCCTAAAAAGAGACAGAAGGAAGCAAGTTCTTCAGAGGAATCTGATGATGATGGCCCAATGGTACACAAGAAACCAAAGATGAAGGTATCAGAAAACTCTGGGACTCCAGACCGTTCTAAACACAGCATAGTCACCTTACGGCAGAAACTTCAGATCACTACCTCTCAGAGTACCCGTAAAAATATCAGGAAGAAGATTGCCGAGTTAGAAGCAAAACAGTAAGTATGTCCAGGGAAGATATTTTCCTCCAAATAAACATTTTTACATGTGTGAAGTTATAGATCAGATGAAGATGCTGGACTGTAATAGTACATTGATTGAGTTGTAGAGGTGACGATAGAAATGGTGAAAAAATGAGTGAAAATTTTGAAATTATGATATTGGTGTGGCATTAGAATTATCCTTCCTTTTCTCAGCAAGAATGTAATACAATGTACAAACATAAGATCTTATACAAACTCCAATACTGTAATACAATGTACAAACATTAGGTCCTATGCAAGCTTCAAGAATGTAATACAATGTACAAACATAAGATCTTATACAAACTCCAATACTGTAATACAATGTACAAACATTAGGTCCTATGCAAGCTTCAAGAATGTAATACAATGTACAAACATTAGGTCCTATGCAAGCTTCAATAATGTAATACAATGTACAAACATAAGATCTTATACAAACTCCAATACTGTAATACAATGTACAAACATTAGGTCCTATGCAAGCTTCAAGAATGTAATACAATGTACAAACATAAGATCTTATACAAACTCCAATACTGTAATACAATGTACAAACATTAGGTCCTATGCAAGCTTCAAGAATGTAATACAATGTACAAACATTAGGTCCTATGCAAGCTTCAAGAATGTAATACAATGTACAAACATAAGATCTTATACAAACTCCAATACTGTAATACAATGTACAAACATTAGGTCCTATGCAAGCTTCAAGAATGTAATACAATGTACAAACATAAGATCTTATACAAACTCCAATACTGTAATACAATGTACAAACATTAGGTCCTATGCAAGCTTCAAGAATGTAATACAATGTACAAACATAAGATCTTATACAAACTCCAATACTGTAATACAATGTACAAACATTAGGTCCTATGCAAGCTTCAAGAATGTAATACAATGTACAAACATTATGTCCTATGCAAGCTTCAAGAATGTAATACAATGTACAAACATTAGGTCCTATGCAAGCTTCAAGAATGTAATACAATGTACAAAAATGATCCATCCAGAATTTTAAACTTGTCACAGAATAGTGATAACAAATAGCAATCATCAAAATTAAGGATAGGCGTGTCAGCTATTATCAAAAATCATAAATATGTTTGCCATTTAAAATAAAATGATAAGAATGGAATCAACAACTAGTATTTTAAACATTTTAAATATTTCAAACATAGCCTTTTGTCAGAGGTGTAAAGAGACCAATAATGTATTTACATTATGATAGATGGTTGTCCAATTTTTTTTAAGGCAATCACAGTCTGCTGCCAAGACTAACAGCAATGGTATGTCATCTGACTCGAGTGAATCAGAACATAGCAGTGATGTGATGGAGAAAACTAATGTGGTCAAGTCACCTGTAAAAGAATCTCTTATTGATAAGTTAAAGAAGATGAAGAGTCCATGTCTAGAAAAATCAGTCAAAAGTTCACCGATCACTCCAGGTAATCTAAAATGTTGTAACCACTACATTACATGTTGTAACCACTACATTCAGGTGACACTACACGGATCACTCCAGGTAATCTAAAATGTTGTAACCACTACATTACATGTTGTAACCACTACATTCAGGTGACACTACACCGATCACTCCAGGTAATCTAAAATGTTGTAACCCCTACAGTACTCAGAAAATCCAGGTGACACTACACCGATCACTCCAGGCAATCTAAAATGTTGTAACCACTACAGTACTCAGAAAATCCAGATGACACTACACCGATCACTCCAGGTAATCTAAAATGTTGTAACCACTACAGTACTCAGAAAATCCAGGTGACACTACACCGATCCAGGCAATCTAAAATGTTGTAACCACTACAGTACATGTTGTAACCACTACAGTACTCAGAAAATCCAGGTGACACTACATGTTCACCCTGGTACAAAGTTAGTATCACAAAAATGAATGTTTAAAGACAGCTTTTCCTGTTGCTGTTACTGCAGTGAACCTTGGGTAATGTTGCATTACCCTGTTTATTACCTGTTGGTAACGTAGCTGTTATTTTGTCCTTGGTATTTTTTTTACTTATTTCTATCATTAAATTGATGTTTCAAGGAAATCTTAGTTCATTGATATCTTGGTTAAAGTATTGCAGATAATTTTGCAGAGAATTTACTCTTAATGTGAAAAATAATTATGCGTATATATTGCTTTTCTTGAAATGGACATGCAGAAAAACATTAGCTCTAAAAAAATCAGTATTTAACTTGAAACATCAGATAAGGACATGCAGATCAGGTAGTATTTGTGTGAACTCTTTCATATTCATAGATAAAATGCACTTGTAGTACTTTAAATATCAGTATAGTAGTGTCTGTATGGTTGAGACTTTCAGATTCAGAATATATTAGAATATTGTAACTTGTATGACCAGATCTGTAAGAGAAACATTGATTAGTCTAACCCATGAGATCTGCTTTTATTTGGTATGTAGTTCACCATGAAATGCAGAGCAGGATTTTAAAAAATTATCATCTTTGCAGTGTTAAAATCAGTGTAAAATTTACGTCAATTTAGATTACGTATAGGATATCTAGATATCAGCTTTAAATCCTCAGAAAAATTTAAATGTAAATGTTTTTACACAAACAGCTAGCTCTAAGAAAAGATCAGCCCAAGAGGCAAAGATTGAAAATGGCTCGCCACCTAAACTGAAGAAAAAGTCTAAAGTTCAGGCTGAAGTGGGTGATACTACTTTGAACCCTGAGAAAAGTGTTGAAGAAAGACTCCACCACTATAACCAAAGACTCCAAGAAGAGGGTCTTTCTGCGGCATCAAGGAAGCGAATTCGACGACAAATTTCTAAACTGAAAGAAGGGTAAAAAAGTTAATTGCAGTTCAATAAGAGCAGAGGTTACCTCTATCTTATGATCAGGAGATGGACAGTTCAAACAGTGTAGTCATCAGATCATCACACAGAAATTCTTACTGGTTCTGATATAAGAACTTCTTTATACTTATCAACCTGGAGATAATCTTTCTCTATAAAATGTCTGGTGTTAGGGGTCATATAGCATCATATGTCTAAAGTGGTGCATGATATTTGTAATTCAATTACTACTAAAAATTGACAGATTTCAATACAAATTTTAGGAAGTTATTTAGGGGGGGGTGGTTTTGAGAGTTAGTTATATAGACTTCTTTTCACTGGTGCGGGATGAGACTTTTTTGCCTCATTTTGCAAAATGGTGAATGAAATTTAAAATTTTGGGAATTAATTTCAGTTGGGAGTGGGGTCAACTATCAGCCACTAAAAGTCCTCAAGAAACACTTTGATAGCACACACACGCACATACATATATATGGTAAATTCATTGTCCAAATCAAGACTTGGAAATACTAAACAAACCTTTTATATTTCTCCATGATTTAAACCTAAAAAAGTCCCGAATTTTCTGGTCAGGTGTAAGATGCCAATGATGACAATGAGTGGAGTTTTGATACATTATACTGTTAACATGAACTATATATTGGACATATTAAATTTCACAATTATCGAATTAACAAATTTGTTCATTTTACCAGATAATAGCTGAAATCAATGGTAATGCATTGTGTAGCCAATTCAAATGAGCATTCATCCTTGAAGGACACTGAAGCATTCAAGTTTTCATAGCCTTTCAATAGTTGGTGACTTGCCTGTATGTACATATGTATGCAACTGTTTGTTAACCAGTGACATCCTCACTCTACTTCAGTACTGATCAGATTGTCCACACAAGCTTACAAACATCATTTCTTATACGAGTTCTCATCTCACCCTTCTTGGGTTGGATTGAAGTCACTGTTACTATAGATGGAAATTTCGTCACACTTGCTCTACTGGTTTCATTAGCCATACAATTGTCGTACAGTTTCAGTATAGATATTGACAAATATGGAAAAAACATCAGGCAAATTAATGGCCTTTGTTTTTTAGGTGACCTATTGTGATCTGGTATCATGCATCCGTAACAATTTATTGTTTTTGGCTTCTTCTCAAAATCCTATCCGATTTCGTTGAAATTTTACAGAAAGCTTCCCAGGCCTAAGATAAACCAAAATTTTGAATTATACAGTCTAGACCCCAAAAGGGCCTGTGGGGCAAGGCCAAAAGGGGTTAGATTAACTTTAATTTCAAAACTCTTTTTTCAACACCGAGATATGGTAGAATAAAATACTCTTCATTGATGAAAGCGTCTAAAAGTGCTTTACCAAAATTTCATGGCTCCAGGGTCTAACATTTCCTGGAGTGGGTAAATTTTACTGTAGTTTATACAGGAAAACTAGTTTTTTAGCATGATTTATTTAATTTCCATTGGAAATATTTCAAATTTGGTTAGAATTATAAATAAAGGATGACGACTTAATGGCATGCCCATACTGATCCTGGCTGACCTCCTTGGGCTGATGGGTGGGGTCCAAAGGGATCAAATTGATTAAAATCTCAGGTGACCGTCAAGGCCTCTTGTTATTTTGACTGATCTTAGTCTACACAATACATTGTACGAAGACAATCATAATGAACACTCATCGTTACTTATTTGAATAATCAAAGATGATCAGATACTGTATTACAATTATCTTAAACAATAACAATCAGTGGCATCTCAAATTCACAACTTTCGATTCAGCATGTGTTTGTGTTCTGTGTGTGTGCAGGCTGTCTTACCCTGGCAAGATAGAGATGTCTAACTGGATATTTCAATTTGATGGGATAGAAATTGTTGTCTATCAAAACATTTTTTCATCACTGAATAGATCCTGGAGTGAGGGAATTTGTATACCATGTTGTTTCAGCTCTTTTTAATGAATTTTCAAACCTCCTTTTGCATGTGCAGTATTTCATCTATTTTCAGTTCGGGAAAAGAAGTCAAAACAACAACCATGACAGCAAAGGCAGTAGATTCAACAACCTCAAAAACAAAAAAGGAAGATTCAACAAAAACAAAAAGTAAAAAGAAACAAAAAAAATTAACAGAAACATCACTAGAACCCAACTCAAAAATTAGAGATTCAACAATAGAAGCAGCTGGAATGAAAACAGAAGGTTCAACAAAGAAAATGAAAGTTAAAAAGGCAGTGTCCCTGGAAATGGGAGAGAAGAAACTGGCAAAGAAAAAAAGAAAAGACTCTGATGAAGATTTGTGGAAGGCAACTGAAGGATGGGAGAGTGATGAGAACTCGGCTGATGATATAGTGTCAGAGGAAACACCCAAACAAAAAAAGGTGCAGATTTGGTAATGGATATATGATAACAGATTGTTACAAAGGCTTTTTTTATAAATAGAGATTTGTACTGAATTGAAGAAAATTAGATGTTGTAAACAGGGAACTTTCACACCAATTTCCTTTCCTAAAGACTAAAAAAATAAAAGGAGAGCTAAATTGTTTCATGTTACAGTAGACGCGTGTGTTTTTGTATATTCTACACCAAAATTAAGTATGGCTGAGAATGAACAGATTTACATATGGATGATAAAGTGTTATGAGAGAAGTAGGTAAGGTCTTAGTTTATCTGTAGATTTATAACATATAGTATTGATTCTTACAGAAAGCTGAAGATGGACATATCAGAAAACGATTAAAGAAAAGGAGTAAGCAAAAAAACATTAAGAAAGATAATAGACCAGACCATTTGGTAAGTATGGGGGAATGTATTAAAGTTAAGTTTATCATTGGCCTACCAGAATACTGCTGTTTATATAAATTTTACTGTCAAGTACAGTATATCATTTATCTTGCTTTTTTAGACAGTACTGGTACAAATGTTTAATTCTGTGATTAAAACTCCATACCTTAAGGAATATTTCATGTTCTACTTCGATTTAAATCTTCAGGCAATTATTTCTCAATTTGTGTTTTTTTTCTTCAGAAACCACCTCATTTAAGATTGGCAAAGGAAGGACAAGAGGACTCTGCTTAGTCTAAAAGTGAATTCCTGTGAAGTTTGGATATAGACATTGATTGTGAGAACAATCGTGAGAATACTTATTTTCTCTGTGGATTTTAGTTCGCGACTCTGACTTTGAGAACAATCGTGAGAATACTTATTTTCTCTGTGGATTCTAGTTCGGGACTCTGACTTTGAGAACAATCGTGAGAATACTTATTTTCTCTGTGGATTCTAGTTCGGGACTCTGACTTTGAGAACAATCGTGAGAATACTTATTGTCTCTGTGGATTCTAGTTCGGGACTCTGACTTTGAGAACAATCATGAGAATACTTATTGTCTCTGTGGATTTTAGTTAGGGACTCTGACTTTGAGAACAATCGTGAGAATACTTATTGTCTTTGTGGAGTCTGGATCTGGACACTAGTGATCGATTACTTGCCATGTGTTCATTATCTTTTTAAAATTGTTTCATCTGCATTAAAATGTAAGGAATAAATAGATGTGCTTTTATGAGAGCATGACTTGTTGTCTAGTTTTGGAGAGAGTTACATATAGAAAAATTTCAGATAAAAGATTTACTGTTTAAGTAGTCACAAAATCACACTATTTTTTCACTTGTGAATTTTGATGATGAATTCTACAATAAGTGTCACTCAGTACACTTGGTTGATATTGTGTTACATAAGCTTTGACAGGTTGTTGTTTTTGTTTCCACAGCTATGTTCTCATGTACAATATGTATTTTACTGCTACCGTTGAAACAATTGTCCTTGTTCTGATTTGTTGACAATCTCATTTTAGTGTAATGGTATATGATTTTTGTTTATGATTTCAGCAAAACTTCCACCCTATGCATTCGCATCTTATGCAAATAAGAAAGTAGGTCATCCTTTTTCTGTGTTCTGGAAGATAACATTGTTCATACTTTATCCCAGTTTTTTAGCTCACCTGACCCAAAGGGTGTTAAAACCTTTAAATATTTTCTTCTACCTAACCAAAAGACACAGAAGCATGGTATATGTCAGTGAATAATAATTCTACTCTTACCCTAAAGGTCTAGATCCCCACTTCTCTGCCTTTGATATGACAAGGAAATCTCACCCAAGAGGAATCCCCCTCCCCCATCTCTACCTGGGGTATGACAAGGAAATCTTACCCCGGTAAAACACAGTAGCACTTTTGCAGAAGTAAAAGCTGTGTATGAATGACTTCTGTATAACAGTAAACTGTTTTAAAGATAACTTTGTTTGTGTGTTCTTTAACATATAAATGATACATAAATCTGGTGTTGAATATTGTATAAATAGTATTCTAAAGCAATGACGATGAAATACATTTTTTATTGAATGATCTTCATGATCTAATTCCCAATATACTCATTACCATAACAATCATTCTGACACCAGCTTACAACCTGACCTGAATCTGTCGACAAATTGGCTTTGACAACATCAATGGTTGAAAGGAGCATTTGATTGACTTAAGAACATAAGAATGCTTATACCAGAGCTTAAATCATTAATCTAATGCCACATATGTCAATAAAAACAAGTATTCTATCCCCTTAATATATATCAAAGCATTTATTCATTAAATGATTGTCCAATAAATTACCTGTGACTGTATTGGTGATTGTCCAATAAATTACCTGTGACTGTATTGATGATTGTCCAATTAATTACCTGTGACTGTATTGGTGATTGTCCAATTAATTACCTGTGACTGTATTGGTGATTGTCCAATTAATTACCTGTGACTGTCCAATAAATTACCTGTAACTGTATTGGTGACTGTCCAATAAATTACCTGTGACTGTATTGGTGACTGTCCAATAAATTAAATTACCAATAAATTACCTGTAACCGTATCGGTGACTGTCCAATAAATTACCTGTGACCGTATCGGTGACTGTCCAATAAATTACCTGTGACCGTATCGGTGACTGTCCAATAAATTACCTGTGACCGTGTCGGTGACTGTCCAATAAATTACCTGTGACCGTGTCGGTGACTGTCCAATTAATTACCTGTGACCGTGTCGGTGACTGTCCAATTAATTACCTGTGACCGTGTCGGTGACTGTCCAATTAATTACCTGTGACTGTATTGGTGATTGTCCAATAAAAAATACCTGTGACTGTATTGGTGACTGTCCAATAAATTACCTGTGACCGTATTGGTGACTGTCCAATTAATTACCTGTGACGGTATTGGTGACTGTCCAATAAATTACCTGTGACTGTATTGGTGACTGTCCAATTAAATTACCTGTGTCCAATTAATTACCTGTGACCGTGTGGTGACTGTCCAATAAATTACCTGTGACCAATTAATTTTTTATTGGTGATTGTCCAATATGACTGTATTGGTGACTGTCCAATAAATTACCTGTGACCGTATTGGTGACTGTCCAATAAATTACCTGTGACGGTATTGGTGACTGTCCAATAAATTACCTGTGACTGTATTGGTGACTGTCCAATAAATTACCTGTGACCTATTTTTTTTTATTTGTGTTTATGTGATTGAATCGGGGGTGGGGGGTTAAAAAAATGGTGAAAAAAGTGAATTAGTAAGAAAATAATGAATTGCTTCACTTTACCATGACTGTGGTGAAGTGAAACTGTCCCACTCTTAAGTTCCTCATCCCAGATCTATTTTTGTTATTTATGTGTTTATATGATTGAATCAGGGCAATAACAAAAAAAAATGTGAAAAAAAGAGATCTTCATCAGTATCATTATCATCATCATCATCATCATCATCGAATTATTAGCTTCATTGACGAGTCTTGAAATGACAAAACAGCAGAATGATGCAGTCTTGTTAAAAGGTGCATTCGAAGGACTCTGAAACCACTAACTATATAAACACACAAGGAAACAAATAGGTTATTTAGCAATAATAGGAAGAAATACATAATTGTATTTAAACATCTTTCGTTAGAAAAGAGTCGCACCTTTCCACCATACTGAGCAAGCAGTCCTTTTTTAATAGATGGCTTAGTAACAAAAATCACGGTAGGCAAAATAGGTTTAGTTTTATACGTTAATTCTATACTAGGTAAGAACTGGAGATAAAGTATTCGTACAGCTGTCAACACCTGCTACTCGGCCTGTGTTTATCGCCTTTAAAGATGGTTGTTCGTAATAACCAGGAAGCACTTTGGCTGTTAAGAAAAATCTAGGTTGGAGTCCTCATCTCCGTCTATTTTCTTGTCTGCTTTATGTGGTGAATAACCAAATAAGATGATTTTAGATGTGAAAACATACGAAGGACCTGTACTTGGTCAATCAACCATGTCTACCAGAGAGTTCCGTTTATGGTTAACATCTCCATGTCGGAATCACACCTAGAACTCTTATTTTCAGCTCTTCTTGTCTGTGGTAGTTAAGTGTTGTTGCAAGAAGCTGAGAAAAGGACCTGCCTGTGCAGTCGTTATTGAAAAACATTTAAACCCAATTGCTTTGGACGACATGAAATGGACCTTTCGTATGTTGTTCATTGAGGTAGCCACCTGATACTACAAGGAACCTTCCTCATAACGACCCTTGCTGTTCACTTTCTTAGTTAAAGCAATGACGAGTTCTCTTACATTTACCACACGTAAAATGTTTGACCATCGAGTGTATACCTATCCCGATTTATTTATATTTTCACCTGTATGTATACCTGTGTCTATTATATACCTTTAAGTTACCTGTATCGACTATATATACCTGTATATATACCGTCTGTACCTGTATATGTATGTACACTATATACAACTAACGGGATTTAAAGGTTTGGCGGCGCTGTTGCTATGCTGTTGTTGTCAACACGATTCAATACCCTATAAATATATACCTATATATCCCTACTGAAGTGTGTTAGCAGCGGTATCCAGGATTTTTTACTTCGTACTTCTTTGTCGAAGGGGATCATGACGGAGGAAGGTGGGTTAGAATAACACCATTGTACCATCAACTCTCGCAAACAATACACTATTTTTACCTTTAATGTATAATTTATGTGTAAACAATGACTTGATTGTATCCTGATCGCTATCTGCCCGGAACATTTAGCCCTGTAATGGCCCGGGTTCTATGTAATCGATATACTTATTCTCTAGTGTTAACACTTTCCGTAGAGTGTCTTGGAATGTGAACTCTCTCGTCACATATTGGGACGTGGGGAAGGTTTGTTTAATCTGTTTTTACATTAAATCTAGCCCGTCGGTTTGACAGGAGGATCGGTGTTTATACTGTATGCCTCAATACACATTTGACGTAATTTCCTGTATCACAAACACTCGACTGTCTGTTCGCCGGGCCGATCACACGGGACGAACTATTTGTCCATCAATCAAATATAAAGAGGGGTTAGGGCTGCACCGTGGGGGCTCTGTCTAACAAAGATCGATTTAGACCAAGTTTTTGTCAGTATTGCTTTGAATACAAATACCAGTCTTCGGTTGGTACTTTCGATGCTTAAATTCACTAGTCAAATTTCAACCTTGCAATCGGATTCAAAACGTGAAAAAATTCGATAGGCTTTGTTAGAAAAGAGCTTTTTGTAATTAATCGATACCGAGAACATTTATATTTGATAGGTAAGGTCCACCACCTATTATATCTGGGTGTACAATTTCTATTGTCAGTTTCTTTCATTACTAATCCACCCTGACAACAAGTAGTCCGTGCTATTTACGAACTACTTTGAGGTAGAAGCAAGGATTTTCTCAACAACAGAGGCCAGCTTCATGTAGTTAGAATCATCCACGATAAAAATGAGTTTAAGATAGACGTGTGATTTAAAGTTCCCCTGTCGTGTGCACGGAATTGGATATCTGAGCCCAGGATTGATATAACCTTCAAATCTAAAAGATGTTTCTCTTTATCAAATTTCACACTGCCTGCCCATATCAAATACAGAATTTCTCGATGAAGCAGAAGACGCTTACCCTGCCGGAAGACCTGGTTTGAATTAAGATTCTGTTGACATGTCGCTGTTTGCTTTGTTCATTATATCAAGTTTCACATTGTTTATTCACTTTGTTAGTCATGGCATAGTCGGATTACGGTCGATAGAAGGCCAGAATAAATACATGAACGAATGAAAAAGACACGGTATAAAACAATAGTCCCGAGTCTCTATTAACCACTGTTAGGACTTTTCACAACTGCAACTAATATGCCATTTAAAAACCGAGAAATGAAACGACATTTTGGAATCATAGGCTGTTTAAATTAAATTGATTGGGATGGACCTGAAAACGGTTGACAACTATGATAGCCCTACACGGTTCGACGTCTTGCAGGAACAGGGGTGAGAGATTGTTTCAGAGTGTAATTTTTCTAAATTAAATCTTTTTATAATACAAACCAATGTACGAGCATGATATGCCGGAGTAATTTTGGTGGTCATTATCACGTGGTCTTTTCTGTCATGATTATGACGGATGTGGTACAATAATACGTATTACCACTTACAGACTTGTAAACGTGATGTTACCAATAACACAAGCTGAGAGTCCGAGACTGAATAAATCAAATCCCCAAATTGACCTGTAAATATTGTGAGTTTAGGTTCTTTAGTGCCCAGTCCTTTACGTATCAGTGATTGTACATAGATATATACTGGTTTCACATCAACCTGCATCTCCATGTACAGACTACTTAATTACGTCAACTGAAAGCGACATATTAAGTAACCCATATCCACCATGCTGTGTTGTTGACTAGATTTCATACTTTTTACAACATCAGGAATAGAGTTGATGGAGATGTCGAAATTAATTCCATTGTTACAGTATTCATCAGGCTTTATACTCCGGACAAAGCCCGGGGCGATACGATTGAATAGAATTAATGAAGGCGTGATAAAGTGGATTGCAATATCAAATTAACGTCGTACGTAAGGTTAAATTAATACTGAAGACGAGTATTGACACGAAGGCGACCAATCACAACATCGATTACTACACATAGGATGTAAATTCCCCCGTGTCTCTGGTCGCCTTGACATCTAAGCATTGACTCCTTCCGCCGGGTAGCAAACATATCGTTGGTTATACCTGTATAACTGCCTATATGACAACAGGTTTCCGTCAAGTGTTTTGAATTTAGACTTAAGTGATCCATATCGTTTTTCCTACCTGAGAGGACTCTACCAAATACCTTGGAATTAACTACGTGAAATATAGACAGTGATATGTAAATAAGTCTGGAATCAATTTGATCAATAACGTAAATTCTTTAATAAAAAGATCCAGTGGGATTGCAGCTGTGTTTTTACCAAAGGACAACATTCCTTGAATGATTGAAAATGCCAATTCCCCGAGAGCCGAGGAAAAAGAAAAGTAAGTGTTTACAAAATGCAGTGAAATCGTACAGGAATCACAGGGAATCATAACTAGACCTAATTGGCCTGCAGGGATCATCCGATGTAATTGAATTTATGTAACGAACGTTTGATACACTGTGACTCTGACCCTAATTCGCCTTTCATGTTATTAGTGTTGGTTAATTAGATAAAAGCGATAGACATTCACTCCAGAATGTTACAGACAGATGAACGACAGAATATCACGCCGTCATAACGCTTACTATAGAAGTTAAACTCATTAACTTTACATGTCTCTTATTTCTAAGGTCTCTACAACTTCTACATCTCTTTTCTAGTGTTGAATTCAGTTTTTGTTCTTGTGTTGCTAAAGCATGTTTTAATTTTAGGGAATCATGAAACCCTGTATTTTGCATATTCATGGGAAATTTTATTAAAGTCTGAACGGTAAAATTCTATAGCGGAGTTATAAATCTTTATCTACCATACATAAACATTTGTGGACAATTTAACAAACCTGTTTCATTAATAATTTGTAGCATATCAACCTTATTGTCCTGTAAGTGGCCTATTTTTACAACTCCTATCTTAAACCCTTCTATACCAACACAATGGGTGCCTACTGGTCCTAAATCTTACCAGTCAACACCAACACAATGGGTGCCTACTGGTCCTAAATCTTACCAGTCAACACCAACACAATGGGTGCCTACTGGTCCTAAATCTTACCAGTCAACACCAACACAATGGGTGCCTACTGGTCCTAAATCTTACCAGTCAACACCAACACAATGGGTGCCTACTGGTCCTAAATCTTACCAGTCAACACCAACACAATGGGTGTCTACTGGTCCTAAATCTTATCAGGCAACACCAACACAATTGGTGTCCCCTGGTCCTAAATTTGACCTGTCAACACCAACACAATGGGGCCTACTGATCCTAAATCTAACCAGTCAACACCAACACAATGGGTGTCTATTGGTCCTAAATCTTACCACTCAACACCAACACAATGGATGCCTACTGGTCCTAAATCTTATCAGTCCACACCAACACAATGGGTGCCTACTGGTCCTAAATCTTACAAGCCAACACCAACACAATGGGTGCCTACTGGTCCTAAATTTACCCTGTCAACACCAACACAATGGGTGCTTACTGGTCCTAAATTTAAACTCTTGACACCAACACAACCTGTGTCTATGGGTCCTTAATCTAACATATCAACATATGATTTGTTTCTTTTGTCTTTCTGAACATAACACACATTTATATACTTAATTTGGTTTACAGTGGCGACCACAACTAAGTCAAAGGAGTCGGCAGTGCTGAAGGATAGCAGTCTCGCCATTCTAGCAAAGGAAATCGGCCAGGATGATTTGAATGGACTTGTGTTGACCATGTACCTTAATGTCCCAAACACAGACATTGTAAATATTGCCAATGGGGCATCAGAGTGTGGACTCCTCAATGCCAACGAATCTCTGAGAACGGAAACCACGCGAAAATGTCTCATGCACTGGAAGAACATGCGTGCTGGAGCAAAGGAGAGGGAGAAAGTAAAGGAACTGGACAGAGCATTGAAGGAACTTGGAAAAGCAGAAATTGCTGATATTGTATCAGAGCGACACTCTAATAATGCAGAGCTGACACCTGACGCTTTCTCTAATCTTGGTTAAATGGTTCTTTCTGAATCTAAACCCATTCTTCTACATCGACCCAAACATTTTGTATTTACCGTTATAAATAAAAAGTTGGACGCAGTGTATCAGGTTGCATTGTGTTGTTAAAGAAACATGCTAAATTGGTGAAATATGAATCTCCTTTCTAAAGAGTTCCATGACATACTGAAATTGAAATGCCTAGCCCATATACCAGAAATAGACTCAGATAAGGTTCGAATAGATAATGGACTTTCAAAGGACTTGCCAAGGATCACCTGAGTGCAACTCTCAGGACAATATGGTCTGTGGCTGCTTGAAGAAAAAAACTTACAATTATCACCATTATTGAACTGTATACTTTAAAAAAATAGATATGCATTTTCAACTGCCAAAAAAAAGTGCTTTGGGATAATCTTTTGAATTACTTTTATACAAATACTGCAAATAAATATATAAATTTGTATCATGGTAACATGTGTTTTTCGTAACTAATCCCTCAGAATGTTTGCCCTGTACTCATGCTCAAAGTCATCTTGGCTTCAAAGAAACGAAATTACATGAGATAATTGCAGAATGAACATATAAGTGGTATGTCATATTTATTCATTTCATGTTTGAAATATGTATTGTGAATATCATTTTAATGCCTGAAAGTGAGAACTTCTAAACACCTTATGGTTAATATCAAACAAAAATAATTTGTGACTTGTTAATAGTAAATTACATACCTGTTCCATCCTGCTCAGGACTCTCCATTCTAGCCAAAGTAAACTTATCCCAATATTTCCCATCTGATCAGCATTTCAAGTTGATTGATATGAAAATGTTTCATGTATTGATGTATCTCAAGGTGTCAGAGGTTAAGTCAAGACAATGTGTCTTGTATCTCCCAATGTCAGGGACACAAGGTGTCAGAGGTAAAGTCTAGACAATGTGTCTTGTATCTCCCGATGTCAGGGACACAAGAAGGTGTCGGAGGTAAAGTCTAGACAATGTGTCTTATATCTCCCAATGCTAAGGACATAAGGTGTCAGAGGTAAAGTCTAGATAATGTGTCTTGTATTGATGTATCACCTGATATTAGGGACACAACAAGGTGTCAGAGGTAAAGTCTAGACAATGTGTCTTGTATTGATCTATCACCTGATGTTAGGGTCACAACAAGGTGTCAGAGGTAAAGTCTTGACAATGTGTATTGTGTTGATGTATCTCCCGATGTTAGGGACAAAAGGTGTCAGAGGTAAGGCCAAGACAATGTGTCTTGTATTGATGTATCCCCTGATGTTAGGGACACAAGGTGTCAGAGGTAAAGTCTAGACAATGTGTCTTGTATCTTCCGATGTTAGGGACACAAGGTGTCAGAGGTAAAGTCTAGACAATGTGTCTTGTATTGATGTATCCCCTGATGTTATGGACACAACAAGGTGTCAGAGGTAAAGTCTAGACAATGTGTCTTGTATCTCCCGATGTTAGGGACACAAGGTGTCAGAGGTAAAGTCTTGACAATGTGTCTTGTATTGATGTATCCCCTGATGTTATGGACACAAGGTGTCAGAGGTAAGGCCAAGACAATGTGTCTTGTATTGATGTATCCCATTGACGACAATGATTAAAATTTGTCATGTGTATTCAAATTAAAACAGAAAATTCCATTAAAATGATAAAGTAACACATTAGATGATGTATACCGGAAATGAAAAAAATAATGATACTAATAATTAAGTATATTCATAGTGATATTTTATTCGCATGATTTTACGTTAACAATCATCAACATTTAGACTTAAATTAGTAAAAACATTTCCCATTATTAGGTAAAAGCACCACACTTTACAGAACATTCTAATTATTTCTCTTTTTTTTTACAATTTTAGTAAAATACAAAACAGAAAGAACAGAAGGACAATTAAAAAAATAATCATTTTTCAAACTGACATGTAATATGTGTGCAACCAACTATCACATACTTTGTCAAAAGTATGTTGGACACCTTTGGGAAAAGAACCAATGGCATTCCACTCCACCAAAGGCAGTTTTATATAGAAATGTCCTCCACTTGTTATTTGGAGATACTAGAACTTATAATAAAATTCCTGGAATAATGAGTATTTCATTTATTCTAAGAAAAGCTCCCTCCCTTATAGATGTCCTTTGATTCATTTTCTGTAAGGTAAACCATATACCTACAGAAGTCCAGAACAAATTATGATGTGATCTTTTAAACATCCCTTAATTGAAAAATGTCAAACCCTTCGAAGATTTGTTAAAATAACTCACGTTTCAGAAATACATGATTTCAAACAAAATGAAATTGTCCAACAAAACATATAAATACACAGATGCAAGTGAGTGAGGTGGCAAGTTTTATCTTTGATCTAGAATTTTAAAAGTTTAAATGTAGCACATATATATAATCTAGTGGAACACAGTCTGTCCTTTATCAAGTACAAGTTTCATAAACATGATATTCTAACCTCATGGAAATGGAAAATGACGAGACATATAAATCTTATTTACACTGTACAAAATACTACTGAAGATGTGAAATGTTGTAAATGAATTAGGTATTACACAAAACATACAAATTTTCACATATTTTGAAATGCTCTATGTTCTTGGTGACTGGATAAATTTACAAAATATTTGTATGATTGAAATTCTTCTTATTTTTGTCATATAAAGCTTCCTTGATTTTTAAGAGCAAGCAAATGCTTTGTTTTGTTTTGATTTCATTATGATAATAAGGATTATTTACTTGTAAAATATCCTGAAACTACCAAATTTCTTTTCACAATTTTTTTAATATGAACCAATCCAAAAAATGTTTCCCTTTTTTTTCAAAATTTCGAGAGATATTTGAAAAATAATACTAATTTTTTGTAGTCTAATGACCTATTTTTAAATCTCAAAGTTCTAGTATGGTACGCACATATAAAATTGTCATGGTATCAATTAGAGGGCATCACTACATTTACTGTCACCTTACTTACAAACAATAAATAAAGGAATGGCACACTGCATTACATCTTACACACACTTTCACTTAGAGCAGTTGAAAATGTCCCTAAACAATGATCATACAGAGGCAGATCATTTATAGTAGATCTGGTGCTGTATGATATCAGATCTTAGTAAAGGAGAATAGGTTGGATAAAAAAAACCAATCCATGAATGGATGAAAAATAAAAGAAGCACTACACATATTTGATACTATGGTATTGAGTGCTTAGATTCAAGCAAGCCTAGTATTAAATTGTATCCCAACTTTTTCATTTAGAAGATAAAACACAGTTATAATGAAAAACAATTAGATTTCAGATCAATTAAGATCTGAACTTTATAATCCTCAATTAATATAATTACATAACATTATGATTTAAATAGCACACATTATTTCTTAATAGTTTAAATGTTCAATAAGTCATGATAATTCTACAGAAACATGCTTTGCCTAATGGCAAAGATTCTCATTTTGCAGCAGACATATACAATGAACTATAGTATTTGAACTTACATATATATATACACGAGTGTCAATAATCATTACTACAGAAATGGATTTTTCACCAAAAATTAGAGATTTGTATGTTAAAGCAGCACTACTGGGAACCAACAGTGCCATTATTACACGAAAAAATTGTTTGTGTATCACTAATCTCCATTATATGCTTACATATTATGAAGTTAGAAATTTCTGTTTCCCACTGCTTAGTAAAATTAGTGATATATTATTTGTATGTGTTGATCAGTCTTTAAATCTTTTGTTTTAGTAAGGAAGAAGAAAGCTAAATTGACAAAAATTGGCACAATTTTCATAAATCTTAAATAAAAATGAAACAAATGTAACATCCATTGAAGTTCAAGATCAAACATTTTTCACTTTATATGTACAGCAGTAACCATGCTTTTTGACATCATTTGTGAAATTACTGGCTCTACATCACTAGCTTCCATTGTGCCTTCATTATACCAGTATGATATTAAACTTTTCACATGATGCCATTTTTTTATTTTTCATATGTGATTATGAAATGAGTCTAAGAATTTTGAATTTCAACAAGCCTCTGGCAACTGTTCTCTATAACCACATATAGGATGTCAGAACAGCATGAATAAAGTGTTGGATGGATTAAGGATACTTAACTGTACATCACTGATCATACACAAAGATTGTGAGTGATTAGAGAAGCCACTTAATTACAACATACTCTGTTGTTCAATATTGCAATAATCCCATCAGGTAAAAAAATCACTTTCTTACAACCTGAAGAAAGGGATAGAACACTAAAATTCTCAACAGTATATCCACTTCATCCAAACGTTATCTGTTGTGATATCTGTAAATATAAACATGTAACTGGTATAGAAACAAATATTGGTAATTATCACCTCAAATAACAGTGAATATTTCTTATATTTTTAAGTATCAAGACTAATAATAATTTAGCCAGGCAAAGTTAATTTTAAAGATATGTTGGAAATACATTTTTATATCCATAAGCTTTCTGTTAAAAAATCAGTGGAACTTAACCATTTCATAGCATACTGATAACACAGTGCATCCACTATTGTTGATCCCAGGTGTAAGAAATTAACAAATGTGTATGAACTATCTCCGGCTTGACTTATGCCTGGTTTGACACTGCACAAAGCCAAGTACTTTGATGGGAAACATTAGTAATTGTACAACGTTTTACAAGATAACTTTTTGTGTAAATATTGCTATCATTTTCACTTTTCACATACAAATGTTAATAGTAGTCATGAAGCTCACCTGATTTGGAGGATATGTTGCCGTGTATATTACATTCTGTTGATCTGTTGCCAAGATATTGCTTTGTAATGTGTGGGCATCTGTTGAATATCAATATTAGAAAGTTATAAGGAATTAATGTTATAACTTCAAGTACAAATTCTTCCCTATATCTTTGGTAAATCAGGTTATTATGGGGAATTGTTTTAATGGTAAAGAACATGATCTCACTAGAAGATATAATCAATTCATTAAACAATTCTGTAATAAGAATTCCCCCTGATTCCAGATCGCTATAACGAGTAAGTCTCCATTGAAATAATCGTTCAGAAAAAAAATATATATATGACTGTTTCGTACTGTAGGTCAAAAGTATTGTTTTCATATATATGGGACATGTATGTACAAATGTTTTGCATATTTTTGAAAGAGTTATAGCCAATTTCCAAACTTAAAAAAAAAAAGAAAAAAAAGATACGTGCTGTGAACCATGTGATCTACCTGCACCTACTAAATCTGATTTCTGCAGTACCTAAATATTCTGAGAAATTGATTCAACACATTTTTATCATGTAGAGAGTGGATATGTATACAAAGGGAAATATAACACTTGTTTCCACTACTTCAAGACAAAATTTAGCAAGAGAGTACCTGTTATAGAGAAATAAAATAGCCACATTGTTATCTACACCAGTTAACTGTAAATAAACAGAGACGGAGATGGAGAGAAGGACACATACTTGACTTCATTAGGTCCTTGTAGGGTATGGTGCTGTAGTTTGTTACATACTAACAAAAGATGAAATACCTTTTAACACAAATGTTGATCTGGGCACCACTATATACCTTGTATAGCTGATGAAGTTAGCCAAATAAAAATTTAGAAATCATATATAAACAAACACTTTCACAGTAATGAACTAAATGCATCACATTGAAATTTATAATACGGATGTTTTATAACAAGGCATTTTGTTACTTACTAAAACTGTCTTCTGAGAGATCTTCTAGTCTACTTTCCTCCGTTATTTGGCCCGACTTGTCACCTTTTGCAGACTGGGGGTGGAAATATTTATCAATGTATTCAAAACTACTACAAAAATATTAAGTAAATACATAGTAAATGTACATGTAGCCAATTCAGCAATGTGAAACCCATGACAGATTTACGGAGTCTGGGCAATTGAGGTTTATATCGAGAAAGGCTTATTTTTGACTAAAAGATTTTCAAGTTCATGTTCAATGCTTTTGCCTTAATTACATAACAAATATGTGTCAAAGATTGTACAAAAGACACACAAATGAATAGCACCTTGTCAAACAATGAATTAAACTATCTCATACAGCTGCTTTGTCCTTCTAGAACTTGTCAGTCCCATAATTCAATAAATTTTGTAATTTTCATATGTCAAATAATCTTAGAACTATGTCATATACATGTGTATATTCTGAATTGTGTCAATATTTGAATGAATTATAATGTGGCATGCAGCTTATGGCAAACCTCTGGGACTTAAAAGTCCAACAGCAGTATCTACAACCTGAGATCTCAAACTGTAACTTAATGATACTCCAGGCAACAAAATCACTGTAGATAATACAGAGGAAAGACAAAACCTCAAGTCTTAAAATGAAGATGACAACTACTGTGTTTGATAACTAAATATAATATTAATGCCTTGTAACTTTGAACATTTATTGAATATAGAGAACATAACAGTCATAACAAATAATACAATGTACAAAGACCCACTCACTTCTCGATATTTTTGAAGGTATAATTTCAGTGGTTCAACGTAGCTGTCGAATCCAAGAGTTGACATCGCAAATAAAATGTCTTCTCCATTTATAGTTTTTCTCTTTTCCTGATGACATCTCTCACTAGCTCTTCATAGGAGTTAAGGGTCATGTATATCATACAGTGTACACATTCCAGTACACTTAAGTACACATTATCAATAGGAAGACTTTCTGTATGTGAAACAATACCAAGAGATGTGATTAGGTAATACTAGTTTAGCAACTGATCAATATGATATAAGTATCTAAATAACAAGTCTGCTTCCTTCTGGACTCGTTAATATAATATAAATAAAAAAGATTCTGACAGAGGGGAAAAAACTAAATAATCCAATAAAGGATACTCGCTGGTAATAAAACTGATGAACTCTGATACACATTCCTGAACACATTCTTTGGCATCTTTTGCAATCTGTAACAAACAGGAATTATGTATTACATCTAGTTATTTCCAGTGGGTCTACAGTAAATTCAAATAGAAACATGTTATGTTAGATGCAACATGAATATTTGGGTAATTTAGTCAATGATTTTGAATACTGTTTGAATTAATTTAGAATGACTCCTGGTTGCAATAGATCCTATATTAATACTTAATTGTTTAGTTTTAGACTAATGTTTTTCAAAAACATCTTAATCATATTGTTTTGAAACAATACACATTTAATAATACTGTACTCACTTTACCAGATTTAGGAATTGATTTCTTCATTATTCTTGCAACATTAGCAATAGGAAGAAATCTGTCCTGTAAGAGATGAACAAACTCAATTAACATTTGTCTGTCAACAGGTGAAAAAAAACCTGCCAACGGAATGTAGCGTATCAGCATGTAAATAAACAATGAAAGTGACATTGTTGTCACAATTACTTTATATCACAATCCCTGGAAGATAATTATCTACGACAATATTTATCATTACAAAATAAGTTGTATTTTCATGTCAAATTATAATCATGTGATGTAGTAAATAAATTTATCCAATGTGTATCAAACTCATACTGCAGTCACAAAGGAATATGATATATCTGACCTGTTCTCTAAGTGGCTCATTATCTCGGGGTTCATCATCATTTTCAACTGACTGTAAAGTTTCATCTCCATCTGTTCATGAAAACCAATGTATATCCAGTATTATTTAAGATAATGAATTAAAAGATGAAAAGTTGTATGTAGGGTATGAAATATAGATACATATGTACTGATATGAATATTTTATAAAGTAAGATGAAAACTAGATTTGGGAAATTTCCTAGTCTAACCTATAGACATAGACTACAGTAATAAACAAAAGACACCAGCATCAGCTATGACACAAAATGTACAAGATGAGATCATTGTGCTATGGAATATTACTAATATATCCACACTTACAATGTAATATGTACTGATATGTATATACTACTGTGATCTGATAAAATTCATTTGAATTCTTTTTTTAATAAGTGACAACAACCTTTTACGGGGGAGACTATTTTAGGACTAATGGATACATTTGTCTTATCTTATCTGGATATTCTGGTATGACTTTGCCTTCCTGTTAGTAGAAACAGTTGTATGAGAAACTTTAGTGCCTGTTTATGTATATTATATATATAATCAAAATTGAACTGTCACTAAACCAGCCATTAACAATTGTCAGAACTTTCTTCATTGTTTGTACTATAAATCCTACCTTCTGGAAACTGATAGTCTTCCAGGTAAAACAAAAATACCTACCATCCTGTAGTTGCACTGATCCTGAAAACATGGAGTCACCAAGGCTATCTACAGCACCATCTCCTGAATTACCATCCATTATAGCTCACCTGATTTGAAGAATGTAAAACACACCATGATCATCATGTAGAAGTAAGTTACACAAGATATACTATATTTAAATTCATTGCTAAGTTTCTTGGACACTACAGAAATATTGGCATGATTGCAGGTCTATCCACAACTTAATATATTTTACAAGTTAGTCTAACAGGAAATGCCAACAAAAGGAAGACTGAAGTTAACATTAACTTATCAATTATTTGATGAAGTCCTTACAGGTATATATCAAATAGGGCATCTGTGTTATCAAATACTGTGTCTTCTTCATTTAACAAAAAAAATCATGCTGTAACCCTGGTAAAATATTAGCTGCAATATACCACTCGGCTAGTGAGAACTTCTCTTAAGCTTGATTGGTTGAGCATCAGACTAGTATGCCAGGGGTACCAGGTTCGATTCCTAGCGGAGGCATTGAAATAAATAATAATGACCTCTGTTACAATGCTATGAGATATTGTGTATTGTGTTCACAGGTTGTCTGTGAATAGTAGTTATCACCATTATATACTCTTTTGAAACTGGAGGATATTTTAAACATGCCAAATGGGCATATATAACATTGCATATAATCAATTATGGCAGTAAATATCAAACTTCTGGTTGTCTCAACTTTATATTTTCTTCACATGTATTCAATTTCAATAGGAAAAAGTCTTAATACAAAGATTAAAAGCAATGATCTTTCATTCCAAAGGATTAAGAACAACAACACAGTGACAATTATTTAATCAAGCATTTCCTTTAACTTCATATGTTGTTAAATGACTGCATTGAGGGTTTTCATTTTGTGAATATTTGAAGAAAAGTAACTTAAGAAATTTGAAAGATTTAAAATCATTTGTCTTCTTTCAGAAACACATTTTCCACTGCCACACTTAGTCATTTTTGTGCGATATATTGGCAATATTTTAGTATTTTCAACTCTGGCACAAGATATCCAAAGAAGGGAAATAACTCCTCTGAAATTGTCGTTACTCCTATGACAATTTTGAAACAATACAAGAGTCTTCATAAGATCAAGCAGCTAAATAGCTATCATAGACTTTGATTATTGTATATTATCTATATACCAAATCATTAAACCAGACACTTGACCTGTACAGGTAGTAGGTAAAGTCAAAGGCCTGATATTTGTTGTTACTCCTTCTAATCATGTTATGTTGTTGTTAGTACTATTTGAACATTGTCAGTTTGAGTAAAGTTCAATGTCTTTTTGACATCTCAATAAAGGCATGACAGCTTCAATTCAATGGATGACATCAACATCAACACACTTTCAAAAATTAAGACAATTAAAATCTGTATGCAAACTTAAAAGAGAGCAAGATACCATATTGGTTACATTAGAAGCATGTATAGGAGTAGATTAAATTTGTGGTTAATAAGAGTGAGTAAATGTAATAAAAATTAAAATGAATGGAACTCGAATTCAGGACAGCAAAACATTGGACTACCCTGAAAAAGTTCCATTCCCTAGAATTTTACATTTTGCTATACTCCAGCACATAAAATCATAAAATTGCGAAACTTAAGTCTAAATAGGCTTTAATTCATAGCTCAAACGTTACATTTCATTGTTAAAAAATACGAGAGATTTCATGTAGTTTCATTTAACACGTAATGCCACTTCAGAGTGTCGACAAAACGATAGGGCCAATAGGTTTTCCGTGTTGGTGGTTTCGAAGTGGATCTTGGGCCAAAACGACATTTGGTCAAGTTAAAGCATATAACTGAAGGATTTCATACATTAAAAACTAGTCGATCTAATACAAATATCCACAAAAGGCGTAGAAATGACAAGACAGGTGAACGAAATGGGCGAAATTTATATTTCACACCGAAATCATTCTTTTAACAACACAAAAGAAACATGGCGCCTCGTATATTGAAGTCTATCTTGAAACATGTGAAGCTTTGGTTTACATATTTGATTTTCCATTGAAGTATTCACGTGTATGTCAATTCAAAATAATCGCACGTGTAGACCATTGGCCATTAGGATAGTATCAACAAACCTCTGTGATTGAGAAGAACTTGAGAAATTGGTTGGTCAATGCAGGAGCCAGTGAGATTTCAGAGACTGCCAGCCACTCAGCAGAGAATGTGACATTCGATGGCTGTTAAATTAATTGTCTCGTCCCATGGAAACTCTTCATTAATTTAATGAATTTATATGTATGACATTTAAGCACAGTAATTTGCAACTAATGAATTAATATTTTTCGGACATACAGCTTTCTTGAATTCGTACATGTTACTTCACAAATAGAAATAACATCAAAATTGGCATAATGACGTGGTTGTTTGATTAATGTAACAGCCGAGTGTGATTACGTTTCCTGACCTTGCAGTTTAATGTATAGGTCTGTGATCATAGCGCTGTTTTCGTATTCAGAAAGAAATCTTCGTAATGTAACCGAAATCAGTTAAGAATTATCGTTAAATTTAATTTATTCAATAAATGACTATGGTATAAATGAAGCTATAGAATAACTACGCTTACAATACGTGCAGATATTATTGCCCTCTGTGAAACACAAAACGGAAGTGACGAATATCTGGAAAATCCCCTCACATGAAGTCGATGTGAAAATACGATAATGCATATTTACGTTAAAGTTCTGAAAGGAAATGAAATAGAAGTAGCTGTAAGTATTAAGAAGAGTAATAGTTAAAGTATTCTTTTTAAATACGATGTTGTAACTGATCAGAATATTTATAGTCAGCTCGTTAGTTGGTTAAGGCACTGGCACGTTACAAACAGTACAAATAAGAATATGCATTAAATGGGACATGTCCTACACGGATACATGGCTCAAACCCATTTGATACATATTCTCATTTGCGAAGTACACATTCCCTTCTTGGCTGATGCAGTGGAACCACAATACGACTCGATTCGAACACCACACTTCGGAATACAAAACTCAATACACCTACTGATCCGTTTTTGGCATTTTTGATTCTACCATATACTTGCCTCATTCATGTAGTAGTAATAACACTTTCAGAGAAGAAAGATCATGCAAGTGACGCATGTGAGAAGGCTTGGGGACAATCGCAGATTTAAAAAAGCTACTTATCTTATTTTGCGTTCTAATGTGCTCCAACAAAGCCTGTTGAGGTCTGTAGAAATAGTTTGCAGGTCGGGATTGACTTATACCAGAAATGTTACATTTGTAGCAGAACTAGATTAGATTGATGTTTCTCTCCCTTTACATTTGCTTCTTAACAAGGGGATACCAAAACCTTGATTGCATAAATAGTTATGTCTTTTGGAGCATAGAAGATCAATCTAGAGTTCAAAGAGTCCTTGGTTCCAACCTCACCCAACTGGCTGCAGTGGATCCCGGGTTCAAACCCTTTACTGGTTGTGCATCTTACTTCTCATATTACATGTATAAAGTGCCAACTATATAAACCAGTTTGTTAGCATAAACAAACAGACAGGTCACTGACTTATTCATGCCAAAAACCAGTTCTAACCATGCCAGAACCTGTGAAAACCATGCATTGGCGAGAATGGTACATGTATTTGTGAGTGTAGGCTAGCTTAGTATTGTATATCTACAAAACACAATGCTGGTATATGAATGTGGGGCAGGTAGTCATAAAAAACACAGGACAAGTACATATGACATACCCTTTTTTCTTTATTTACCAGAATTCATTTTCGTCCACATAGCTTCACTGGAATTTAAGACATATATCCAACTTATGAGGAAAAAAGTTTCAGATTATTATCTGTGAAGTAGGGTATTCAAATGAGGGCAGCTATACCTGTGAGAAACTGACTGACCTCATTAGTTTTCAGAATCAGTGCACATTCATATTTTATTTAATTTCCAAGTGTTTGTCTGTTATAAATGGTGCCAATGTAAAGAAAAAAGGTGTTAAAAAAATCCCGCTGAGTTCCTTGAACCTGGATCTCCAGCATTATCATCTGTGGTTCAACCAACTGAGCCAAAAAGAAATAACAAATATTCAAGTAAAATCAACTTGCACCTCTTATAGAAATGTAAACTGCTACCATGACTTGGTGTCTGCTACAAATACGATATAATCAGCATTCTAGAAAGGGGATCAAAAAAATAAGTTATTTAGATACCAAATCAAATGTGCTCCTAATTAACACAAGGTGGATGAAAAGAGACCTGACCATTATCTTAACTTTATCATTAACATACCATTTTGTGTGAATAAAATATACTCCAGATCTTATTAACTCATTGATCCTATCATCAGTCATGTACAAAAAATATACAGCTGATAGGAATTTTTAACATACCATTTGATTTGAAAACTTAATTATCACAGTATGTATATGATATGTTTGCCCTATACTGGGTATTTTGTCTGTCCACACTTTAATTAATGTTAATAATCACTTTTCGAGTTTCAATTTTGTAATAGGTGTCTCCAAGCCATACCATAGAAGATGTCAAAGGTATTTTGGAAATGCAATTTTGTATGCCTGCAGCTCAGCAGAAACTAGTATACAAGGGAAAGACACTAACAGGTGAGAGTTATGAGTGTGTGTTGTATTAGGAGGAGGGGGGGATCTGTTTGGTTTGGGCATGATCAACCAAGGTTCAAACCTGACAAATTTACTTGAAATCTAAATAGCTACATTGTACATACCCCTACTAGTTTCAGTTGAGAACTTAGAATCACAGGTTCCTAGGAGATATACACATCACTGTTTTGATTTGATTATCAAGACACACACAGTTGAGACACACGTGGTGCTATTGGTTTCATTGTAAAGACACACAGAGAGTTATTGATTTGAGTCTTAAGACGCAAAGAATGCTTTTTATTCAAGAGCTAAGTCACACAAAGTGTTATTGACTTTAGTGTTGATAGTAAGAACAATGAATACCATTGATCATTTATTGATTTGTGTTTTAAGACACTTCGGAACAGGATTGTTTTAGGTTTAAAGACACATATAACAGTATTTATTGAATGTAAGAAATAAAACACTATTTATTTGATGTTAAGACACCTCAGAACAGTATTGTTTTAGGTTTAAAGACACATATAACAGTATTTATTGAATGTAAGAAATAAAACGCTATTTATTTGATGTTAAGACACCTCAGAGCAGGATTGTTTTGGGTTTAAAGACACACATAACAGTATTTATTGAAGGTAAGAAATAAAACACAATTTATTTGATGTTAAGACACCTCAGAAGTGGATTGTTTTGGGTTTAAAGACACACATAAAAGTATTTATTGAATGTTATGAAATGGAACACTATTTATTCTATGTTAAGATACCCCAGAACACAATTGTTTTGAGTGTTCATACGCACAGAACTTGAGAGTTCAAATACAAAGCAAATGATTGTTTTGAATGTTAAGACACACATGACAATATTGATTTATTTGTATGATTGTTTGATTGATCTAAAGCCACATAGAACACTACTGATTTGAGTGTTAAATATAGAACACTACCGATTTGAGTGTTAATATAGAACACTACTGATTTGAGTGTTAAATATAGAACACTACCGATTTGAGTGTTAATATAGAACACTACTGATTTGAGTGTAAAGACACAGAACACTCCTGATTTGAGTGTTAAGACACAGAACACTTCTGATTTGAGCGTTAAGACACAGAACACTACTGATTTGAGTGTTAAGACAGAGCACACTTGTGAATTTAATGTTAAGACACAGAAAACTACTGATTTGAGTGTTAAGACACAGAACACTACTGATTTGAGTGTTAAGACACAGAAAACTGCTGATTTGAGTGTTAAGACACAGAACACTACTGGTTTGAGTATTAAGACAGAGCACACTTGTGAATTTAATGTTAAGACACAGAAAACTACTGATTTGAGTGTTAAGACACAGAACACTACTGATTTGAGTGTTAAGACACAGAACACTACTGATTTGAGTGTTAAGACACAGAACACTACTGATTTGAGTGTTAAGACACAGAACACTACTGGTTTGAGTGTTAAGACAGAGCACACTTGTGAATTTAATGTTAAAACACAGAAAACTACTGATTTGAGTGTTTAGACACAGAACACTAGTGATTTGAGTGTTAAGACACAGAACACTACTGATTTGAGTGTTAAGATACTGAACACTACTGATTTGATTGTTAAGACACAGAACACTACTGGTTTGATTGTTAAGACACAAAACACTACTGATTTGAGTGTTCAGACACATAACACCACTGATTTGATTGTTAAGACACAGAACACTACTGATTTGATTGTTACCCTAAAGAAGAACACTTGGTAGTTTGGTAATTTTCACACAGATTTTAAGACAAGGTCACTTATCAGAACAGTTAAGGTTGCAGTTATCATAATGATAAGAGGACACTTTTTATGTGTTGTCAAACTATAGAAATTTAGATTAGGTGCTTGCATGAAGTTCCTTTTTTTCTGGGGGATATATGTAGTGACTTGCTCATTTTTACAGCCAAAACTGTAGGCAATGCACTGAGGTTACTTAGGGTTAACCATCTTAGAACCGAGACATTTTATTTAAAGATATAATTTTTGTTAAATATTAACTTCTAACAGTCTTTACTGAGTCACTAGATTGGATGGTGTAATGACGTGTTACAATAGGAATGTGATCACTGGTGTTTCAGATGGAAAGAGACTCTCAGATTACCACATTTCTGATGGAGACAAAGTGTTTCTTTTCCAAAAGAAGGGTGACATGTCTGGCACAAGTACACCCATTACACCAGGCCAGACAGCTGTAGAAATGCCTGCGGCACCCAGTGAAGTAGGATCCTGTAGTACAACAGTTCTGTGGGATAAACTTCTCGACTTTTTACAGAGACACTTTACTAAAACAGATGCACAGAAAGTCCTTGTAGAATTTCAAAAGGTGAGAATGTTAAGAGTGAAATATTTACTTCATGTTGGTAAGTATATCAAGGACAGAAGGCACAACCAGTGAGAAACTGATGTGTGATATTTTGATGGTTAATCTGTCATTTCATCAGACAGATATGAAATTATTTTGGACTGAGGTTTGCATTGTACCATTCAGTAATTATGACTGGACTTTCTGTATTGTAATCTCATGTACACTAATTGGGATAGACTGATGAAATGGTGATTATAATGAGAACAGGTCATTTTGGTGACCTCCAGTTTATAAAGTTGATTCGGATACAGTGTGTTTAAAACCTATAAATGTGTAAGGGACACTATGTGCTACTTTAGCCCTGTTTGAAACCGGCCCGTTATGTTCTGGTCATTTCCTTGACCAACCACTTCTTTAGAATCTGGAACTTAGTAAATACATGTACTTAACTGATGCTGCCTTACTGGAGGTCCTCACATCTGAATTTTCGTTATGGTCGATCAGCCACAAAGAATTAAAGTAGTACAATCATTTTTATACCAAGGGAATGTTTTATACAAAAAATTATCCTTTTATAAAATTTCCACTTGAAGAATACTAAATGTTTGTTTGCTACATAGATTTTAATGCTTATTTTCTCTGTTGCTCAGGTTACATGATAAATATGTACATGGACCCTATATCTCTTTCATCAATAATAATGTTGTCTGCTTTGATTTTTTTTCAGGATTTTTATGCACAGCTGAAATGTCTAAGCCTTGATGATATAGAGAGACTAGCAGCAAAGAAGCTACGTGCTAACGCCAATGGAAAAGTGAATGGGCACGAACACATGACTTGATATTATCAATTTTATTAATACTTCTTTGAATTTGACTTTTATTACAATTCTCTTCATGTTTTATCTGGGATGGTCACAGGTTAATGGATCCACAACAACAGAAACAAATGTTCCCTGTTCTGTGACCACATGTATGTATCTTTACATTATTAGACAGTTTCCTCATGTGTCAGTTGAGAGTGACTGGCTCTCCATTCATGGGCCAGGTGTGCTCCTGGGTCTTCACTAACAATTTGTGTGTTATACTTTTTCAATTGTTTGGTTGTAAATGTACTGTACTAAATGAAGCATATGAGATCAGTACTCTACATAATGGGGGATTGTAACACTCATGTAAGACTGCATGTATTAGACATTACAACTGTATCAAACTAATTGTATTTAAAATCACTAATTTAATTAGATTGAAAATGAAATTTGCGATCCTGTATTTCATCATTATCAAACCATTTTTTGAATGTTGTAAGAGAAGTTGACACCAGTGTAAATGACTTGTGTCTTCCCTCCATAGAAATCTTTTTATTTTCTGATTGAAAACCTTTCATATTTATAGTAATTTTTCTTAATAGTTGAATGAGCAGATGATGTTTTTTTCTGTAACAATTACTTGGTAAACCATATTATGCTTGTGTAAAAGGCTACCTGTTACTTGGTCTTTTCAAGTTTAATTTCTCTTCTAAAATTCAAGAATATCTTTAATATATATCTGTAGCTATGCCTGCAAAACCAGGGTTGCCTGATCCTAAAGATCCGAGATGAAGGAGTATTACATGAATAAAAGAATAACAATGCAGGCCCACGAGGATTTTTGTTTATTCTTACAAGGAACATTGAAGTATTTCCATAAATTTTTCACAAAAATGAAGCCATATGTGTAATTGACAGCTGATAATTCTACATTGAATTCTGGTTTCATTGAAGCATTTATATTAGATTGCTTCATGTTATACTTCAAATTTCTAATTGCAATGAATTAAGATAAATTTCTGAAATTTAAAGTGGTCTCAAGTAAAGAGACTTTCAAATGAAACTTGTGTGAAAACCTATGAAAGGTCTACTGCAGAATAAGCTTGTGCTTTATGCACTTTTTACCATAGATATCATTATACATGTATGTGAAGTGTAATGTTTAACTTTCTGCTGACTTCTGTTAATGCACATTGTTTTACTTGGTGGGATACCATAAAAAAGACCAAATGAATTTAAGAAAGTAAAATTACAAGGATTTTAAAGATTTATTTATCAGCGCTATGATGTATATGTAATGATTGTGTGTCATTGATATCTATTAAAGTATTTGAAATCACTGAATCATTTTGTTGCTTTCATAAAGAAGAATATTGACATGTAAATTAAACTGCTATTATCACAGAACACATGCTGTGTCATGTCAGAACTATTGTAAGAAAAGTTTAGTAACACTATTTTGACATCATAAGTAAGTCATGTCTTGATGATATGAAATGGTTGATTTGGTAGTCAAAAATGTTCTTACTTCATAAAAGTGTCTAAAATAGAAATGAATTTGTCACTAAGTCTTATTTTAGCTCACTTGTCTGTCATTTGTCTACAAAATGCTACTAGTCCTGAACGACTTGAGGGGATTTGTACAAATTGGTCAGGAGCATCCTTAGGGGAAAATGAATAGTTCTTGTATAAATAGTGTGTCCCGGACCCCAGGAACTGAGGGGCAGGGCCCAAAATGGGAAATTTGCTTGCCAAGTGCTTTAAAATTCTACTCCTCCTATAGATATGGTTGGAATTTGCCCAGTTTTTGTCTGAAGTATCTTTGTTGAGGGTGAATCAATTTTGTATAAATCGTGGACCTTGGCCATCTGGGGTGGGAAGAGTGGGACCAAAGAGGGGAAATAGAACAGATTCTTCAAAATCCTACTCATATGGTAGGAATAATTGGATTTTGTCCTAACTTGGTGTGAATCATGTTAGGTGAAGGGGAATCAGTTTGGTATGAATGATGGATATCAGTCCCCTTAGGGGGGCAGGGCCCAATAGGGGAAATAGAGCAATTTCTTTAAAATCCTACTCCTCCAGAAGAAATAATTTGAATTTGTCCCAATTTGGTGTGAATCTTGTTTAAGTGAATGGGAAGCGATTTTGTACAAACGGTCGATCTTCCCCCGGGGCAGAAGGGGTTGGGCCCAGAAGGGGAAATAGAACAAATTCTTTAAAATCCTACACCTGTAGAAATGATTGGATTTTGTCCAAATTTGGTGTGAATCATGTTTTGGTGAAGTGAAATGAATTTTGTATAAACAGTGGTTGTTGGCCCCCTTAGATGAGAAAAGTAGGCCTAATAGGGGGAATAGAGTAAATTATTTAAAGTCCTACACAATAATTGGATTTATCGTCTGAAGGATGTTTGCGTGAAGGGAAATCAGGTGGGGGGTGGGGGGGGGGGGCGCTAGGGAAAGTGGGGCAAGGCCTAATAGGGGAAATAGAGCATACTATTTCCTACTCCTCTGGTAATAATAATTTGAGATGTCCATATGTGGTGTTAAGTATTTTTGGTTAAACGGAAACCAATTTTGTATAAAAGGCAGGAGGAGCGGGGTCCAATCTTTGAAACAGTTTAGATCCCCATCTTATTACCATGCACATAGAATTACTTGGCATCAAGAGATAAACATATTCATTATGTAAGAATTGACCCTTGGGAAGGGCACACCTCTAGGGACATTATTTCTTGGTCATATTTTTGACATACATGTAGTTGTGATATCAACCTGATTACTATATAATCTCTTACTTACTAGGCATCAAAAAAAAAGTCATAATATAAGAATTTACCCATTGGTCTCTCCCCAATGGGAAAATGGGGGGGGGGGGTCCAAAGTTACAGAAAAGAAAAGAAATTTTTAGTATTGCCATATTTATACACAGAAAAGTGACATGGAGCTCTGAACTGTAAATCTATGTTAATTCAGGTAATGTTGATTTGAAGAACTGGAAACGGATTCTAAATAGCAATTGTTGGAACTGTTAATCTGGTGTAAGGTGAAATATGGACTTTTAAAAGGACTTCAGGCGTAAGGTTAAAGGTAAGATATGGATTCTATCGAATTGAAGATGTAAAGTGATAGATAAAATATGAACTCTTTATAGGAGTTCAGGCGTAAGGTGTAAGGCAAAATTAAAAGGACTTCAGACTTCAGGCTTAAGATAAATTCGGCCTTCAGAGATAAGGTGTTTGGTAAAATATAGATTCTTTATAGGGCTTCAGAAGTAAGGTGTAAGGCAAAATCTGTACTTTTATTAAAAGGATTTTCAGATGTAAGGTGTAAGATGAAATATGAACTCTTTATAGAACTTTAAATGTAAGGTGTAAGGCAAAATTAAAAGGACTTCAGACATGAGGCTTAAGGTAAATTATTGACTATAGGATTTCAGACATCTGACATAAGATGTAAGGTATACTCATGGATTCAGACATTCTGTAACAAGGAATCTTGTTGTCAACCAGGCTTGGACAATTAATTGTCAGTTTTGCCTTCATTGGATCTGTCTGTTGGTTATGGTTTTGTCTTGATGGTCAAAGTGTTTGTCAAGACAGAAATCCATTTGTCTATTTTGTCCTTAACATGCTATACTATACCAGTCTTCCTTCCCTCCCTCATCTCCAGGTTCCTGATGGGAGACTTCTATCTGTTTTTGCATACCAATATCAGATATACATGTAAACATTCCTTTTTCTCATTTTAAGACATTTTAACAGTATCTTTTCTTCATACAGGGATTTTATTACCCATGCCCATTGTATATGCTCACTGGAATTAGAGATTTAGGATATGAAATACTTTTCTGTATCCGCCATTTACCATCATCTTTTCCTACAATGAAAACAGTGGGGACAGTTTTCCAGGATTCTGTATGATAAACATGATGATTTTAATATCCTTTCTGTGAATTTTCCATTCCTAGACATTAAAATGCCTGCTTCCCTCACCTATGATAGTCTATAGGTTTGTTTGCAACTCTCATGCAAGATATAAAGATAAAAATCCCAACACAAGGCTTTGAGAGATGCAGGATGAAGGTCAAAGGGAAGTTTTGTGGTTGTCATAATGATCTCGGTGAGAAATATTGTAATGCCTTGTGCAATATGGGACTGGACATGTTTAACGTTTGTTTTCATTGTACATATATAATGTAATATAATCTATTAGCATTTGTTCAATCATCACTGTAATCAATTTTATTATGAGACGAGAATTTGAAACTGAAGTTTTTGAAAAGAATTAATGAAAAATCTGCAATTCATTTATTTCAATTACATATGATTTATTATCTTCACAGATATTTTACTTAATTTTTTCAGTGTATAAAACATGTACATGATTCCTGATTATGTAAATGTCCACAAGTGACCTGCAACAGATAGCAGGTCCACAGTGATGATTAATCCAGAGTTAGCAGGGACCATCTGGAGGTCACTTATCAACCCAAAGAACCTTTAGGAAGTCTCCTCCAATTGGTTAAGAGTGTGCATCTAGAGTTCTTGGGTTCAAACCCTAGTAGAAACTGCATTTTAAGGTCACCTGAGATGAAGTCTCATGTGACCTATTGCGATCGCCTTTGTCTGCCCCCATCCATCGTCCATTGTGCAACATCTGTCGTCCATTATAACAATTGACATTTTCGACTTTTAATAACCAAAATGCCCAGGTTCATAGTATTGTGCCAGTACCATACTGGGATGAAGGGCTATTGTGTTTGTTCATATGAATGACCTTGACCTTCATTCAAGGTCACAGGGGTCAAATATATTTAACAACAGAAAGTGTTATCAGTTCTGTTTAATTGAAAATTAAGCCTTCAAACTTAGAAACGATACAAACCTTGTAAGTTGTCATATATCAGTTCTGTTCTGTCTGTCCCAATGCTGGGACTGATGTACAGACCCTAAAAACTGGCCAAAGACCGGAAGACCTCAGGTGACCAATAAGGCTGATGGACCTCTTCTTCTGCTCCTGTTAAGAAATGTCACTGTGACCAACTCTTGTTTTTAGTAAGCAGAAGTTTGAACAGGAGAAGCCCAAACTTTGAGGGCAAAGACTTAGAAACAGATGGCTCTTGGCGCCCACCTTTGTTTCTTGGTCTTTATATGTTTTTGAAAATCTGGATTCTTTCCCTTCTTTTCCCTTTTCTCCTCTATTTCTGTTCTTAATTATACGAAATTTGAGCATTCCTCTGAAGAAACAGTGATTATGACCCTTAATTGCCAAATCAAAAATGATTGCCTGTCAGCAACTTTCTTTTCCTGATCAGTCTCAAAATTGAATGGGCACTACCAGGTAACAAGGGGAATGTACATATGAAATTTGAAGAGAGATACATCAAGTACTTCTGAATAGTGATTACCACATTTTATTGTTAAAATCCAGGAGGACCGTCTGTCAGTCATTTTGGGTTGCTGATCTGTCTCAAAACCAAACGGGCACAACAAGAAACCTCGACAACCTACATATGAAATTTGAGAAAAATCTATCCAATACTTCTCAAGACATAGTGATAAACTTCCATTGTAAAAATCCAAGATGGCCACCTGTCTGCCATTTTGTTTTTCTGATCAGTCTCAAAACCATTTGGGCATAACTAGGTACTAAGGAAAACCTACGAATGAAATTTGAGAAAGATCCATCTGGTACTCCTCAAGAAATAGTGATAAATATTATTTATGGATGGACTGACGGACCACTGATGTAGGACGATTTGAATAGCACATTGTCTGATGATGGTGGGTTTAAAAGGAGGAAGAAATGTAGCAGAACTGGACTGGGTCAATAATCTGTGATGAGGTAGCTCCATTGGTAGAGTGTCTGTTTAGATTTCAGAGGGGCTTGGTTTCAAACTATTGTCTAGCTGTGCATGTTCCTGTAACACATGTTCATATGGTGATAAGGTAGTCAAATACTTCTTTTAATTACCATAGGGCCATGATTAAACTCATCTACAAATTAACAAATATGCAAATCTGAATCCTCAGCATTGAAGAATTTCTATTTTAGGTTTTATGAGAGGAAGTCTTTCAAAGACACATTTCAATGACATACTGATGGAAGACATATTACAACAGATATCAGCTCACTTTTGTTGCCTGAACCAAACCTACTAAATAAATTAGTAAAACTAAATCAATACACAAAGAGAGATAAACAAGAATTCCCTTTCTTTAATGGAAATTAGTGTAGGCAATCGGTCATTGGTTACAAACTCCTGCACCAAAATGTGTTAACATGAAAATTGACAGTGCATTACAATGTAAATGTATGAGAATAAAGTAAAAGTTATCATCAAGATCATACAAGGCAGAATCTTATTGCTGACTGATAAAACATAAAGCGGAAGTTACATGATCTTGGCAGAATGTCTACATCATGACACTCTTTTTCCTTCAATAAAAACAAAATAGTCATAATCAGACTACATTTCTTCAGTAAAACATACGAGTAAAATCCCTCTTCATAATTCAACATACTGTAAAGTAGTCAACATGTATCACAAGACATGATTTGATATATCACTGACAATAATATAGACAGGTATACCTTATACCTAGGGTATACACAGATTACACAAGTATACAGGTGTACCTTATACCTTGGGTACACACAGATTACACAAGTATACAGGTGTACCTTATACCTAGGGTACACACAGATTACACAAGTGTACAGGTGTACCTTATACATAGGGTACACACAGATCACACAAGTGTACAGGTGTACCTTATACCTAGGGTACACACAGATCACACAAGTGTACAGGTGTACCTTATACCTAGGGTATACACAGATCACACAAGTATACAGGTGTACCTTATACCTAGGGTATACACAGATCACACAAGTATACAGGTGTACCTTATACCTAGGGTATACACAGATCACACACACAAGGGTATACACAGATCACACAACAGGTGTACCTTATACCTAGGGTATACACAGATCACACAAGTGTACAGGTGTACCTTATACCTAGGGTATACACAGATCACACAAGTATACAGGTGTACCTTATACCTAGGGTATACACAGATCACACAAGTATACAGGTGTACCTTATACCTAGGGTATACACAGATCACACAAGTATACAGGTGTACCTTATACCTAGGGTATACACAGATCACACAAGTATACAGGTGTACCTTATACCTAGGGTATACACAGATCACACAAGTATACAGGTGTACCTTATACCTAGGGTATACACAGATCACACAAGTATACAGGTGTACCTTATACCTAGGGTATACACAGATCACACAAGTGTACAGGTGTACCTTATACCTAGGGTATACACAGATCACACAAGTATACAGGTGTACCTTATACCTAGGGTATACACAGATCACACAAGTATACAGGTGTACCTTATACCTAGGGTATACACAGATCACACAAGTATACAGGTGTACCTTATACCTAGGGTATACACAGATCACACAAGTATACAGGTGTACCTTATACCTAGGGTATACACAGATCACACAAGTATACAGGTGTACCTTATACCTAGGGTATACACAGATCACACAAGTATACAGGTGTACCTTATACCTAGGGTATACACAGATCACACAAGTATACAGGTGTACCTTACACCTAGGGTATACAGGTGTACCTTACACCTAGGGTATACACAGATCACACAAGTATACAGGATCACACAAGTATACAGGTGTTCCTTATACCTAGGGTATACACAGATCACACAAGTATACAGGTGTACCTTACACCTAGGGTATACACAGATCACACAAGTATACAGGTGTACCTTATACCTAGGGTATACACAGATCACACAAGTATACAGGTGTACCTTATACCTAGGGTATACACAGATCACACAAGTATACAGGTGTACCTTATACCTAGGGTATACACAGATCACACAAGTATACAGGTGTACCTTATACCTAGGGTATACACAGATCACACAAGTATACAGGTGTACCTTATACCTAGGGTATACACAGATCACACAAGTATACAGGTGTACCTTATACCTAGGGTATACACAGATCACACAAGTATACAGGTGTTCCTTATACCTTGGGTATACACAGATCACACAAGTATACAGGTGTACCTTACACCTAGGGTATACACAGATCACACAAGTATACAGGTGTACCTTATACCTAGGGTATACACAGATCACACAAGTATACAGGTGTTCCTTATACCTTGGGTATACACAGATCACACAAGTATACAGGTGTTGTATACAGTATTAATTCACTGAAGATTGTTTATTTCACAACCTGTAAGAAATGGTTGGACTGTGACCTGGCTCCATACAGTAGTATTCCTGAACAATATCAAAATAAGACCTGTGTACTATAAAGTGAAGTGTAATGATGAAGTACATAAAGACGATACATAATGATTGATAATGGATAAAAATTATTGCAAAAGAAAATAAAAATCCCAAACAAACTTATCTCGCATTTTTGATTCTGAATCACATTCACACAGTGTTCTGCTCTATCAGTTTTAACAAGGCTACATTCTCAAACAACTTCAACTATCTTCTGTACACTTTATCACCACCCAAGTTAAAAATCTGTTTTCATTCCCTTTCATTCTCAAGTACCAAATATTCCTAAGCCATCTAATCATCTACCAAAATTGAAAATAAATTTCTGTGCAATGATATTACATATATCTGAATGTATGCCATGGTTTTTAAAAAATTCATAAAAGAATAAAACTAGTACTGAATTAAATGTGAAAAGAATTTGAAAATGAACAGTTCTGGTGCCTCCCAATACACTTCATAAATTCCATCTGGATGCTTCTGAGTGTGGCTACAGGAGGAAGTTCATTAAACGTTGTGCTTGAATATTTGGCTGAAACCAGAGGGGGAGGTGGGGTTGGGGCATATCATGTCATAACTCATCTTTTCTGTATATTTTGACAATCTAAAATGATAACAAGAAACCAGATTTCTGAATAGAAATGCTGGGTTACTAGATAACAAATGGGTGATTTAAAATGGTCTGTACTTGTATAAGTAATTAATGAATCTACTACTTACACTGAGTTAGAGATCTCTACTAAGCTGCCATATCAAACAAAGCATTCTCTCATGAAGCCTTACTGTTCTCACATTGTTACAACACAGCATTCTCTCATGAAGCTTTACTGTGCTGGTAATGTGACAACACAGCATTCTCTCACGAAGCTCTACTGTACTCACAATGTTACAACACAGCATTCTCTCATGAAGCCTTACTGTTCTCACATTGTTACAACACAGCATTCTCTCATGAAGCTTTACTGTGCTGGTAATGTGACAACACAGCATTCTCTCACGAAGCTCTACTGTACTCACAATGTTACAACACAGCATTCTCTCACGAAGCTCTACTGTACTCACAATGTTACAACACAGCATTCTCTCACGAAGCTCTACTGTACTCACAATGTTACAACACAGCATTCTCTCATGAAGCTTTACTGTGCTGGTAATGTGACAACACAGCATTCTCTCACGAAGCTCTACTGTACTCACAATGTTACAACACAGCATTCTCTCACGAAGCTCTACTGTACTCACAATGTTACAACACAGCATTCTCTCATGAAGCCTTACTGTTCTCACATTGTTACAACACAGCATTCTCTCATGAAGCTTTACTGTGCTGGTAATGTGACAACACAGCATTCTCTCACGAAGCTCTACTGTACTCACAATGTTACAACACAGCATTCTCTCACGAAGCTCTACTGTACTCACAATGTTACAACACAGCATTCTCTCATGAAGCCTTACTGTTCTCACATTGTTACAACACAGCATTCTCTCATGAAGCTTTACTGTGCTGGTAATGTGACAACACAGCATTCTCTCACGAAGCTCTACTGTACTCACAATGTTACAACACAGCATTCTCTCATGAAGCCTTACTGTTCTCACATTGTTACAACACAGCATTCTCTCATGAAGCTTTACTGTGCTGGTAATGTGACAACACAGCATTCTCTCATGAAGCTTTACTGTGCTGGTAATGTGACAACACAGCATTCTCTCATGAAGCTCTACTGTACTCACAATGTTACAACACAGCATTCTCTCATGAAGCCTTACTGTTCTCACATTGTTACAACACAGCATTCTCTCATGAAGCTTTACTGTGCTGGTAATGTGACAACACAGCATTCTCTCACGAAGCTCTACTGTACTCACAATGTTACAACACAGCATTCTCTCACGAAGCTCTACTGTACTCACAATGTTACAACACAGCATTCTCTCATGAAGCCTTACTGTTCTCACATTGTTACAACACAGCATTCTCTCATGAAGCTTTACTGTGCTGGTAATGTGACAACACAGCATTCTCTCACGAAGCTCTACTGTACTCACAATGTTACAACACAGCATTCTCTCATGAAGCCTTACTGTTCTCACATTGTTACAACACAGCATTCTCTCATGAAGCTTTACTGTGCTGGTAATGTGACAACACAGCATTCTCTCATGAAGCTTTACTGTGCTGGTAATGTGACAACACAGCATTCTCTCATGAAGCTCTACTGTACTCACAATGTTACAACACAGCATTCTCTCATGAAGCCTTACTGTTCTCACATTGTTACAACACAGCATTCTCTCATGAAGCTTTACTGTGCTGGTAATGTGACAACACAGCATTCTCTCACGAAGCTTTACTGTACTCACAATGTTACAACACAGCATTCTCTCATGAAGCCTTACTGTTCTCACATTGTTACAACACAGCATTCTCTCATGAAGATTTACTGTGCTGGTAATGTGACAACACAGCATTCTCTCACGAAGCTTTACTGTACTCACAATGTTACAACACAGCATTCTCTCATGAAGACTTACTGTACTCACATTGTTACAACACAGCATTCTCTCATGAAGCTTTACTGTACTCAAATTGTTACAACACAGCATTCTCTCATGAAGCTTTACTGTACTCACATTGTTACTACACAGCATTCTCTCATGAAGCTTTACAGTACTCACATTGATACAACACAGCATTCTCTCATGAAGCTGCTATACTCTATTTTTTTCACCTGCCACAAATGCTTCAATAAATTAAATTCAATGAACTTTAGCACAGCCAATCTAATGTTTCAAGCATACCAAGGACTTATAACCAATATCTAAATTATTTCAACCCATATGCTCAAGGAATATTTCAACACCTAAGAAGAACATCATTATATAACACAGGGAATGCAATTTTCCTCAATCCTTAGTAATTTGTAGTCAAAGTATTTACCACAATCAGAACATGAACTGACTTGATAATATTGAACAGAAACCTAGATAGAGAATGGTGAACAGAAATATAGATAGAGAATGGTGAACAGAAACCTAGATAGAGAATGGTGAACAGAAACCTAGATAGAGAATGGTGAACAGAAACCTAGATAGAGAATGGTGAACAGAAATATAGATAGAGAATGGTGAACAGAAATCTAGATAGAGAATGGTGAACAGAAACCTAGATAGAGAATGGTGAACAGAAACCTAGATAGAGAATGGTGAACAGAAACCTAGATAGAGAATGGTGAACAGAAATATAGATAGAGAATGGTGAACAGAAACCTAGATAGAGAATGGTGAACAGAAATATAGATAGAGAATGGTGAACAGAAACCTAGATAGAGAATGGTGAACAGAAATATAGATAGAGAATGGTGAACAGAAATATAGATAGAGAATGGTGAACAGAAACCTAGATAGAGAATGGTGAACAGAAACCTAGATAGAGAATGGTGAACAGAAATATAGATAGAGAATGGTGAACAGAAATATAGATAGAGAATGGTGAACAGAAACCTAGATAGAGAATGGTGAACAGAAATCTAGATAGAGAATGGTGAACAGAAACCTAGATAGAGAATGGTGAACAGAAATATAGATAGAGAATGGTGAACAGAAACATAGATAGAGAATGGTGAACAGAAACCTAGATAGAGAATGGTGAACAGAAATATAGATAGAGAATGGTGAACAGAAACCTAGATAGAGAATGGTGAACAGAAATATAGATAGAGAATGGTGAACAGAAACCTAGATAGAGAATGGTGAACAGAAATATAGATAGAGAATGGTGAACAGAAACCTAGATAGAGAATGGTGAACAGAAACCTAGATAGAGAATGGTGAACAGAAACCTAGATAGAGAATGGTGAACAGAAACCTAGATAGAGAATGGTGAACAGAAATATAGATAGAGAATGGTGAACAGAAACCTAGATAGAGAATGGTGAACAGAAACCTAGATAGAGAATGGTGAACAGAAACCTAGATAGAGAATGGTGAACAGAAATATAGATAGAGAATGGTGAACAGAAACCTAGATAGAGAATGGTGAACAGAAATATAGATAGAGAATGGTGAACAGAAACCTAGATAGAGAATGGTGAACAGAAATATAGATAGAGAATGGTGAACAGAAACCTAGATAGAGAATGGTGAACAGAAACCTAGATAGAGAATGGTGAACAGAAACCTAGATAGAGAATGGTGAACAGAAACCTAGATAGAGAATGGTGAACAGAAACCTAGATAGAGAATGGTGAACAGAAACCTAGATAGAGAATGGTGAACAGAAACCTAGATAGAGAATGGTGAACAGAAACCTAGATAGAGAATGGTGAACAGAAATATAGATAGAGAATGGTGAACAGAAACCTAGATAGAGAATGGTGAACAGAAATATAGATAGAGAATGGTGAACAGAAACCTAGATAGAGAATGGTGAACAGAAACCTAGATAGAGAATGGTGAACAGAAACCTAGATAGAGAATGGTGAACAGAAATATAGATAGAGAATGGTGAACAGAAATATAGATAGAGAATGGTGAACAGAAATATAGATAGAGAATGGTGAACAGAAACCTAGATAGAGAATGGTGAACAGAAATATAGATAGAGAATGGTGAACAGAAACCTAGATAGAGAATGGTGAACAGAAATATAGATAGAGAATGGTGAACAGAAACCTAGATAGAGAATGGTGAACAGAAACCTAGATAGAGAATGGTGAACAGAAATATAGATAGAGAATGGTGAACAGAAACCTAGATAGAGAATGGTGAACAGAAATATAGATAGAGAATGGTGAACAGAAACCTAGATAGAGAATGGTGAACAGAAATATAGATAGAGAATGGTGAACAGAAACCTAGATAGAGAATGGTGAACAGAAACCTAGATAGAGAATGGTGAACAGAAATATAGATAGAGAATGGTGAACAGAAACCTAGATAGAGAATGGTGAACAGAAATATAGATAGAGAATGGTGAACAGAAACCTAGATAGAGAATGGTGAACAGAAACCTAGATAGAGAATGGTGAACAGAAATATAGATAGAGAATGGTGAACAGAATCCTAGATAGAGAATGGTGAACAGAAACCTAGATAGAGAATGGTGAACAGAAACCTAGATAGAGAATGGTGAACAGAAACCTAGATAGAGAATGGTGAACAGAAACCTAGATAGAGAATGGTGAACAGAAACCTAGATAGAGAATGGTGAACAGAAATATAGATAGAGAATGGTGAACAGAAATCTAGATAGAGAATGGTGAACAGAAATCTAGATTGAGAATGGTGAACAGAAACCTAGATTGAGAATGGACAGAAACCTAGATTGAGAATGGTGAACAGAAACCTAGATAGATATTTCTTTCTTTCTAGGTCTCCTTGTCAAATGGACTTTTCTAGTGTTATTAACTAGTTGATATGCCCAGTGCTTCCATCCAAAGTTTAATAGCAAAACACCATTGCTATGACAGTACCTGAAATGTTTAACATCTATATTAAGTATTTGATAAATTTGTTAGATAACACTTATTTACTTCTGTTTCATATTATATATATCTCTCTCTCACACACACGCACGCGCATGCGCACGCACACGCACACATGCGCGCGCACACACACACACACACAATATCAATTTAAACCTGAAGAAAAGTCAGGTGACCATCATCAATACACACTATATTATGTCACATCAAACATACACAAGGAAATCATCTTTATAGTGTCTATATTTCAGATACAATGTAAATCAATAGCACATCTATCACTTATTTACCAGGTATATAAAACATTTCTACCGGGTGTTTATACTGGATCTGTAGGCCTGGAACATTACTGTTACATGGATCTGTTTTCCACATGATTTTCCATCTTCTACCTACACATGCATCCAGGATTACAATCCTATGTCTTCTAACAGGATCACAATCTTTTGTAAGTGATGATGATAATTTCCTGTAATCCAGTCCATACACATGTCATGAAGTATGACCTATTGTGATGTCAAGACAGGACACTAAATATTTCCTGATCCTATTTGGACGTAAATATTCAGTCCTAGATACAAGAGAAAACATGGAAAAGCAATGTTTTCTAGAGTATTGGCAGAAAAAAATAAATAGTGTGACAAAACTTCAATTTCTTTCTATTTGATATGAAGTATAAGAATTGCCTGAACAATTTTTCACATGTTGTCTTTCCTGATCAATGTGCACAACTCTGATTTTTCTTGTGAACATTGTATTTTGTATGTAGTTGTCTCTAAACACATGGGCTATTTTCCTTGTATATAGACCGGGTAACATTACATCATACATACTAAACAACCAGTAGATGAAGGATGGAACATCAACACCAGGGATTTTGTGACATTGTATATTTTAACAGTTTACATCTCCCACGCCAGAAATGCAATATATGTATACAATATGTGGGACAAACTTCCAACTCTGTCCTTCTGAGAATGCATGGTCGTTTCACCAACATAACCCATGTCCCACCATTTTACGTCAAACAACCACAACATTGATGATGTTAAAGTCATTATTGTCACCATGACAAAGGTCAACGTCAACATTCAGAATAAAAAAAACGTGGATAGAAACACTTAAAACACTGGAACCATTGGGACTCAATCTTCAGAATGGCTAGATGATCTACCTTCATACATGAGAAATAGAACAGTGTCTGTTCAGTGTATACGAAATATATGACTTGGTGTGAAAATAACACAAAACATTTATTTATATCATTTCTCTCAATAATCCTAACTAGCGTAAAATTCTAAACAATTGCACATCATGTGATTAGAACAATCAATATTTTGAACCGTATTTTGCACTTCAGCTTTCCTTTTTCTTGATGTAAAATTGATCTGATGATTGTTGGTTTAGCCATCTAAATGTCAACTAACAAAATCTACTAAGTCACAGAATCCCTTGTGTTGATGTTCCATCATTTATCTACCTGTTATTATCCATCGTCCATGGAGCTCTATAAGAATACTCAGGTATCCACCTCCTCTACTGATACATCTATCTACCAGCACCACCCACAGGACTCCTTCACCTCTTTGTCTTATACAATACAAATGTTCATGTATACATATATTTGTCATCAGTTTGGCTTGTAAACAATACAAAATATAGATATATAAACTTTCACAACATTGAAGGCATATATTATCTGATAGAGTACACGTCTCATTACAAAATTAACTTTTTCATTTGAATGGCATAAATTAGATTTTAAAAATTCATGTGCGAAATAATGTAAAAGGTACTTCAGTTTCCCATGTTCAATGTACTTATTTATTTCTAGATTATTGTAATAAAAGGGGAGGTAACTTCAAAATCCCCATTAGTCCCTTGAATCTGAACTAACTTAATTATACTTAAAGAAGTTCAAGATTTAACACTGCACTTTGAAATGTACGTAATCTCATTATAACAGCAGATTCTTTGTAACAATTAGCATGGAAGGAAGTGAGAATTGTATCACAATATACACAAGACTATGAGATACTGTGATATCAGTTACCTATCTAACAGGTCTCTTATTACAGCCTCTCAGTAGACACATGGTACATACAAGTCTGACAGATAAGAGATGAATACGCTAACTTCATAATACTGGTACTATGCAAAAAAGCAATGATTTTATACTTTAAAGAGAAAAAAATATGGAAGAAAATAATTTCTGAAAAATCATGTACAAATTGATACATTTCAAGTTTATAACCACATTGTCATATGATTTGGTTTTTATATTGTTCTGAAGAGGAAATACAGCAGGCATCTATCAAAAAGGAATCAGGTTTGAATTAAATGGTTTTAACTTATGTATCTTTGTCGCCCTCAAAGTATGATATACATGGCATAATTCTATGATAGGAGAGACTGAGTGGTAGTTAAACATGCATAGTTTAACATAAACTAGAAATATAACAACAGTGGGTCCAATAAACTCTCACAAAATAGGAGAAAATATTGCACAAGTCTCATACATTTCTATTTACCTTCTTTGACAGTACAATTGTTAAATACTCAAACTACTTCTATATACATTATAACCTGCACAAGCAAATAAATTTACACTTGGTTGTCTTTTCTCACACACATGGCTATCTTATAGCCTTCCAATTTTTTCATGATGTAATGTTCGACCGTTGTCGTCGTTAAAGAATTTTGAAGACAATTAAAAAACAATAAAGACAGTGTGATGTGTAGTTACTAAAGTTACAATCAACAGTGAAGGGTTACCTTCCCTAAGATCAAAGTGAGTGAGTTAAGACATACAGACAAATCAGTTCATTAACATTTTAACTATGAATATTTTAGGCTTAAATGACCAATGTCTTCAATCATGATAGACACATATACAGGCCTTGAATTGTCTGATGCAACCCTGGTCCAATAGTAAATGCTAAATCAGCCTTAAGTCTTGTATCAACATTACTTAAATAAGGCCATGGAAAAAATCTCAACATCATTCTCTCTTGCTTTAGGAAGATTGTGTTTTCTTCGTCTTACTGATGAGCTGTATAAAATTTGTGAGGTTTTGATACCGGACAGGATTACCATCAAAAGGGTTTACCTACAGAGGATGTTACACAATCACTGCCAATAACATGTCTAGGACAGATTAGAACCATTACAGTGTATAAAAATAAACATAAAATGAGCAAATATACGATATGAAATATAAATACAATGTACATGCATAGCATAATGGCCATCTTAATACTTGATGAGAATATCATTTTAACATTACACAAAAGAAAATCAGAAACACTGCCTAAACAGTCAAATTATAACATTAAAATTCACGCTTAAACAAACACAATGCTCATCTTGTTTAAAAGAAGGATTTCATTAAATCATTGATAATAACGGAAGTGAAAAAGTTTATGTTAAAAATAAAGATTTTCCTTTGTACAAGAATTTTGAGCTAGCATCGCAGAAAGAAGTATTATGGTTTGCTCTCATATCTAACAATAATTCTGAAAATTTATACCTTACTGAATTGTTGACTACTTTGAGAAAACACAAAATAGAAACATTACCTTTTAAACACTAGACAAGATAATGGAGTTTGTCTACATTTAATGAATTTCATACCACTAAATGTAAAAACGAAACTAAAACAAAAATTGTTTCTTATCAAAGTGAGGTCATCTACAGCTATATACACATCACAACAAGGTATCAAACAAGAACATTTTATACCAACAATGGAGTAAAAATTGATAATATACAAACAAACCTTGTCAACACTCTAGTTTATAAGGAAGCTCAAGGACTGATCTCATGGATATAGGTTCAACATTCAAAAAAAAAACTTCTAGAAGCTTTCATTATGGGACACAAATAATGTGTGACAACAAATCAAAGATAACAGCTAATTTGTTTGTTGACATAAAATTGCAGGATGTCTTTGTGAAAAAAAAAAGTATCTGGTTTTGAAAATGGTAAAATCTACACTACATGGTTAAGTGGTTGTAATTTTGATGTAGAAAACTTCAGATTTCAAGTACTTTGTTCAATTTATGAGCAAGATATGTTCTACGGACAAGTCCATTCCAGCACTGTATAACTCTTATTTATTACTGTAATGATAATATTTCTGTAGTTGACTAGAGTCTCACATCATGGCGGTGCATGTGTTATATTAATGATTCCAAAGTGTAATAATGACGTGAATATATGTTTAAAATGTGTTTCTAAACTACTACAGTAATTCTATAGTCTACAATACAGTGATCAGAACACCATTATGGTTATGATGTTTTCTGCACCAATCTCGACCATCAAAATATCCAAGTTAATTTAGCTTAAAGAGTGGTAGATATGGGTGTCACCTTTTGTTCATTACAACGAAAGATTTTAACTAAATTCAGTTCTATTTTCATTCACATATATTGTGCTACTTAGTACAACTAACATGGAAATCATTTCCAATTCTTGTGAAAGTAAAAGACTGATAAACAAATTCACCATAAAAACCTGTGACCCTGAAGTTTGAAATCTTTCAGTAAAATGATCTTCCACATACATGTAGTTACTACACACTCTTTAATAACCAGTATGAAAAAACTCACCTGAAAAATGTAAAACATGTAAAGATAACATAAATGGATTTCCCCTGAATGTTCCTGTGTAAAATCTGAAAACACCATGAAACTAAAAATGACTTAGTGGTTTTTCTGATCCCTGTCAATTTGTATCTCTCTGTTAATTAACTTCTATTAGGTTATACTGGCCTATACCAAGAACACTTTGCAGTCAATTATAGATCTAAACTTGAAAAATTTCACTTCACTCAGGTTTTCTCATCTGTGTCTAAAATGTGATAAGTCTGTTTCACACTATCCCGGTATGTATATTTGACACCCCAGTTGGCAGGCTCTCAAATGTCATGTTGGCAGTCGGAGTTTTATTCTCTGGATGAAACCACTAGTGAAAATTGAATTTTAATGAACAGTTTAAAAACGTTCTCACCTCCAAATAAAAATTTCCTAAAATCATGAGGTAGGCCAGTAGCATCAACAAAAAATAGCATCACCTGTATACAAAACGTGTAATGAAAGACTTATATATGTGTGGTTGTAGCAACATGGAGCGTGTTGTTATGATAGACGGTCCACTAAATGCATAGGTACTCCAAGACTCAGTAAGTGTTTCTTGTCTTGTTTAAATGTTCCAACGTCCATTTTGGTACACATATAATCCCAACAAAGTTCACTGAGAGCTGGCACTTTCAGCCAGATCCTCTGTATAGCATTAGTCCTGATGTTGTCAATCCGCGTGACTCCCCCGAACACATACATACAGCCCTCCTGTAAGTGAAAGTTCATCTCTTATTTCATTCATTCTTCTTAACTTCAAAACTAGATTTTGCTTTTGACAGGTAGAAAAGATTTAGAACTATACGATACATGCCCATAAATAGTTCTTCACATTGCATGAAAGTATTGCTAAGCAGATATCAAGTACATTTACCTCAAAATCAGAAATGATCTTAAAATGGTGACGAAAAAATCTTCAACAAAATGTTCATTTCAGTTCAGATTAACGCACCCAGCAATCCCCCTCCTAAATCCTGTAGTCTCGACCGTTATGTTGCATTTGAACCCATCAAAACTTAATTCAACTTAAGAAGATTAATGTATAGAATTTTATACCTTGGTGACATCAGCTGCATGGAAGTAAACAGGTACAGTAAGACTGGCAGATAGCTTTGTCCATGTAAAGGTCACCAAACATAACCTCCATATATCACTGAAAATATCGTGTGAGTCAAACCCTCCACATATGTAAGCTCCTGAAAATAACATTGTATGGCTTAATGACATGTGAAACTCTATGTTTTTTTTTTTAATTTAATGGTGTTTATAATTGGTTTGTTCCAAGAAAAAGTTTCCTGAAAAATTTTACAGATTTACGTTTCTTTCTGGCTGTATAATTATGTAGTAAAACAAGTTAACATACCCTTGAAGATGCATGCGAAGCAAATTTGAGTTTTGATGAAGAGATGGTTTGAGGGAATTTTGACGGGGATTAATGAGGTACGGGACTAATGAGGTTCGGGATTAATGAGGTTCGGGATTCAGGATTAATGAGGTACGGGACTAATGAGGTTCGGGATTCGGGATTAATGAGGTTCGGGATTCGGGATTAATGAGGTTCGGGATTCGGGATTAATGAGGTACGGGACTAATGAGATTCGGGATTCGGGATTAATGAGGTTCGGGATTAATGAGGTTCGGGATTCAGGATTAATGAGGTACGGGACTAATGAGATTCGGGATTAATGAGGTTCGGGATTCAGGATTAATGAGGTACGGGATTAATGAGGTTCGGGATTCAGGATTAATGAGGTTCGGGATTAATGAGGTTCGGGATTCAGGATTAATGAGGTACGGGTCTAATGAGGTTCGGGATTAATGAGGTTCGGGATTCAGGATTAATGAGGTTCGGGATTAATGAGGTTCGGGATTCAGGATTAATGAGGTACGGGACTAATGAGGTTTGGGATTAATGAGGTTCGGGATTCAGGATTAATGAGGTACGGGACTAATGAGGTTCGGGATTAATGAGGTTCGGGATTCAGGATTAATGAGGTTCGGGATTAATGAGGTTCGGGATTCAGGATTAATGAGGTACGGGACTAATGAGGTTCGGGATTAATGAGGTTCGGGATTCAGGATTAATGAGGTACGGGACTAATGAGGTTCGGGATTAATGAGGTTCGGGATTCAGGATTAATGAGGTACGGGACTAATGAGGTACGGGACTAATGAGGTTCGGGATTAATGAGGTTCGGGATTCAGGATTAATGAGGTTCGGGATTAATGAGGTTCGGGATTCAGGATTAATGAGGTACGGGACTAATGAGGTACGGGACTAATGAGGTTCGGGATTAATGAGGTTCAGGATTCAGGATTAATGAGGTACGAGACTAATGAGGTTCGGGATTAATGAGGTTCGGGATTCAGGATTAATGAGGTACGGGACTAATGAGGTACGGGACTAATGAGATACGGGACTAATGAGGTTCGGGATTAATGAGGTTCGGGATTCAGGATTAATGAGGTACGGGACTAATGAGGTTCGGGATTCGGGATTAATGAGGTTCGGGATTCGGGATTAATGAGGTACGGGACTAATGAGGTTCGGGATTCGGGATTAATGAGGTTCGGGATTCGGGATTAATGAGGTTCAGGATTCGGGATTAATGAGGTTCGGGATTCGGGATTAATGAGGTACAGGACTAATGAGGTTCGGGATTCGGGATTAATGAGGTTCGGGACTAATGAGGTTCGGGATTAATGAGGTTCAACAATTCGTTTGATAGATACCTAATTTGAAATATTTCAAATACAAAACAAATGATATATAATATCTACACTTACCTTGATCATAATAAACACAACTATGACATTTCCTTGGTTTAGGATAACCTGCCAATAACAAAGTCAAACTCAGTCCAGAAGGACAAAAACAGATTTCTTTCAGAAGTCTTATAGACAGTCCTAATTAATCTGTTTGTGAATTCAGTTTGATAAAAACATATAATACTGGGGTTACTCAGTACATTGTAACTTTGACCATATAATGCAGGTAAAGATTGAAGCAAATTGTAGACAGAAGACAAACACCACAGGACATCATAAACACCAGAATTTTCAAAGAGGCCAGTACATGTTATCTCCCCTTTTCATGTATACTCTGATTAATAATAACTTACCACTTTTAGCATCTGGCTTTGTCTTTATTTCATCCCACATGCATCTCTCAAAATGGAATGCTGGCACCTGAATTATTCAATATTACAATGATTCATTAAATTACTGTATTTTCAAATTATGAAAATAGCAATACAATATATAATTCAAATTTAAAATCCATATGAAATTTTGTCAATAACTTAAATAACAAAGTATGATTAAATAACATTATGTTTAAGGTACATGATTGACAGAAAAATATATTATATACTTATTGAATAACTCTTCAATAGCCATTCTATCAGGGTGATTGATGCTTCCGCCATTTCTACATATCCACACAGCTTAAATGCCATGCATTCCATCTCAGTAATTGAGAATAATGCTTGGAAGTTGGCAACAGGACCTCACAATGTACCTTGTCAAATCCAAATGAGGTGAAGGCAGTTCCACCCCCAAACAGGTAAAGTCTGGTGCCATCACTGGCCACCTCGTGTCTGTATCTACACAATCAACACCAAATATTTCAAAATATGTCAAGGAGTAATTTAAACAATATCTATAATATAATATAATATAATATATATAATATAATATAATATAATATAATATAATATAATATATACAATATTACACATTTTCAAGTTAGATTTTCAATTTTAATTTTACTATCTTAACCATTACAAGTTGGATAGATGCAATTGGTTTTTTTTCCCTTTACCTGAAATATATTTGGTGAAAAAAAACCCCGTCCCTGATTTTTTAACTAGACGACCTATCCTTAATAAAAGTATGTGTTATCAATACAAACCTTTTTGCATACCATGTTTTTTTTTGTTTAGTTTTTTTTCTACTAAACAAAGCTATCAAATTCAAATACTTGTTTCTACTGTAAAATAACAATGTGAAAATCATACACATATACCTGCTATCAGGCATGTACTTTTGGTTGGTGGCTTCAATGTGTGTCCATGTGGCTGTCCGTAGGTCAAGTTGGTGAATATCCATGTTGTATACAAAACCTGACGTCCCACCAACAATGTACAAGTGGTGACCCACTACATTCATGGACTAAAAGTACATCAACACAAGTTTGCCGTACACATCTGACCAAACAAATTTTAGTTTTTACACAAGTCTCCAGCAAGGGAGGCAAAGTTACAACACAAAATATGATAAAGTTCACTATATTGTACACCTAAAAATTCTTAAAGGATACATAAATTGAATAATGGGTACTGTAAATTCATATATATTTAATTTCCATTGTTTTTTCAAAAATGCAATATTTTGTGGGCATTTGATTTCATAGATAACACATTTTAACATTATCCATTGGTCTTAAAGACGTAAGCGTTATATTCTTTGGCGTAATGACACATTTTAACATTATTCTTTGACATAATGACACATTTTAACATTATTCCTTAGCATAAATGACACAAATAACTTGCTATATTTTGACATTTTGGTCAAACTCATCATGTCAGCTTTCATGTTTGTAACTAAACTGCTATGAAAAACATATTGCAGAATGTATTATCTAACCAAGTTAGAAACAGGAGTATTTTTTCTCTCTTCCATAAACAGTACAACATCATCTGTGACTTACATGATGTTAAATAATAGGTCATTGGACATGGTAAATACACTACTGCTACAACCACATGTTCTAACCCTTCATGTTTTTAACTTTATAATGACATATAACACTACCCTATCCTAGCCATCTGATAATGATGTACCTGTGGTAACCACAAATATTTTCCACCACATTGCTATTGCACCACACGATGCCCTAAATGATAAAACCAGAAATGTATAATTTCACAATCCCTTAACGTTCACAGTTCTCATAACAAACAAATTAAATGATTGCATCTACACTGATGTCTAATGGTAATCTCCAAATCAATCACCACATATCAATTAAATGAAAAAAATGCCTTGTTCATCTGTTCTATCTCATGATGCAAGGTCTAAGATTTCACATGGTTTGAACAAAAATCACTACATACATCATCCACAGCTTGCTTGTATATATCTATAGTTTCATATCTAGTAACATAATTCTATTTTTTTCTTTTATATTAGATAAACTATTTTTTGTTGTTTTTGTTGTTTTTTTATATACAACTTGGGAAGGGATATTAATATAAAAGTAGTCTATTGATAATATTGCTCTATTGCTTAACAACTTATATATCTCAGATTAGTTGATAGCATTTGGAAGTTGGATCAATGGACTGGGTCAAGTTGATTAGATGAGGTGACAATCTTTCTAAATGCTTTTTACCATTTGTATAACATTATTTGACACTTTAACTGTCTGTCAGTCTGACATCACAGGGCAATATGATCCCAGCCTACAGGTAAATCTCAAAACTATTCACAGGTGTAATTACAGGTGTACTAATCTCAGGTAAGAACCAGGTAAGAATTGTAACACCAGTAAACACATGTTCCCTCCAGGCAGTTTACATGATGTTGCCTGTCCCAGATACTCAAGTCACTGTGGTCATGCTTCTTTAACTTTAGCATGTATCTGTAGAGGTTTATATCACTTTTAGACAAATCTCTGATCCCAATAGAGAAAGTTGATCCTACTCCATATTATTTCTCTCTGTAGTGTAAGTTAACCCTACTCCATCTAACTGATCCCTACAGTTAAAGTTAACCCTACACCATCTAACTGATCCCTATAGTGAAGGTTAACCCTACACCATCTAACTGATCCCTATAGTGAAGGTTAACCCTACTCCATCTAACTGATCCCTATAGTGAAGGTTAACCCTACTCCATCTGACTGATCCCTATAGTGAAGGTTAACCCTACACCATCTGACTGATCCCTATAGTGAAAGTTAACCCTACTCCATCTGACTGATCCCTATAGTGAAAGTTAACCCTACTCCATCTGACTGATCCCTATAGTGAAGGTTAACCCTACACCATCTAACTGATCCCTATAGTGAAAGTTAACCCTACTCCATCTGACTGATCCCTATAGTGAAAGTTAACCCTACTCCATCTGACTGATCCCTATAGTGAAGGTTAACCCTACTCCATCTAACTGATCCCTATAGTGAAGGTTAACCATATACCATCTGACTGATCCCTATAGTGAAGGTTAACCCTACACCATCTGACTGATCCCTATAGTGAAGGTTAACCCTACACCATCTGACTGATCCCTATAGTGAAGGTTAACCCTACTCCATCTAACTGATCCCTATAGTGAAGGTTAACCCTACTCCATCTAACTGATCCCTATAGTGAAGGTTAACCCTACTCCATCTAACTGATCCCTATAGTGAAGGTTAACCCTACTCCATCTAACTGATCCCTATAGTGAAGGTTAACCCTACTCCATCTAACTGATCCCTATAGTGAAGGTTAACCCTACTCCATCTAACTGATCCCTATAGTTAAAGTTAACCCTACACCATCTGACTGATCCCTAGAGTGAAGGTTAACCCTACTCCATCTAAATGATCCCTATATTGTAAGTTAACCCTATTCCATCTTACTGATCACTTTAGTAAAAGTTAACACTACTCCATCTTCTTGATCTCTGTGGTGAATGTCACACTCTATAGACAGTTTAGATTAAACTATTAGATTGTATCACAGACAGGCAGATCATCTCTGGTCATGAATCACTAAGTTTATTACATGATATCACAGACAGATCATCTCTGGTCATGAATCACTAAGTCTATTACATGATATCACAGACAGGCAGATCATCTCTGATCATAAGTCACTATGTCTATAAGATTAATTCTTACACTACTTGTCTATTTTGTTAAAGAAAGATTCAAAAGTGCTTGCATTGAATGGTGCGAAATTTTCTTAATTCAACAGATGTAAAGAATTTAAACAAATTCAGAGTAAAATTAACAATTTATTTATTACTGAATTTTCCAAAATATAAATGACCAGATATAAGGTTGAAACATTCAATATGATAAAGAATTCACCAACATTATTAAAGATTCATCAACTTACATGGCCATATTTTTTCTGTGGATGTTCCCCAGTACAATTCAACTGACGCCATTTGAGTGTGTCCAGGTTACAGATATGTAGTTGGTTACTGCTACTTTCACCGAAGGGTACACCTGTCCCACCAAAACACAACAGGTTCCGACCACACCTCACAGCTGAATTGATATAACATGGTGCAGAAGGAGAGAATTTAATTGGTTGTATATATTTGGTAAGAAATCAGTGATGTAACTATAATGGAAAGGTATTCAACAATATAGATTTTGTTATGTAAATGAGCCTAAAGCCATACCTGTAAGTAGAGAAAGTGAACAGTCTCACATTACAAAATTCCCTACTGATGCTAGAAATACAGTGAATAATTCCACTTTTATAAAGGTGACCTAAGCCTTGACTTTTGAAGACCTCAAGCCCACATTCAAGAGTGTCCAAGGCTTGCAACTGCAACCTATGTCAACAATAAGATATATCTCAGTTTAATCATAACCTTTTGAAACAATACACTTTATACTTTGAACATAAGTATACATTATGTAACAGTATGATGATCATGAAAAGGAATAACAGTGACATTGCAAGCCATGATTACACTTACCAGCATGGGATGTCAGTTCTATAAATTATCTATAAAATCCTGATTACACACAAACATGGGATGTCAGTTCTATAAATTATTTATAAAATCCTGATTACACACAAACATGGGATGTCAGTTCTATAAATTATCTATAAAATCCTGAATACACACAAACATGGGATGTCAGTTCTATAAATTATCTATAAAATCCTGATTACACACAAACATGGGATGTCAGTTCTATAAATTATCTATAAAATCCTGAATACACACAAACATGGGATGTCAGTTCTATAAATTATCTATAAAATCCTGATTACACACAAACATGGGATGTCAGTTCTATAAATTATCTATAAAATCCTGATTACACACAAACATGGGATGTCAGTTCTATAAATTATCTATAAAATCCTGAATACACACAAACATGGGATGTCAGTTCTATAAATTATCTATAAAATCCTGAATACACACAAACATGGGATGTCAGTTCTATAAATTATCTATAAAATCCTGTTTACTAAACAGTGAATGACATCATTTCTATAAATTAACAATAAAATCCTGATTACACACAAACATGGGATGTCAGTTCTATAAATTATCTATAAAATCCTGATTACACACAAACATGGGATGTCAGTTCTATAAATTATCTATAAAACCCTTGTTTCTCATCATTGTGGGATGCCAGGTCTATATTTTAACTACTGAATCCTGGTTACTCACCAGCATGGGATGTCAGTTCTATAACTATCTTTAAAACCCTGGTTACTCACCAGTTTGGGATGCCAGTTCTATAAATAGACTATAAAACCCTGATTACTCACCAGCATGGGATGTCACTTCTAGAAATTATCAATCAAATTCTGATTTCTCATCATCGTGGGATGCCAGGTCTATAGATTAACTATTATCTCCTGGTTACTCACCAGCATGGGATGTAAGTTCTATAATTAACTTTAAAACACTGGTTACTCACCAGCATGGGATGTCAGTTCTATAAATTAACTGATTAAAGATCCTGGTTACCTACGAGTGTGAGATGACAGATCTATAAATGAATTATAAAATCCTGGTTACTCACCAGCATGGGATGTAAGTTCTATAATTAACTTTAAAACACTGGTTACTCACCAGCATGGGATGTCAGTTCTATAAATTAACTGATTAAAGATCCTGGTTACCTACGAGTGTGAGATGACAGATCTATAAATGAATTATAAAATCCTGGTTACTCACCAGCATGGGATGTAAGTTCTATAATTAACTTTAAAACACTGGTTACTCACCAGCATGGGATGTCAGTTCTATAAATTAACTGATTAAAGATCCTGGTTACCTACGAGTGTGAGATGACAGATCTATAAATGAATTATAAAATCCTGGTTACTCACCAGCATGGGATGTAAGTTCTATAATTAACTTTAAAACACTGGTTACTCACCAGCATGGGATGTCAGTTCTATAAATTAACTGATTAAAGATCCTGGTTACCTACGAGTGTGAGATGACAGATCTATAAATGAATTATAAAATCCTGGTTACTCACCAGCATGGGATGTAAGTTCTATAATTAACTTTAAAACACTGGTTACTCACCAGCATGGGATGTCAGTTCTATAAATTAACTTATTAAAGATCCTGGTTACCTACAAGTGTGAGATGACAGATCTATAAATGAATTATAAAATCCTGGTTACTCACCAGCATGGGATGTAAGTTCTATAATTAACTTTAAAACACTGGTTACTCACCAGCATGGGATGTCAGTTCTATAAATTAACTGATTAAAGATCCTGGTTACCTACGAGTGTGAGATGACAGATCTATAAATGAATTATAAAATCCTGGTTACTCACCAGCATGGGATGTAAGTTCTATAATTAACTTTAAAACACTGGTTACTCACCAGCATGGGATGTCAGTTCTATAAATTAACTTATTAAAGATCCTGGTTACCTACGAGTGTGAGATGACAGATCTATAAATGAATTATAAAATCCTGGTTACTAACCAGCATGGGATGTCAGTTCTATAAATTAACTTATTAAAGATCCTGGTTACCTACGAGTATGAGATGACAGATCTATAAATGAATTTTAAAATCCTGGTTACTCACCAGCATGGGATGTCAGTTCTATAAATTAACTTATTAAAGATCCTGGTTACCTACGAGTGTGAGATGACAGATCTATAAATGAATTATAAAATCCTGGTTACTTACCAGTGTGGGATGCCAGCTCTATAGGCATATTTCCTTCTGTCTGTAATAATGTCCATTTCTTCAGAGAAATGTTGAACTGCCACAGCTTAACAGAAAAGAACACACTTGTGAACATTCAATGAAAGCATCACACATACTATCAATTTAATATTGTGCCATACCATAAATGTTAATTGCATGTGCATATATAGCAAAACAACAGTATTCTTTCTTCTTATATCTTACATACAATTTCAAAATTCAGTTTTGTGAGTTGTCAGTGTACCTGACAGATGGCCATGCACATTTTAGGTGATGCTCCATGAAATCTTACTACTATATGTAAAAAAAAAGTGACATTTGATATAATCAAAATTTTGAAACAACACAAAACGCCTGCATTTATAATCATATTTTAACTTGTATACAGGTTTTGCAAAGCCAGGACTGATTACAGGTGAATTTTACAGCTTTCATTTGGTAGAATTTTAAGTAATCACAATCCTAGTTATTTCCAGTTATGTGTGAAATTCAAGTTAACATGAAAAACAAGTACACATGTATCTACTGAATCTATCAAACAGAAGGTGATGTAAGAGTTAGGAGTTTATAATATAGACTCTTTCTTTAAATCTGATGTAATATCATGTACATCAAGCCACAGGCAGATGAGAATATAACGCTCTTGTCTTTTCAGACATGTATTGTTAAAATTGGAATTACGTGTATTACTTCCTTATTATCCTTGTTGTTTTACTTGTAGAACCAATATTTTGCTCTAAACGTGTAACTATCATATATTAATACTTGTTTTTGATGTTCCAATCCTGCATGCATGTACTTTCAGTATCTAAACAAAACACTTTTGCAGTGCATAGAATATGCAATAATCTTTGGATATTTTTTATCAATCTGAAAACTAATTTGAATTGTAAAAAAGTGATCATAATAAAATTCATTAGCATAATTAAACATCCACGCTGGAGTTTGTGAGACAAATGAGCAAGATTTAGATGCTGATCTTAAAAACAATCAGTATATACATGCACCAATTGTACCAATTCTTTTTATCATAAAGGTTAAAATACCTCTTTAAAAAGTGGATAATAGGTATCCTCTGTATTCTCTACATCCCAGAAGCGAGGATTGTACCCTCCCAACACATACATGTTCTTCTCATCAACAGCCACACGATGACCACTTCTGGGGTACAGGAAGTCATAGTCTGTATACAAAAACAACAATAATGGTTGGAGTATGATAAAGATATATCTTCTTTTATGTCATTCTTTCTTTTTGGTGTAAGCATTCATTTTGCTAATCTGCCACAGAATTAAGGTTAATTGAATTAGAAACTGTCATGATTATGAAAACAACTGCAATGTTGGACAATATATCATTAAGCGTTGCCATCAGCACAAAATTTAATGATGGATGAAAATTAAATAATCCTTTCTCCTTTGACAGTCATGGGGAAATCAAACAAAGCAATGTTTATGAAATTTCCTTTTATATGACTTTTTTTTAACGACTTGAGTGAAGTCATAAACATAAGATCAAAATGATACATGTATGTATTATAAATCTGTACATAAATGTGCATTTTCTTGATCAAAATTCACTCACTTTCACGCAATGTCTATTTCATATCATTGATTTTATGTATAATCCTTCATCATAATCTTTTAGGAAATGCCATGAAAAAATATTAGTATTGATAAAAATTTTGAACAAGCTTAAAGTTAGATAGAAAATGGGGCATCGACCTGCATCACTCAGTTGAATAAAATAAAAAGCAGAAAACTGTCAATGACAATCATTTTTTTCACTGGGGTGTACTCATTAAGGACGTCCCGCCCCTTTAATCAGTATCATAATATAATTTGTTATTCGACACATCCTAAATTGAATAGCAATCACTCTTTCTAACCATGTAAGTAATCATTGGAGAGTGTGTAACACAGATGTGAAGATATGAGGGCAATAACGAACGGATGTCAATAACTGGGGTGACGTCTGGCTATTTATGGTAATGTTGACATCTCGGATCAGCTGGGTCGTTTTCGATCCCCGAGGCAAGGGCAAATAAGATTATAAGTTAGTAATCGTTGCCTAAAAATGCATCTGATGCTGAATAAAAACACAGCATTAACTTCTTACCAACACTGTCTTCGACTAAATTTTCTGTCGATTCGTCGTCATATTGCGTTGGTCCAAATCTTTCGAATGCCAACAAGTTTCTAGCCATTATTTTGGTTTCATTCCAAGCGTCTGCACTGACAGCAACAGTTGAAACTCATTAGAGACTCGGATTTCGTGATCGTTTACGAAACTCGCCACGATTGGTTGGTATTTTAATTAATAGCCAATGAACGACAGCGTAAGGGATCAACGTTCGGATGTATGAACAAAATGGCTTCCCCCGAAAAAGTAACACCAGAACGTGTCAAGAGACTTTTATCGTCATTTTTAGTACCAGAGTCAACCGACTATAGTTTTGAAAGGTCTTATTAATAGTTGTATTCAATGTAATGAGCACATGTGTGGAATTGTGATATAACTTTTTATTGTTGTTTTTTCAGTCGTAATTGTGTTAAACGCTTTGCTTTCGCTTTCAATTTAGAACAATTGCAACAAATCGAAAAGAAATGTAGACTAATGATATGAAGGATAACAATTTTGGTTGGGAAATTTTCGTTATGTTACTAGTTGTCCTGAACAATATCAGGTTCGGAACTGTAACACATCGCCATTAAAATAACCAATGTCTATACTCGATCTGTATCTTGAATGTTGATAACCCGAGTTAACAATCCAGAGTCGGCTATACATTATACGTAAAATGCATTTAGCTTTTCGTTTGATCTCAGAACAATGCTCAGAGCTCTTCCAAAGACACAACAAAATTTGTTATTTTGTACAATTGGTAACCCATTGCATGTTCCAAAGTTGAGCTTAGCACAATGTTTAATTCACTTTTATGTAACAAGATGAACTTGCCTAACATAGGTTTTGCTATGAAATGTTGAGCCTTGTTCGAATGTGTTTTTCTGTGAAATGTTGGTTCAAACATTGGTCTAACTAACTTCAGGTGAAGATCCAAGGTGCACACAGGCCTACTGTATGTTGTTAGTCAGGTAGACATCAGGTGCCACATGGAGATTCCTTCTAGAAATAACTCTGGCTGTCCACAGGGCAATAAACCTAACAAACTATCTCTTTTTCAGATTTTCTGATTCCACTCCATCTTGTCTGGAGGAAAAATGGAAGTTTGTCATTCCTTGAAATGGATTTTAAGGAACTGTCTAAAGATATTCTTGTAAAGCACTCAGATTATACTGATTGGATCAATAATTGAACTAAGAGACATTTTTTTGTCTTAGTCAAAGTTGTTTAAGTGATAAGTTTAAACTTATGAAGGCAGTTCTTGGATCTGAGGGAAGGAAATCCAATAACACCCTCATCTGTACATGGTGGTTTTAAATAGGCTTTTCTCAAATTGCAAAACATTATTATGTGTATGCTTTATACAATTGTAAAGAAATAAAACAGCATACATTTAAATTGATAATCAGACTCTGATGCTTATTGTTGGTTATGGGTATTTAATATGTGTATTACCAAAGTTATGTATTACAAAATGCATTATGGGATATAAAAAAAAGCATGTGCTTTTGGATGCCATCAAGGTGCCTGTGTCTGTGTTTGGATGCAGCTGAAACTATTTGACTGTATTAAGTGTATATTCCTGCAAGAATACTGATAGAGAATCTCAATGCAAGCTCCCTCCTAAACAGAGAGTGTGAGTCTAGCTCAATGTCAATAACTCTTATCAAAATATCTACAAAACTAGTATTTCTTTTAGTCATATATCAATTATGAAATCTTCAGTTGATATCTTGGTCCACTGTCTCTCAATCTGTCTATTTGTCTTTGTCTTCATTTCTCTCTCAAACTCATGTGTCAGTCAAGGAGATGCTTTACTTTCTAATTTTTTCACATTTTGTTATTTCAAAGCCAAAAAGACAGAATCAGTAGGTCTATGTTTTAGATTTATTTATAAATTGTAATGCTAGTAGAAGAGATCAGTACTGATAAATCAAGCTGCTGTACCAGTTGCTTATAATACTGATTAAAAAATCATATTATTTTTTTAAGCTTGTTAACAAACATTGCTGCAGTTATAAATTTGGTCTGGTTTCAGAAACCCAGAGACTCAAAATGATTGTGACAAAGTATCTGACAGTAGAAGTAATGGACAAGAGCAGTTATTAACGAAGAAAGATGATGCTGGACAGAAAGGTCCACATCCAAGGAGTAGAGAAGCTTACTTCCAAAGAGTCAACACCTTCACTGTATCCTTCAGCAAAACTATCACAGATCTTGTAGTTTGCATGACTACTACACAGCATTTATATAATAGACAAATTTCTAGTATTTCCAACTCTGATATTTTCTCACAGCATGATATCCCTCTTTGTCATATTTTCTATTTTATTCTATTAGCAAACTTTGTATTCTTTAACAATGTCAGACATTCAATTGGTTTGCTAAGCCAGTAGATCTGTCTCCCCTTGTGTGTGCACGGTATGGTTGGCAGGTGATTGATTCAGACATGCTGGGATGTGTGGGTTGTAAAGCCAAGCTTAGCGGACAGTTACCGAAAACAAGAGACCAAAAATTATGTAAGTGACAGATAGCACAAGTAGAATAGTAATCATCAAATGGTACTTTTAATACATTTAAACAAATACTATAATTTAAATGAAGTGAAAAAAATCAAGACGTATTAATATGCAATTTAGCCTACATGTAATGGTATACATTTTCTGTTAAACTTGTTGTAATACAGTGACAACATTTAACGCTAAACTTTCTGTTGAATTATTACCAGAGCATGGAGTACATCCCTATTATTCTTTTAGTGAGCCTATAGTTGTACAAAAAGTATGTATGTCATTATATGACTACTGGTATCTAATACCTTCAAACTTTACTATTTACATATTGTACTACTCTTACAGGTTTAAAATGTAATGGTATCAATTGCTTTGAAATTTTTGCCCATTTATGTGAAATATATTTGTCTTTTACTAACATTCAGATCCAGATTGCTGTAAGAAACTGAAGCATGGTCTGACCTGGTCACACAAGAAGTCCTGTTCCTGGTCCTCCAATCCTAGTCCAGGTTGGTATCATAACTTACTTTATAACAACATAATAAGAAATGAGTTAGTTCTCCACAATTGTTTTTTGATATTCATTTTAACAGATACAAACTTTTCCTTGCCTGTAGAGTCAAGTAGCTTTTGAGACATTCTGTTGTGCAGTGTTTTTTCTTAAACTCTCCACTTTCCAACATCATCTTTTTCTTCTGTAGGCCACTTGTCAAGTCCTGAGAGGTGATGTTACCAGTATAAAATGTTTAAGATCAAAGTTTTCAAGTGAAAGATGAAAGTAAAATTCTGCTTCTTTCAACTTGTAAATATTTTGGTACAATATCATGAAGCAGGTCACAAATATCAGTTCAAAGTTCATCGTGACTGTCTTTTTAAATTTTTACTCTAATTTTGGGATGAGCTATATTCTTTTATTTACCATTCCATGTTGTCCATTAAAACCAATACATAGTCAAGAAGACACTGTTAGTTTGTCAGACTGTCATACCCATAGGATAGCAGCTGGCATTTAATATTTAAAAAATGATTCATAACACATGTACACACATAAACTTTGACAAAAAAGTCTCACTCCCCTATACCAATACATGTGTATCTATATTACTGTAACTATTATCAGTAATAAGTCTCACTCCCCTGTAACAATACATGTGCATCTATATTACTGTAACTATTATCAGTAATAAGTCTCACTCCCCTGTAACAATACATGTGCATCTATATTACTGTAACTATTATCAGTAATAAGTCTCTCGCCCCTGTAACAATACATGTGCATCTATATTACTGTAACTATTATCAGTAATAAGTCTCTCGCCCCTGTAACAATACATGTGCATCTATATTACTGTAACTATTATCAGTAATAAGTCTCTCGCCCCTGTAACAATACATGTGTATCTACATTACTTAAAATCACACTTTATTGTTATACAAAGTAAGCACAGAATGAAATAAAGATCACACATTATTGTTGTACAAAGTGAGGACAGAATGATATAAAAATCACACTTTATTGTTGTACAAAGTGAGGACAGAATAAATAAAAAAAATCATACTTTATTGTTATACAAAGTGAGGACAGAATAAATAAAAAAATCACACTTTATTGTTATACAAAGTGAGGACAGAATAAATAAAAAAATCACACTTTATTGTTATACAAAGTGAGGACAGAATGATATAAAAATCACACTTTATTGTTATACAAAGTGAGGACAGAATGATATAAAAATCACACTTTATTGTTGTACAAAGTGAGGACAGAATAAATAAAAAAAATCACACTTTATTGTTATACAAAGTGAGGACAGAATGATATAAAAATCACACTTTATTGTTATACAAAGTGAGGACAGAATAAATAAAAAAATCACACTTTATTGTTATACAAAGTGAGGACAGAATGATATAAAAATCACACTTTATTGTTATACAAAGTGATAAAAAAAAAAATCACACTTTATTGTTATACAAAGTGAGGACAGAATAAATAAAAAAATCACACTTTATTGTTATACAAAGTAATATAAAAATCACACTTTATTGTTATACAAAGATATAAAAATCACACTATTATTGTTATACAGAATAAGAATGATATAAAAATCACACTTTATTGTTATACAAAGTACTGTAATGATATAAAAATCACACTTTATTGTTATACAAAGTGTGGACAGAATGATATAAAAATCACACTTTATATAAAAGTCAGAATGATATAAAAACACACTTTATTGTTATACAAAGTGAGGACAGAATAAATAAAAAAATCACACTTTATTGTTATACAAAGTGAGGACAGAATGATATAAAAATCACACTTTATTGTTATACAAAGTGAGGACAGAATGATATAAAAATCACACTTTATTGTTATACAAAGTGAGGACAGAATAAATATAAAAATCACACTTTATTGTTATACAAAGTGAGGACAGAATGATATAAAAATCACACTTTATTGTTATACAAAGTGAGGACAGAATGATATAAAAATCACACTTTATTGTTATACAAAGTGAGGACAGAATAAATATAAAAATCACACTTTATTGTTATACAAAGTGAGGACAGAATAAATATAAAAACACACTTTATTGTTATACAAAGTGAGGACAGAATAAATATAAAAATCACACTTTATTGTTATACAAAGTGAGGACAGAATGATATAAAAATCACACTTTATTGTTGTAGTGAGGACAGAATGATATAAAAATCACACTTTATTGTTGTGAGGACAGAATGATATAAAAATCACACTTTATTGTTATACAAAGTGAGGACAGAATGATATAAAAATCACACTTTATTGTTATACAAAGTGAGGACATAAATAAAAAAATCACATATTATTGTTATACAAAGTGATCAGAATGATATAAAAATCACACTTTATTGTTATACAACAGTGCAAGAATCTATATTACTGTAACTATTATGTGCAGATTTGTTTTATATACCGTTGCGAATGATATAAAAATCACACTATTATTGTTATACAAAGTGTAACAGCATGCAATGTGTATCTACATTACAGAATGATATAAAAATCACACTTTATTGTTATACAAAGTGAGGACAGAATGATATAAAAATCACACTTTATTGTTATACAAAGTGAGGACAGAATGATATAAAAATCACACTTTATTGTTGTACAAAGTGAGGACAGAATGATATAAAAATCACACTTTATTGTTATACAAAGTGAGGACAGAATGATATAAAAATCACACTTTATTGTTGTACAAAGTGAGGACAGAATAAATATATAAAAATCACACTTTATTGTTATACAAAGTGAGGACAGAATGATATAAAAATCACACTTTATTGTTATACAAAATGATATAAAAATCAAAAAATCACACATTATTGTTATACAAAGTGAGGACAGAATGATATAAAAATCACACTTTATTGTTATACAAAGTGAGGACAGAATAAAAACTGCATGAAAAGTAATGATTATTATTATTTTTTTTTAATTTGTAAGGTTTTGTGTACACAGGCCTACACAAAGGATCTATCTTTAATTTTATAATCGTGTAACTTTCCTTTGCTACATGATGTGATCACACGATTCATTCACTATTTGATACAGAAAAAAAATCAGGAGCAAAAAAGAGAGTATAAGAGAAAATATTCAACTGACATAGAATCAATAAAGATCAAAGAATAATTGACACCAAGATCCTTTTTAGATCTTCTTTTGTAGTTTTATCAGAGAAGAATGTACATGTTCTAATGTTCAAAAGAAATTGATTATGTGGACACACATGTTCCATATCAATAAAAAGTGACATAAAATCACAATTTATATAGTGGCATCAAATGGCAATGTATCGAATATCAGAATTGATTAAAAAGTAATTTGTTCAAGTTTGCAATGCTCACTGAGTCTTATTTCGAACTGCTTTATGTTAACTGAGTCTGTTACATGTTGTGGGAGAATGTTCCATATATCTATGATGGGGTAACTAAAGAAGTTTTTCTGAAGATCAGTGTTGCAACGTTTTTTTGAATAGTTTACAAGAATGTCCTCTTGTTTTGCTGTTTCTATCCATCAGGAAAATGTTCGCTGAACTCTGCTATCGTAGATACCTTTTAAAATTTTGAAAGTGTTGATCAGATTTCCTCTTGTACGCCGATGCTTTAGAGTTGGAAGTTTTCATGGATTGATATATATGATATATGCTGTCGTGATCAGCAGTGTATAATTAATTGTTTATGTTTGTGAAAACATTAACAAATAACACCACTAATATACACATTATACATGTATATCAAATACAAAATGTGTCTCACAAGCTTGGCAAAAGGGATCAGAATATTATATGACTGACATTTTGAAATTTCAATAAACATATGGATAAGAAAGGAGTAGGCACAAAATTAATTGAAAAACAATTAAAATCTACAAATCATGGTTATCAGAATTCTTCAATTGAAATGTTTCATTGGGGCGATTTTGGTCAAGGATAGCTCTGGATCAATTGTCAATATATTAGAAATTACATATCAATACTGATTTAGGTTGAACAAGATGGCTTCTAATGCATCCGTCAATCACTCCTGCTGAAGAAAAACTTGCGTACAGGCTTTTATAGTTTGACCAGATGTTTTACCATGACTTATCTGGGTACATTTTATGTAAACCTAGCTTTACTTATAAGGGTTATTGCAGGAATTTACGGTACATTTGTATTTCTTCTGTAGACAACCTAGATATATGCTTTAATGAAAGTTTCTTAGAGATGTGTTAACATACCAACATGGATGTTCCTATCTCCCTAATTCCTGATAGAACTTTCTAAGTGATGTATTGGATGACATGAATGGCTTGATCTAGTAGAAGATGAACAACTTTCTAAGCAGTGTACTTGACAACATGTATATTACCATCATCCTGAGCCACCCACATCCAGTTTATGTTGTCAATACCAACCACAGTTGGATGTATTAGGTCATTTTCTTCTCTCATTAAGAACTTGCTGAATTTTCCTTCAGGTGTCAACTGGTGAATGGCATGGTTCCAGTAGTCAGAAACAATGAGTTGGTTTTCTGCGTCCTTACAAAGTCCTCTAGGATAAAACATCTGTTCTGGAGCAGATCCTATACATCCCTTGTATCCCTGGTTTTGATCAGCAAACCATTGCTGTCGAAGATTTTTGATTCTGCCTACCTTATTTTCTGAGCTTAGAATGTAGATAGCTGATGCTGTTTCAACACTTTCTGGAAACTTTCTTCCGTAGCAGAAATGGTTATCAGAATTATTGAAAGTAAAACTTTCTTTTTCCATGATGCCATGATTGGTGTATGTAGTCATCTTAATTACACCTTTCCCTTGGCTTCCGAAAATCTTCTTAACCTCTCTCTTTGTGACTGAAACCACCATACCAGTGTGTGAGATACGAATGGTTTGCCAGACCTCGTTGGTGGCTTTAGGTTCTAAATCAGCAAAATGAAATACCTGGCCTGCTGCTGTAACCCTTTTGACTATGGTGCTGTCTTTCTGTTGTACATAGATGCCTCTTTTTGTGACTGGAGTGATGTACACTACATCTGTCATCAGTGGAACCAGGTCTTCCTGCTTGTACTTGGCTTTCATTAAGTCAACAAGATACAGCTTCTCTTCAGTAACTACAAAAGCTCGTTCTCCATCCAAAGGAGAAAGATTCATTACCTCTGAATTACAAAATTTGAACTTCTTATTTCGTGGGTTTTCTGTAAGAGGGATCCAGGTCACTTTTCCAAACAAGATGTGTATGTTTTCTGGAGCCTCCTCTCCAGGTGTGAAAATTAAACTGTCTTCTCCTTCAGGAGCTTCTGACTCCTCTTTGGCCTGTACGCCTGTGTTGGTTTGAAAGAGTTCCAAAACCTGTATCAGCTTTTTGCTGTCGATTGTCTCAATGCACTTTGGATTTGTCTGAAAAAAATCCAGATAAGCTAGACATAGTTCAGATTGTAACAGAAATTTGTCAATCCTTTGCAGTATTTTTTTCTGTTGTTCTCTGACCATTGAATGCAAATTAATACTGCATGTTTCCACTCCTCGTAGCAGATTAGTTTTTCTCTCATCAATTTCAGCAGAAACAGTTTTGCAGTTGTCAGAAACATTTTCCCGCTGTGTTTTTAAGATTCTGATATTTTGTTGTAAACTTCCAGTCATACTTTCCTTTGCCTCTACAATTCTATCTCCTAGTTCCTTTTGCTTTGTTTCAACCACATCATCTATTTTGCAAAACTTATGGTTGCCATGGTTTCCATCTATAATACAAGAAATGCATACCAGTTTCTCACAAGTCATACAAAAAAGGCTGAATTCTGTTTGCTGGTGAATGAGACAAAATGTTGGTTTGGTCTTTAGATCATCAACAATAGTTTTCATCTTTTCTTCTGATACCAGGTGTACAGTTTGAGGACTGCCTGATTCTGCTCCTGCCTGATTTTCGTGTATTATGTCTTCTGCTGCTATTTGTAGTTCTTTGTTATAGCCATCTTCTTGTTTCGTTTCTTCCATGGTGATAACTTTCTACCTGCTGGCTTGTTGCTCAGTCAATGATTGATGAAGCAGGTTCTAGATGACTGGTGCTGAGCTGAATTATAGAAATAATGGATAAATATGTGCTGAGCAGAGAAAATATGTGTGATTTATGTACTTGATTGGTATATATTCTTATATCTTAGTATGATAAGATGTTTTCTAAATGTTTAAATACCGGGGGTACATGTATTTTAATATTTTTGTTTCCTTTTGGTGATGGAGACCACTTCAGGATTGTATGTAAACAGGGCATAATGAGGCATTTGTTTGGAATCAGCTTTTTAGTCAGTAAATCCAAAGGGTCAAAGCCATCATATTTTATCCATCATTGTCTGATTTATACATACTTTGATATTCTCTGATTCTGTTTATTTAGCATTGGTTGGATTGTCCTTTGCAAAGCTATCGGTACATCTCGTGGCTCGGTTTTGTATAATTACTTAATTAACAGGTCTTATATTACTTTAGTGGCATTGATCAGATTATCTTTACAAGTCATCACAAGTATTAAATAGATTAAAAACAATGGTGCCTAGACTCATGCCTATTGGGTCAGTAACAAGCTGGTTTGGAGGGCTTCCTTGGTCTGTGATTAAAGGCTGCCAAATTTGTGTAAATAATTGATGTTGACATTCTTCCAAGTTGCTTTATTTGCATTTGTTTAAACAACTTTTTCTGAATATCTAAAATGCTGAAGGTTATCATATTTGACCAGCAGCATGCTAAACTAAATTGTTACAGAGAATAACCTTGACATGTGTCAAATATATCCTCCTTGGAATAGCCTCTTTTTGATAACAAAGGTACCCTGAGTTTTTGTTATTTCACCTGCACCATACATTCTGTTAAAGAAGTAGGATGTTTTAGATGAACATGAAAGTAACCAGAATGATGCCTTCCAAGTCTTGCACAGCAATCTAATAATCTATAATAAAAATAATCAGTAATGCAATCTAACTAGGCCTTTTCTTTTAGAACAATAGGCTTTTTGACTGGTGATAATGATTCAATTTACAAGAATTCTACTTCCTGGTTCATTATTCCGATTGTTACAGGTGTAACACAGTTACAATGTATATACAAGTGTGGCCATACAAATATATAACAGGATTGTATGTGTAACTGGGATGTATGCTGAAATGTATAAATTTTACATACCACAAGTGTTCATCAGCAATCTTGGTATCCTGTACCCAAATGAAGATAGGCAGGTAAATGGGGGGATTATATGGAATGGTTTCTACTGAGCATGCTCAGTATAGTTTTTTCTGTTTTCCTGGAATAGGTTCTTCTTTCTCTTTCACTATTAATGGAAGTGTGTTACTTTCACTTTCTATACCTTGACAAATGTTAAGTTAGACAAAGTTATAATTATTGTTTTCAGAAAGTCCCAAACAGACCTGCCAACATTTTGTCTCCATGTCTCCCTTGGATTGTTTAATCACATGTATAGTAAAATACACAACAAAGCCATCTACCTATACCAAACATTTTATGTTGTCAGTGCCTGCGGTTCTAGTTCACATGAAGCCATCATAGAATTCTTTTTGATATATACTCAACAAAAAAAACTGCACAAAGTTTTCCCCTGCAGTTCACCTTAGCCATAGGGAAACAAAGGAATATTTGGTCAGGTATTACATCAAGAAGGATCTTCCTTCTTGACAATCTACCCTAAAATCAGCCAAGCATAACAACTTTGTGAGCTTCTTTAGTCTGAATCACACGGTGTGATCAAGCCAAGCCAGATTTTTTCAAAGTATAATTTCAATGGATACTCTTCAGTTCAGCCAAATGAATTCTCCACATTGGCATGCTGATTTCAGCAATGACCGAGATGCCACACTTCACATAATCAGAGGGGTAGAACAATTGTGATGTTGATCGATGGTCATTGCCAGACTGCTGTCACACAGCAATTTTGTGCTTCTGGGTTAGTTTCCGATCATCTCAAGAGCAGTCATCCGCGTGTAATGACTGCCCAACTAGACAAGACGATTTGATTGTCACACTTGCGCAACAGATTCAAGACTGCTGTAGAGACTGCATCGCATACCTTAGGCACTCACGTCACACCCATTAGTGCTCAAATTACCAGGAACTGCTTGCATGCTGAGAGAATCATTGCACGCCTTATGTCCGACCACCTCTGACACCACGGAGGCAGCAAATGCGTCTTGATTGGATGCACAGACATGGCATGAATAGGTCTGGGATGCGTTGGTGGAGGCCTGTGATGTTCACCGACAAGTCTAGATTCTGTCTGTAGAGCTCAGACAGAAGAAAAAGGGTATATCACAGATGCGGTGAGCTTTTCGCAAACGCATGCATGGTTTAACACAATAGATTCGTTGGGGCTTCTGTAATGGTTTAGGGAGGCATCTCCCATGGAGTAAATCCCCCTTAATGGTCCTGGATCCAAACCTCAATGCCGTTTGATACAGAGACCAGATCCTCCAACCAAATGTCCTTCCACTTCTCAGATGTCCTAACTTTATTTGCTACAAAATTTCCCAAAATATCAGAGGCTATTGATAGCATAATTTAATTGTGTGGTTCTTTTTTTGTTGAGTTTACAATTGTAGCAGTTCTCTGACAATGTCGCTATTTGTTTTGATACCATTTGTGTGTCTTTTATCAATTAAAAATAGGTATGATGTCATATGAACCTGGAGCCAATAATCCAGAAGTATGGTAGATAGACAACCAATAAAAAGTGAGGAATCTGTAGATGGCATTCAGATGTCATTTTGTTTACATCATATTCCCTTGCTCTGATATTAGAAGCCATAAACTTACATGTAGGATGTTTTTCCTGTACCCATGTTTTACCATATTGTGTTGTGTAATATCTTTTGGTTTGATTACCATGTAGAATTATAGATTTGTTACTAAATCAGATGAATTTGATGAAAAACCTTTTGTAAAAGTTTGTCAGCCTTTTGTTACATAGATTAGACATCTTTAAGATAAAGGAGTTTATTAGATGTCTGTTATAGTGACTAGTTATAATAACAAACAGAGGCAGAGCATCTCTGGAGGAATTACATCTAGTTCTGGTGAGCAATATTTTAAATAAAGGCATGATTGGTTAAAAGGGCAAGAAAGCTGGATTGTGTTTTTGAATTGTAAAATGTTGAAAGAGAATGCTGCCACTGTATGGAATTTCTCGATGGTAATTATCAGCTAACTGTAATCATTGAAATTAACTTTCATGGAGAGACAACTGATTATTTTGGTCATTTCTCTTCACTACTTGTTAGTTAAGATTTGGTAATTGTATTAATCCTGTATGTAATATACTTGATGAATTAACCTGAAGTGAGTGATATATTCCGTGATGACAACATAGATAAATAATTTGTTGTTATATATGCCTGCTAATGGAAAAATGCATGATTTCCCTTTCAGAATCATTTGCTGTGATTCCACTTTACAACATAAAGGAAATCAAACACAATTGGTCGACAATGGTAAAAGTAAGATTTTGACTGGTGTCTGATAGATTGTACAAGCTCCCTAGAAAGAACAGTGGTGGTGTCCCAGAACTTTGTGACTTGAGCTCACTCAGGTGAGAATGAACAATGGTGAAACAAGTAAGATTTTGACTCACTAACTCTCAGCTCCCTCTGGTGTCTGATAGGACTTTGTGACTTCGAGCTCACTCAGGTGTTAGAAAGAACAGTGGTGAAACAAGTAAGATTTTGACTCAGTAACTCTCAGCTCCCTCTGGTGTCTGATAGGACTTTGTGACTTCGAGCTCACTCAGGTGTTAGAAAGAACAATTGTGAAACAAGTAAGATTTTGACTCTGTGAATTCTAGCTTTCTATGATATCTGATAGGTCAATGACAAATGTGTGAGAATTTGACTGTGTGATTCCTTGCTTCCTCTTGTGTCTGACACAATAGTAAGATTCAGGGCTCCTCTGTAATCTGACACGTCATTTGTAATGCAGGTAAGATTTTGCTTCTGTTACCCCAGCTCCTTTTGGTGTCAGACAGGACATTGTGATTTCTAGTTCCTTTTGGTGTGTTAATAGAACATTGTGACTCCCAGCTTCATCTGGAGACTAACAGGATACTCTGGTTAAATGTGATGGGATGAAATGCTACCAAGATCGTTAATATAAATGATCTTGACATGCTTTCAAGGTCACAGGGGTCAAATATGTTTAAATGTGTAAACAATGTTTTCTCAATAACAAAGGTCTTGATATTGGGCCTGTTGCATTTTATTTTCAATATGTCAAGAGTAATGACATTTGTGTAGTGCATGTAAAAAGAATATGATTTCATGTTTGCAGAATATGTCTTTATGAACCAACCAATGTCTTCTATGTCAGCTGTTGTGTAGTTGAGCAATTTAATTTAGACCTATTTGGCCTCTTTTATATAAAGGTTGTTATAGTCAGATGACCCTTAAGGCCTGTGGGCTTCAAGTTTAATCTAAATGATCTTGACCCACTTTTGAAGTCACAGGGGCTAGATTTGCTCAAATCTTTTAATGGTTTCTTCTACCAAGAGTGCAGGGTGATATAATTTAGTCAGTTGCATATTGCAATCACTTGCTATGGATAGTAGTAAAATTATATTGTGTCAAAGGTCAACTTTCAGTGTTCAGAATTGGTCACATTTAGAAAGTTTTTTTGGCGGTAACACAAATAAATAATCTGAAGTTTTACAGTCTAGAGTCTAGTTATGTGATAAATATAAATTGCTTGAATGGTTGTGAAAATTATTGACCTTTAGGTCAGAGGTTAAATATACCTGGTAGGTGAAAAGCCTGTCAAATTGTTTGCCATTTTCTAGTTATGTTTTGTATAGAATAGTGTCTCTCTGAATTTCTTTATTTCTCTACTTTAGGGATTAGAAGGAGATATTATTGAGGACATTGTTCAGTATTTTCTTCATGAACATGATCAGCCAATCACAGAAAATTCCAAGGCAGCTTTTTTACTCACTCTCTGTGGCTGGAATTTAAGGTTTGTTTATAAAAACTTGATATGTGTTGATCAATTCTTAGGAAGGAAAAATATGTTTCTTGATGTTTATACAACATATCAAAAAAATGTGATAGAAGTTGTTAAGAAAACTGGGATAAATTTAAATAGGTAAAAATCTTGAAACAACTTCTTCCCAATAACCAAAAGACCCAGGATGCAGATGCATTTCCTATATGATTCTGGGATGGAGGGCTACCACGTTTGGCAATATGAATGACCTTGACGCACTTTTAGGGTCACAGGTATCAAATATGTCAAAATCTTTAAACAATTAATTCTCAGTAACAGCGCAGGCTGCTGACATTGGGTCTGTATCATGATGGTATGACGTGCTACCTAGATAGTTCATATTATTTATCTTGACCTACTTTCAAGATCAAACATGACAAATGTTATAAATTTTTAATGACTTCTTCTCAATAACTAAAATTCCTATAGTGCTGATCATTGGCCCATAGCCAATTTTGTTCATGTGATTGAAATTTTCTCTTTTTAAAGGTCACAGGGGGCAAATGTGTTAAAATCTTCAAACAACTTCTCAATAACAGGTCCAGGCTGTTGTTATTTGTTCTTTGACATAAGTGGATGAAGGGCTACCGATTTGTTAAAATAATTGACCTTGAACTATATTCAAGATTCCATGGGTTGAATGAAAGGAGATCCTAAAATTTCTTTTTCAACAAGCAATAGGTTCAAAGTAATGGCATTTGTGTAGAAGCATGTATAAAGTTTGCAGAAAATGTTTTTGTGAACCAACAATGCCTTCTTCGTAAGCTGTAGAGTATTTTAGGCCTAGTTGGCATCTTTCATATATATGATTGAAAAAAAACAAAACAAAATGGCAGAGAGGCGGCCATCTAGGATTTTAGCAATGAAAGTTCATCATCACTACTTCATGAAAAGTACTGGATTGATTTTTCTCAAATTTCATATGTTGGGTCCTCTTGGTCCCAAGCAGTTTAAGATCAAAATCACTGTTTCTTAAGAGGCATTTTCAAATTTCACATATGTTTTCAATTTTGGTTAATTTAGTGATACAAGCAGCTCCACCTTGGAATGTAAATTCTGTCAGAGAACCATTGGACTGTGGAATTACAAATCTTGTAGTGGTATGCAAAGGTCGCAGAACGAGGAATCTGGAGATCATCATGTAGCCAAGAAATTCAAAGTTGTAAGTACAAGTTTGTGTCATGACATTTCATCTATTTGTGAGTTTACTAATAAGCAAAAGGAGAACACATATCTGTAAGCAGTCAATCATGTACACATCACAGAAAGTGAATTACTAGTAGACAGCTTCAGGAACAAAGTGATGGTAGAAGTATAATAGTAAAGGATGATAGTGAGATATAGCATTAGTATTATTAGTTAGTAGAAAATATACATGATTATGCTATGTCCAGTAAGGGAATTGAATACAGTACATAGTACATGCTTAAATATTAATGTATTTTGTTTTGTAGACAGAAAAGAATTGCTTTGATCCAATAGCAGAGCATCGGTATTGGTGTTCGTGGCTAGTGGATCTGTCTTCCCCAGGTGGTCCACCTACTCCTGTCAAGGGATCAAAAGGGGGCCAGTGTACCTCTCCAATGTCTAGTCCCTCTACACCAAGGAACAGTAACTTAGACAGCAGCTTTGGCGAGGGATCTCCTGGTACCAGTCAACTAGATCTGACCTCCAGGCCATGGTTCTCCATGCTAAAGCTGGTCTGTCCTGGCAAGGTGATGGACACAGAGCCAACCATGACTGATCGCTTTAAACAGGTGATTGACTCTAGATTGTTGGTGACTTAACATTTATGGATGTTTTATATACTGGATGTATCGTCTATGATATGGCTTTCATTTTTTCTCTCAAAAGCAAAGTTTATGTGTGAGTAGATTTGATGGGATGGCTTATACTAGAAATAAGTCTTATATTTTAACCTTTGGCTATCAATACCTTTCGTTTACCTTTTTATATGGAAGATACTGTTTTGTAAACACAATTGCAAAATAATTGATCTTATTTATTACTTTCACAGTGATTTCTGGGGGATATTTGTTTCTTCAGTCTTATGTGTTTGTACTTCATTTGAAGCTGATTCATTAAGTACAGATTTAAGTGTGACTAGTTCTTTAAGATTTTTCTTTTGTTCTAGAATTCCCCTACTGCTGGTCTAAGACAGTTGCGGAGACTGATGAAGGGATGGTCATCTGCCTACATATCCACACCCACCAAGCCAACATGACATAAACATGTCTGCTAGTTGTGTTGTAATATGACATTCAAATCTAACTAGCTGGTGTACTGCTCATACAGATCTTGTCAGATCTAACAAACTGGTGTACTGTTGGTGCAGATCTTGTCAGATCTAACAAACTGGTGTACTGTTGGTGCGATCTTGTCAGATCTAACAAACTGGTGTACTGTTGGTGCGATCTTGTCAGATCTAACTAACTGGTGTAATGTTGGTGCGATCTTGTCAGATCTAACTAACTGGTGTACTGTTGGTGCGATCTTGTCAGATCTAACAAACTGGTGTACTGATGGTGCAGATCTTGTCAGATCTAACAAACTGGTGTACTGTTGGTGCGATCTTGTCAGATCAAACTAACTGGTGTACTGCTGGTGCAGATCTTGTCAGATCAAACTAACTGGTGTAATGTTGGTGCGATCTTGTCAGATCTAACAAACTGGTGTACTGTTGGTGCGATCTTGTCAGATCAAACTAACTGGTGTAATGTTGGTGCGATCTTGTCAGATCTAACTAACTGGTGTACTGCTGGTGCAGAACTGAAATAAGAATCTGAAGACAGCTTTTTTGTCCTGGAGATGTCATTTTTTTGTTATGTTGACATTTTAGTACCAGTAAAAGTAGATTTATATTTTAACATTATTCTCCATAATGAATGACTATGGATCTGACTTATCCAACATGATGTTATAAAACTACATGTATTTATCATTTCTGTGTTATTGTGATGGACGGGAAATTTATGGATGTAAACTTGGTAGCTGTTAATGACTGTCTACAGTGTGTCTGTTATCAACTGTAAGTACATGAATGTGAGGGAGCCATACAAAAAGGATAAGTCCCATTGTTAGCAGCATTAGACAAAAACAAAATGATGGTTGTCATCTCTACAACAACAATAATTATGATTGTCTGGAACCTACTGATCAGTGATCTAGATACCTTCAATAGCGGTAATCCTATATATCAGCTAAAATTGAAATTGATATTGATTTCTGATGTTGGCTGTAAACCTAGATATTTATATTGTAAAATGGTTGCTTGTGTATTTGTTGATTTTTTTGGCTGTCATAGCTGGTACCATTTGTGAATTCATGATGCAAGGAAAGCAGAAAATGTTTGTAATGTACTTCAATATGTATTTAACTGTGATATGCAGTTTGGGCTATAACTCAAGTAAAAGTCCAGGACATTGGAGGGGTTGGGAGGTGGGCATGTTTATTACTTTAGGTACTTTCAAATTTTAAACTAAAGATTCAATATTTGAAGGTTACTACATAATTAAATACATGATTTTCTCATCTGAAGTGTTTTTGATATATTTTCATGGTTTGTTGAAAGCCAAAAATAACCCTGAACCAATGTAGGTAATCATTCTAACCACTTGTTGAAACATCAAACAAAAATTGTCTTTAGTGAAGTTGTTCTGTTAAATTCATAAATCTCAGTTATTTGGATAATGGACTCCAGTTCAGGTACATCATTCATAAACTGTTAAATCTGCTGGTACAATGATATTCTCTTTTTTATCAACTACAACCAAGCGTTATATGAAATCTCATTATTTAGTTGTCATTGACGGCGTTTCTTTTACTCCCGTTCTGTGTTTTTGCACTAAATACTTGTGTTAGAATACAAAGGGTTTTCTTATTTCTTTAATATATATACATTTAGAAATAACTTGCATAATTGTATTTGCTAAACCCTTGATGTTTGAGAATCTGTTTTAATTGGTGCAATCATTGGTATGACGGATAGTGCATTGCTGCTGTATCAGTACTAGTTATAAGTTTTAGTATACAAATCTTTACACGGTATACGTCATTAATTACATTGTTTTCATTAAAATGCTACGTTTAATCTGTACAATTAAGAATCCTGTACCATTTAACCAAGGTATTGCTGGTCATGAATTGAGGGCAGAAATCATTGGTTGTACTATGGTGCGGTTCTGTCCCTTTAACAGATCTTTTAAAACCTTTAGGAGTATGGAAGATGAGGTATTCTGTATTGTATTTACCTACTAGTAATTCGTACTATTTGCTATCAAGATGAAGGCTTATTCGATAAATAATATCTACTTGAAAAAGGCAAAGGTAGAAACAATGGACCTGCAACACATTGGTTGTTATTTGAGAAGTTTTGTTATTATGTACAGAATCAACAACTCTGTAACTTAACTTAAGATAATGCTATCTGTTATGGCCACACAGTAAGAATACTCTATGGAGATTGTCACTGTTAGTGGTTGTTGTGGAGAATCACTTGATATATTGTTGATACTTGGTATTAGTGATATCTTTCGTTAGTACTGATACTTTGATCTACTTGTGTATATGTTCAGTGATATACAATTAAAGAAATCTATTATTAATTAAAATGTTTAGTTCTTGATTGATCCATCAATGAATGACCTGTTATCTTCAGATATACTTTTATAATATAATTATGGCTTCATAAAACAGCTATTCTCCACATGTTGATAACACCAACAACAAAACATAAGCTACGATTAAATACTTTGATAAAAAAAGTTATTAAGTTATCTTACTGTAAACCAAATGTTGGTTGATTACAAAGATATTTTTCAGTTCTTATTTTGTCTTGAAGGAATCTCCAGATTAGTTGCCAACATTTTGATTGAAATCAGTCAGGCATGAAATTCAAAGATTGTTTCATAGAACATAACAAAGTCCTTCACTTAACCAAAGATTTGTTCAGTTGAATTTTGTAAAATGCTTCATGCACTACCTCGAAACTTTTATCACTTGAAATTGTCAAGAGTAAATGTTAATGAATATTACACTGATATAAATATTTATATTTTACTAGTTTTATCACGAGAGATTTGTTTTAAATGCACAGAGAAAAAAATATCACTGGGCTTGTCCGGGATTGGAACCCGGGACCTCTCGCACCCAAAGCGAGAATCATACTCCTAGACCAACAAGCCACCATATCTAGACCGACGCAAAACAATCTCATAACAGATACTTCCTCAAGTAGTGTACTTTCGGTTCGGTGACTTCCGGTAGTAATATTGGGGAATCCTTTACAGAAGATGATTGGATGACAGTAACTTTGAAGTAAAATCAGCAAGTATAATTGTTAAGTCTTATTTAATACAGGCCCTCTTGGCCACTTGTTAAGCATGATAAAGCAACTCCCTCACCAGTCACACGACTAGCATGTTCTTACAGCGGAACATTGTCAAAGTTTTGGATTGGTGTGCAAAATACCCCAATCTGAACCAAATAGAGCACATCTGGTATGATCTTGGAAGACGAGAAAGGTGACGGCCAAATCTGCCCTCCAACTTAGAAGAACTAGTGAGGCATTGAATGAGAGGTGGAACTCCATCACACCATTCGATGATATACAGGCTCTATGCGCTGTTGTTGTAAAGCTGTGGTACTAGCCAATGGTGGTCAAATTGGTTACTAATACCTCTTTGACGTGACCATCATGTCTAGTACATCACAAAAATAATAGGATTTTTGTTGACTTTTAACATCCATAAGCAGACATCCTACTAAATCATTTGACCCTTCATTGACCATATTTCACTAAAACCTGACAATGTCTGGTTGTATCTGTATTTCTTTCTTTTCTCCTTGTCTCTTCTTTTATTTTGCATCTAATACAGAGACCTAATCGACAGAGGGGTATGTATCTGTTCTTTAGACACACAAAGGTGTGACATCCATGTCTGTTCTAGAGAAATAAAAAGATATGTCGTCTGTGTCTGTTCTTTAGACACACAAAGGTGTGACATCCATGTCTGTTCTAGAGAGATAAAAAGATATGGCGTCTGTGTCTGTTCTTTACACACACAGAGGTACAACATATTTGGTTCTTATTTACCGTTTAGTTTTACACCTGATCAGACTCTGGTTTTTATAGGAGAGCTTATTCTTGACTCTCATTATAACAACATTTATGTAGCCTTATCTGAATAAATGCTGAATAAACTCAGTTGTAGTTCAATTCAGAAGTTTTCAGAAATCGGATCCTTTCAGTAGATCATCGTAAATGGTAGAAACCAACTTTGCCATGTCCAATCTAAAAATAGAATATTGCAGTAATCTTACATATCCAATTATACTCAAGATACAAAGTACAAACCATATTTAGCATGTCCACAAAGTGTTGACAAGTTCTCTGCAGTATGTCTTCTGACAGTCAGAAGTTTACAACAAGTAATTAAGGAACAGACAAATGTACAATAAAGTAAACAAGAGGCCCAAGGGGCCTTAACAGTCACCTGAGGAATACATGTCAATAACCTGGGGATTTTAAAATGTTGCAAAAATGTAACAACACTTGTGCAAGACCAAGTGTAAAACATCTGTACCAAGTTTGAACATGACCCACCCAATGGTTCTTGAGAGGAAGTCCATAATGTCTTAGCCAAACAGAGGTGAGGATGGCCATCTTGGATTTTGAATCGCCCCAAAAAGTTAAAACACTTGCCAGGACCTTGTGTAGAACATTCGTATCAAGTTTCCCCTATTGGGGCCACGCCCTTTTTGTTTGCAAACTTGAAGCGGCTTCCCATGGGGATGCTTGGTGCCAAGTTTGGTCAAAATCCATCCACTGGTTCTTGAGAAGTAGTCATTTAATGAAGGTTTTTACATATGGCCCCTTTTACACCCCTTATGGACCCCAAAGGGGACATAATCACTTTTTTCAACATAGTTTCATGTCTTTCACTAAGGGATGCTGTCTACCAAATTTGGTTGAAATCAGTCAAAGTTGAATTTTCGACCCTTTTGAGCACCCCCTAGTGGGGCCGTTTTTGACCCATTTTTTTTTCATTGGCAAACTTTGTAGACCTTGCCATAAGGACCCTAAATATCAAATATGAATTTAATCCGACTGTTGGTTCACGAGAAGAAGATTTTTAAAGATTTACCTAATTTTACCCCCTTATTCCTCCTCCTGCGGCCCCTATTGGGGCCACACCCTTTTTCTTCGTAAACTTGAAGCGGCTTCCCATGGGGATCCTTTGTGCCAAGTTTGGTCAGAATCCATCCACTGGTTCTTGAGAAGAAGTCATTTAAGGAAGGTTTTTACATAGGGCCCATTTTACGCCCCTTATGGGCCCCAAAGGGGACATAATCACTTTTTTCAACATAATTTCATATGTCCTTCACTAAGGGATGCTGTCTACCAAATTTGGTTGAAAACGGTCAAAGTTGAATTTTTGACCCTTTTGAGCACCCCCTAGTGGGGCCGTTTTTGACCCAATTTTTTTTTCATTGGCAAACTTTGTAGACCTTGCCATAAGGACCCTAAATATCAAATATGAATTTAATCCGACTGTTGGTTCACGAGAAGAAGATTTTTAAAGATTTACCTAATTTTACCCCCTTATTCCTCCTCCTGCGGCCCCTATTGGGGTCACACCCTTTTTCTTCACAAACTTGAAGCGGCTTCCCATGGGGATGCTTTGTGCCAAGTTTGGTCAAAATCCATTCAGTGGTTCTTGAGAAGAAGTCGAATATGTGAAAAGTTAACGACGCACGGTGCACGACGACAGACAAATCATGATGGCACAGGTGACCTAAAACTTTGAAAAGGCTGCCATACATGGAGGAAAATATAGACAGGAACTTAACAACAATGGTTAGCTATATCCAGAATTTTTCCCTCAGCGTCGGATAAAAGAGACAAAGGCAAACATCTTAGGATTTAACATTTTTATTCATTTCCTTTAAGAATAAATACATATTGATCTAGTATAATGTGCTAAAATCACTTACCTCAGTCTACATATTACATGTAAATGGATGCCACAAGCATGCATTATCAAAAAATGAGGTGCAGAATGATAACAAATGATAAGTTTAGGGGTACCAATACATGTACAGATGGAAAAATGCTGTAAGTCGTTAATTCTCAATCTACTATAAATTTCCTAGCTTTAAATTTCTATAGGTTTATAAATGGTTGATATCGAAAAATTTAATGTCCATTTTTTTTTTATCAAAATTGACTAGATTTGATTTGATAATGGCCAAAGATACCTTTGGAAATTTTGAATGATAATTAAATTTATCAGAGGAATGTGTGTTGAACAAGACAAATATGAATAGATAAAGTGCAATGTTTTCATCAATCATCACTACTTATACATCGAGTGTATAAATATACAGCAGTGTTCCCCATACAGGTTACCATTGAGTGTATAAATATACAGCGGTGTTTCCCCATACAGGTTACCATTGAGTGTATAAATATACAGCGGTGTTTCCCCATACAGGTTACCATTGAGTGTATAATATACCGTGGTGTTTCCCCATACAGGTTACCATTGAGTGTATAAATATACAGCGGTGTTTCCCCATACAGGTTACCATTGAGTGTATAAATATACAGCGGTGTTTCCCCATACAGGTTACCATTGAGTGTATAAATATACAGCGGTGTTTCCCCATACAGGTTACCATTGAGTGTATAAATATACAGCTGTGTTTCCCCGTACAGGTTACCATTGCGTGTATAAATATACTGTGGTGTTTCCCCATACAGGTTACCATTGAGTGTATAAATATACCGCGGTGTTTCCCCATACAGGTTACCATTGAGTGTATAAATATACCGCGGTGTTTTCCCATACAGGTTACCATTGAGTGTATAAATATACAGCGGTGTTTCCCCGTACAGGTTACCATTGAGTGTATAAATATACAGTGGTGTTTCCCCGTACAGGTTACCATTGAGTGTATAAATATACAGCTGTGTTTCCCCATACAGGTTACCATTGAGTGTATAAATATACAGCTGTGTTTCCCCATACAGGTTACCATTGAGTGTATAAATATACCGTGGTGTTTCCCCATACAGGTTACCATTGAGTGTATAAATATACAGCGGTGTTTCCCCATACAGGTTACCATTGAGTGTATAAATATACAGCAGTGTTTCCCCATACAGGTTACCATTGAGTGTATAAATATACAGCGGTGTTTCCCCATACAGGTTACCATTGAGTGTATAAATATACAGCGGTGTTTCCCCATACAGGTTACCATTGAGTGTATAAATATACAGCGGTGTTTCCCCATACAGGTTACCATTGAGTGTATAAATATACAGCTGTTTCCCCATACAGGTTACCATTGAGTGTATAAATATACCGTGGTGTTTCCCCATACAGGTTACCAGTGTATCACAGCTAGAATTATGACACATTTTGCCAGTGCAAATGCTACTTTAGTGTTTACTTGAAGTACAAAAACAGTGGATCAATGTAAAGATTTCCAGTGTTATATGGTTAACAGGTATACTGATGAACACACTGAATGTAGGTATATCTTGAGATTATGTAACTCAAATTTTAACAACTACA